CCAGTGGAATCGGGGTTTTACACAACCGAGGATGCTCAGCTCTTCCTGTCCCAGTTCGGAAACAAAGGAAAAAGACACAGCAATACGATGGGTGGATATCAAAATATCAGCCTTGCCACAAATAAAAAGCTGGTTTGAAGGACAGAGCTTCAATCTGCAAGCAAGAGGGCAAGCTACGAAATCACGCCAATCAGAAAAACGTATCCCCTCGCCTCTGGGCCATGGAACTGCCTCATCAAGCTCTATGCAATCGAGAACCGACTAGAAGACACCTCTGCCCCGCGCCGCGGTCAAACCACAGACCCCAGAAGGAATACCTAGCAGAGCCTGAGCGCACTCCACCCTATCTATTCTCTGAAATTCAACCAAACGAGTCACTCCACTTCTCTGGAAGCAGAAAGAGACTGAAAGTTTTTCTCCAGGTAAATCCCTCCATGTAGAAACACCAAGAGTAGGAATAAGGGGCTTCAGCCTGCATGGAATCTCAGATTCTGAATCTGGCAAAGCTAGGTGAGGGAAGAGGTTTCAATTGGAAGAGTTTTAGTTTTGATATTTTAGTGGACTGGACTTCTTTATGAGTAAAATAACCCGCCTTTTTAGTATTTAAAAGAAAAGAAAAAAACTGTAAAATACATCTGAGAATTGACACAGGTGAGCTTCTAGGGGCAGTCATGAGAAAAAACAATGTTTCTATCTGCTTACATACTGCCACATCCAGCTTGTTTATTAAGCCAGATTTTAAGGCTCTGAGGATTTTGGTCTGAACAATTGGGTGTATGGTGGTAGTCATTTACTAAAATAGAGAAGGTGTCTTTTACTTATTTAGAGGCAGGATCTCAGTCTGTCACCCAGGTGGGGATGCAGTGGCACGATCATGAGCTCACTGCAGCCTCAAACTCCAGGACTTAAGTGATCCTCTGGGCTCAGCCTCCTGGACAGCTAGGACTACAGGCCTGTGCCACCACACCCTGGCTAATTTTTAAGTTTGTTAGAGACATGGGTCTTACCACATTGTCCAGGATGGTCTCAAACTCCTGGCCACAAGCAGTCCTCCCACTTTAGCCTTCCAAAGTGTTGGGATTATAGGCATGAGCCACCGCATCTGGCCTAAAATAGGGAAAAGTTTGATTGGGAAGTTCAGCTTAAGTAGGGACAAGTTATACTAGAGATGCTTATTAGATATTCGAGCGAAATACCAAGTAGGCTGGCATTCAGGAGAGAAGATAATGCTAGAGACAGGTATTTGGGAGTCATCTGCTTTCAGGTAGTGTATGAAATCACGAGGTTGGACAAGATCAACTAAGAAAAGCACATACAAAAAAGAGAATTCCAGCAGGAGCCCTGGGGCACCAACCTTTTCCAGTATAGAGGAGTGGCCACAGAGAGAAGGAAAACCAGAAGAAAAGGTAGTCATAAGTGAAGATATGGTGATCTTTGCTGAGGCTTTTGAAGGGATTGCAAAATGAAGATAATGTATTTATTATTGGATGTACCAAAGCAATGTATTGGTGACTAATAAGAGCTATCTCAGGAGACATGGGGAGAAAACTCTAATGGCAGAGTTTTAAAAGAAATTTCCAGTTAAACATGGCAGACTGAACATAGGCATTAACTCCCACTTCCTGCCCAAACCCGACTCACTTAAGTAATAAAAGACATCAAAACCCACAAAGAATGGGAGAGGAGACACCAGTAAGCAAGAGAAGTCGACAAAATTACAGAGGCAGGGAATGGATGAAGAAGTTATAACTGACTTAGTCAGACAAAGTTGAAACTTAACATTTGTGGCTGAAGTCAAGAAGAGAGACCAGTCCTGCCAGCGAACACCAGGAAGGTGTAGAAATTGGAATAACTGGTGGAAAATTTTTGTAAGGAACAGTGTGACCATAGATTCCCCTCTCCTACTTGGGTGGAGGAAGGCTGCAGTTGAATCAGAGTAGGTGTGACCTCAGGCATGAGGCATAGCTGAGGGCCACTGAAAGCAGAGGGATTGAGTGCAAGTGTACACATGTGGGTCCGGGCCCACTTCTCCCACTCAGCCAGATAGCATGAGATAGGAGTGGAAGGGTTCCTCTGGAGCAGCTGTTCCACAAGAAACATCCTGCGAACACTGGCAACTATGACCCAGGAGCAAAACAGAAACCTATTAGCTGTCAGGCTGTGTACCCATTGACAGTTTCCAACAAGCTCCTTAGAGCCCCATCATCAGCATGAGCCAGACATTTGAGGAAAACAGTGCAACATTACCTCCAGCCGTGCAAGTGATCCACTGTGGACAGCTGGTCCAGTCAAGCCTTCAGATGACTGTAACCTCAGGCAATACCTGACTGCAGTTGCATGAGAGATCCCAAGACAAAGCTGCCCACCTGAATCCTCCGCAAATTTAAGCTACTACTATATTTGGAATAACTTGTTCAATAGCAATAAAAACTAGAAAAAAGGACTACAAAATACCCAGCACAATAAATTGGGCAGGGGTTGGTGAGGGGGTGGGGAGGCAACATATCAAGTAATGTCGTTGAGAAATTTGAGACCACTAGGAATAGAGGTGATCTCAAGAATTTCTGGCAACAAAAAAGCAAAAACACAAGGGAATGATTTCCAATCTAAAATTCTATTCCCATTCAAATGATGAATCGAACATATGGATAAGTCAAAAAAAAGAAAACCCATTTCTTTACTCTCACAACATGCTTTTGACACCAGATGTTAAGGATTTCCTCCCATCGGCAAGCAAGCAAGCAGTTCTGCAGCAGACACCAACTGGGTATCTGCTTCAATCCTGCACCATGTATCTGGAGATAGCGGCAGATCACACAAGTTGAGGACTTTGTCCCACGAGACTCAGCCCCATGTCCAGTGTCAGTCACAAGCCCCAGGTTGTTTGACCTGTCCTTCTGGGTTCCCATGACCCCTTCCTTGGCTTTAATCTGCTAGAGCAGTTCACAGAACTCAGGGAAACACATGTTTAGTACAGAGAATAAAGGCTACAAATAAACAGCCAGATGAAAAGATACACAGGGTGAGGTCTGGAAGGGTCCCAAGAGCAGGAGCTTCTGTCTGCAAGGAGTTGGGGTGTGCCATTCTCCTGCCATGTGGACATGTTCTTGTCCACCTTTCTGGAAGCCCCCACACATCTGGCTATCCACAAGCTCTCTGACCCCTGTCCTTTTGGGTTTTAGGAGGCTTCATTACATAGGCATGATGGATTAAATCATTGGCCATTGCTGATCAACATGACTTTCAGTCCCTCTCCCCCAACCTCTGGGAGTTTGGGGGGGTCGGCTGAAAGTTCCAACCCCTCTATATCATGCTCTGGTCTTTCAGATGACCTATCCCTATCCTGAAACTACATAGGTGCTGCCAGCCATCAGTCATCTTAATAGCATACAAAAAGACATTTTGGAGATTCCAAGGATTTTAGGAGTTGCCTATCAGAAAGCAGAGGCGAAGACCAAATATATATTTGATATTACAGTAGAAATAAAGACATTTTAGATATTTAAGCTCAGAAGGCTACTAAAGGACAGGCTTTATCAAGAGAAAACCAAGGAAGAGGAAAATATTATTCAGAATCCAGGAAATGTCCTGCTATGGCAGGAAGACAGGGTTCCCAGAGGATCATCTCTAAGAGAAAGTGGAGCATACTACCTGATGCACATGACTTTGTTAGGAAGAGCTTTATGCTTAGGGAAGTGACTTTTGGGTGAAGTAGTAACAGGAGCATAGAAAACCAAGCAAATTAAAAAAAATAATTCAATTATTAACTCCAGGAAAAATCAACAATTATACCTAAAGGAAATGTAATCATAAACTAATAAAGGGCTCAACAGCAAATGGTAAACATAGTTACACTAAACTGTGAATGCAGGTTTCAGCCAATATTATATTAAACTCTTTAGGGAGACTAATAGAGGAAATATGGGTGTCAAGGGTGGGGGTGATTACATGTTGCAGGAAAGACAGTTAAGAGAGGCTAACTCCTTCCATTGTAGGAAGTCAACCATCTCTAAAGTCAAGATTAAAAAATAGCATTATTTAAGTTTTTACATGAAGTTAATCACTGAAGATCCCTGAGTTGAGTAATGTGTGTTTGGGGAAGCAGGGATTGGATGGTGGATTTGGTGGAGGAGTGGAGGAGGTTCTCTTAGTGCTATTGTTTTTCAGTGAAATAAGGACATGATCTAAGAATGTTGGTGGTTTGAAGAGAATGAGAAGACATGAAATTGAGTCTGGGGATGTAGGATTAGTCAGGAGATGCTGAGTGCCAGTTTAAGATTGGTAGTCATAGTGAATGTCTCCAAGTCTATTAATACTTCTTTCTGTATCTGGCTCAAATTTAACCCCTCTTCACACCAATTGCTAGCAAACGCAGGCTTATTCCCTTTGAATCTCACCTGGATGGCTGCAACACCCACCTCTCAAGATTGCTGCCCCAAATGCCATTTTTCTCTGCCTAATATTCAACGACTGGTTCTCACAGCTCTTAGAATAAGGCAACAACAATCTCCAATCTCATCCTGTTGGTCTGTTCCCCCTCATTTGGCCACACAACCAAACTGGTACCTCCTCCAAGCTTTCATCATGTCCTCCTCTCAAGTACACTGTCCCCGGCCACACCCCTGCACTTCTCTCTAGGAATCCTGCTTTCTTCTCTACCCAACCAGACCCTGTTCCATCCTGTTTTCTCCCTGCTACCTGTTCACGCCCATGCCTTGTGTACATTCTCTGAGTTATGTACAGATACACCTGCTGACTCTCCAGGACGTAATCTGGGTGAGCCCAGCAGGCAGAGGCCCTGTGCCTTACTTCATCTCTGCATCACTGATGTCTGACACTTCAAGGACTGCAAGTTTGCCTGTTACACATGGAAATGTAAGCTCCAAACTGCCTCAGAGCATATGCTTGCTGGTGGGTGACAGTCTGCCAAGGTCATGAAAATAGAATATTGAAGATGTCCCACAAGGTAAACAACTTTTCATTATGAAAAACTGGGAGACTGACATTTAAATTGTTTATTTGCATGATTAATAATCACACTTCCAACAGTCCATCAAGCATCTGAGAATAACATTATTTTGAGTAAAAACAAACTCTTCTGAAGAGACCCCCTCCTCCCCACAGGTCAGGCTGCTCAAATGTCCACCATATCTAGCAATGCAGAGAGATGGAGCTCAGAGGCAACTTCCTCTTCCCTTGAACTCTGGATCAGCCTTTCCAGGTGCTTTAGCCGTTCGGTCAGACACGTTCCTGTCACCTCTGACAGCTGCAGTTGCTCCCTTGTCATGTCATTCTATTTGAATAAAAAAGAAACTAAAGAGTTTTGGGATGTCAATAAACCACGACCTATTCTCTGTGAGGGGAGTAGATCTGGATCATGTTAGAAACCTGATCTGAGGATGGGCGCGGTGGCTCACGCCTGTAATCCCAGCACTTTGGGAGGCCAATGCGGGTGGATCACGAGGTCAAGATATCGAGACCATCCTGGTCAACATGGTGAAACCCCGTCTCTACTAAAAATACAAACAATTAGCTGGGCATGGTGGCACACGCCTGTAATCCCAGCTACTGAGGAGGCTGAGGCAGGAGAATTGCCTGAACCCAGGAGGCGGAGGTTGCAGTGAGCCAAGATCGTGCCATTGCACTCCAGCCTGGGTAACCAGAGCGAAACTCCACCTCAAAAAAAAAAAAAACCTCATCTGAGTAGTCATTTATTTTTTAGAGGGAAAAAAATTATCAATTGTACATCCTTCCAGCCTCATTTAGCTTGTACAATCAGCTGGTATCTGTATATAGACTGTTTGCCTTTGTATTCTATCATAAACGATTTCCAGTGTCAGTCATCCTTCACCCAGGCTGGAATGCAGTGGTGTAATCATAGCTCACTGCAGCCTCAAACTCCTAGGTTCAAGTGATCCTCCCAGCTCAGCCTCCTGAGTAGCTGGGACAACAGGCATGCAGCACCATGCCTGGCTAATTACTTATTGTAGAGATGAGATCTCTTTATGTTGCCCAGGCTGGAGTCAAACTCCTGGGCTCAAGTGATCCTCCCTTATCAGCCTCCCAAAGTGCTGGGATTACAGGCATGAGCCACCACACCCAGCCAGTCATTTTTAGAAAATATCATTGTCAAGGGCTGTGAAGTATTCCATCGCATGAATGTATGATAATTGTTTTGTTTTGTTTTTTTTGAGACGGAGTTTCACTCTTGTTACCCAGGCTGGAGTGCAATGGCGTGATCTCGGCTCACTGCAACCTCCGCCTCCTGGGTTCAGGCAATTCTCCTGCCTCAGCCTCCTGAGTAGCTGGGATTACAGGCACGTGCCACCGTGCCAGCTAATTTTTGTATTTTTAGTAGAGACGGGGTTTCACCATGTTGACCAGGATGGTCTCGATCTCTTGACCTCGTGATCCACCCACCTCGGCCTCCCAAAGTGCTGGGATTACAGGCATGAGCCACCGCGCCCAGCCTATAATTGTTTAATCAGACTCCCATCTTCAGATATTTGGTCTGTTTCTACTTTTGTACAGTATAACTAATATTATAGTAAACATTTTTATACATTAGTTTTAGTGAATATCTGCTAATTTCTTTAGGTCGGAATTGGTAATTCAAAGGGTATGAATATTTTTAAAGTATTTGCCAAACGGATAAATGGAAACAGTATGTCATTTTAATTTGCTTTTCCCCCCTATTGAAGGGCTTCCTAAAGCCAGTCCAGGAGCACAGGTTTTACCTGTCAGTGGCACATATCTGTGATTAAACCTGTTTTTGCATCTTGAACGACTGAAGGAAGAATGGTAAGGTAAAAAGACCTTAGGGTTTGGGGCCAGTTGGATCTGGCTTTGAAAAGCAACCCTAACCACTCACTACTAGAACACCCTTGGGTGAAGCATTGACTTCTGGGAGTCAATGAATGACTTCCTCATTCATTAATTTTCCTCAAAAAAATTAATCCCAGATTGGCCAGGCACCGTGGTTCATGCCTATAATCCCAGCACTTTGGGAGGCCAAGGTGGGCGGATCACCTGAGGTTGGGAGTTCGAGACCAGCCTGACCAACATGGAGAAACCCTGCATCTACTAAAAATACAAAATAAGCTAGGCATGGTAGCACATGCCTGTAAGCCCAGCTACTCAGGAGGCTACGTCAGGAGAATCACTTAAACCCAGGAGGCAGAGGTTGCGTGAGCAGAGATCACACCATTGCATTCCAGCCTGGGCAATGAGAGCAAAACTCCATCTCAAAAAAAAAAAAGAAGAGAGAAAAAAATAGAAAAATTAATCTCGGAAGGGAGCTCTGGGTAATCCCAACGCTCAGACAAAATGTGCTCTGACAGACGCTGCTGTCATCACCTTAATGCCCTTAACTACACATCAGCAGTTACAGGTCTTATTCAGTTCTTAAGAGTATTTCTGGCCCGGCACGGTGGCTCACACCTGTAATCCCAGCACTTTGGGAGGCCGATGCGGGTGGATCACGAGGTCAAGAGATCGAGACCATCCTGGTCAACATGGTGAAACCCCGTCTCGACTAAAAATACAAAAAATTAGCTGGGCACGGTGGCGCGTGCCTGTAATCCCAGCTACTCAGGAGGCTGAGGCAGGAGAATTGCCTGAACCCAGGAGGCGGAGGTTGCAGTGAGCCGAGATTGCACCATTGCACTCCAGCCTGGGTAACAAGAGCGAAACTCCATCTCAAAAAAAAAAAAGAATATTTCAATTCTATTATTCATTTATTTCATAGGCAGAAACTCAAAATCACTTGAGTCTGTATAACAATGATATGATTAAAGTTTAAGAAAAGGTCTAATTTTAGCTAATAATTTGTTGGTCATCACAACATCATAGGATAAATTTTTCCCAGCCATTCTCTCAATCTTTATTTCTTATGTAAATGACAAACATATACTTTCTTCTCACCTTTGGGCTAGGAGTTATAGATGTTTTCATCACAGGTTCAATATTGTGAGAAATAGACACTAGAGTCTGAGGAAGATAGAGGGGAAGGGACGTTAAATCCGCAAATGCTCCTGAGTCTTCAGACAACCACTGCTGAAGCTGATCTTCAAACCTGAAACAATAACATGATCATAAATTTAAAAATATTCGATGGGACAGGCGCAGTGGCTCAAGCCTGTAATCCCAGCACTTTGGGAGGCGGAGGCGGGTGGATCACGAGGTCAAGAGATCGAGACCATCCTGGTCAACACGGTGAAACCCTGTCTCTACTAAAATTACAAAAAATTAGCTGGGCACAGTGGCGCATGCCTGTAATCCCAGCTACTCTGGAGGCTGAGGCAGGAGAATTGCCTGAACCCAGGGGGCAGAGGTTGCGGTGAGCCGAGATTGCGCCACTGCACTCCAGCCTGGGTAACAAGCAAAACTCCGTCTCAAAAAAAAAAAAATATTCGAGCATTAGGAAGTTAACAACTGTTCAATAATCCTCTATATATACTTAAAAACTTTTTGAGCCTCTGCTTTTAAATTTTATTATTTTATTAATTTAGTGATTAATGTATTTTTTTAGGCGGAGTCTTATGCTGTTGCCCAGGCTGGAGTGCAGTGGGGTGATCTTGGGTCCATGCAACCTCTGACTCCCGGGTTCAAGTGATTCTCCTGCCTCAGCCTCTCCTGAGCAACTGGGATTACAGGCACATGCTGCCACGCCCAGCTAATTTTTTGTACTTTTAGTAGAGATAGGGTTTTACCATATAGCACAAGCTCGTCTTGAACTCCAGACCTCAGGTGACCCGTCCACCTCAGCCTTCCAAAGTGCTGGGATTACAGGCGTGAGCCACTGTGCCCACCCAATTTTATTATTATTTTTGAAAAGGTCTTGCTCTGTTGTCCAGGCTGGAATGCAGTGTCACGATCTTGGCTTACTGCAACCTTGACCTCCCAAGCTCAAATGATCCTCCCACCTCAGCCCCCCAAGTAGTTGGGACTACAGGTGCACACTATCACACCCAGCTAATTTTTGTGGAGACTGGGTTTTGCTGTGTTGCTAGGCTGGTCTGCAATGCCTGTGGTCAAGTGATCTGCCCATCTAGACCTCCCAAAGTGCTGGGATCATAGGCATGAGCCACCACACCCAGCCTTAAGCCTTTGCTTTTTACTAAGAATGTAAGAGATGACATCAACTGAGAAGTAGAAATGTACTTATTGAAAATGTAATAACTTCCTATGATAAAGCATAATTTAAAAAAAAGAACTAGGCTGGGCGCGATGGCTCATGCCTGTAATCTCAGCACATTGGGAAGCCAAGGCAGGTAAGGAGTTTGAAACCAGCCTGACCAACATGGTGAAGCCCCATCTATACTAAAAATATAAAAATTAGCCGGGTGTGATGGCAGATCCCTGTAATCCCAGCTACTCCGGAGGCTGAGGCAGGAGAATTGCTTGAACATGGGAGCCGGAGGTTGCAGTGAGCCAAGACTGCACCATTGCACTCCAGCAAGGGCATGAGAGCAAAACTCCATCTCAAAAAAACAAAAAACTTCCCTTTAATTTCTAAATCCAATTTATATGTAATGAAAAAGGTGGCATTAATTTAAAAACAACTGCTTCTGTGTGTTACTTCACATTATCTGTAATTTCTTGTCTGCTTTGTCTTCATTTACTTTGGTTTTATGCACCTATAATTCTTCTGACATTTTCCAAATGTGTGGCTTGCTTCTCATAGCTTACAATTAACTCGAAATAATATCCCACTGCTGCCTGGCAGACTCCAGAGCTGTCTACGTTCATATACCAGTCTTTTCAAGAAAAACAATCTTGGCCAGGTACAGTGGCTCATGCCTGTAATCCCAGCACTTTAGGAAGCCGAGGCGTGTGGATCAGGAGTTCAAGACCAGCCTGGCCAACAAGGTGAAACCCCATCTCTACTAAAAGTACAAAAATTAGCCAGGCATGGTAGCAGGCACGTGTAGTCCCAGCTACTTGGGAGGCTGAGGCAGGAGAATCACTTGAACCTGGGAGGCATAAGTTGTAGTAAGCTGAGATTATGCCATTGCACTCTAGCCTGGGCAACAGAGCAAGACTCTAATTTAAAAAAAAAAAAAAAAGAAAAAAGTTCTCATCCAAAACCACTTACAGACATTGATTCTAGAAATTGGACACATTCCTTCATTCTTCCAACACATATTTATCAAGCTTCCTCCAAATGCTAGGCATCATCCTAGGTACAAGGAATATTACACTGAAACAAAACAGAGGCCCTGCCCTAAGGAATTCATCCTTATTAGTGAGGGGAGACAGACAAGGAACACATAACAAGAGAAACAGTCTGAGGAAGAAAAAGACAAAGCCGGGCCATGGAAACAGGAAGGTCAGGGATGGGCAAGGAGGGCCTAATAGAAGCAGACATTTGAGCAGAGATCTGAAGTGCGGATGAGATCAGCCATGGGGATGCTGGGGAGAATGGAGGGGTTGGATAATCACAGACAAAAGGAACAGCAAACTCAAAGGCCCAACTATGAGCTGCTCACCATGTTCAAGTATGGAGCAGAGGTCAGAGAAGAAATGTGGGACATATGACTCAGGGCCCTGGTCACCCTTGTAAAATCTGCCTTTGATTCCAGGTGAAAGGAGGAAACCACTGAGAGGCTGTGAGCAAGCGAGTGACACAACCTCCATCTTAACTCACCTGAAAGGCACACATGGTCTACCAAGACTAAACTACAGCCTACTATAATAATCCAGAAGGAAGATGATAGTGGCTTGAGCCAAGTGGTAGCCATGGAAGCCATAACAACTGGTCCAACTGTGAACAGATTTTTAATAGAGCCAATAGGATATGTGAGTGGGATGATGTGAGAGGATGATTCCAAGGCACCTGATCTAGGCAGCTGGAAGGATGGAGCCACCATCAGCAGAGACGACCACCAAAGGAAGGGGTTGGTTAGAAGAAAGTCAGGAACTGGATTTGGGATATGTTAACTTTGCAGTGGCTACCAGACATCCAGTAGATGTCTAATGAAGATTTCAAATAAGCAGTAGGATGTTCAAGTCTGGAGTTCACAGGTTTGAGATACAAATTTGTAGTTGTCAGAATATTGATGTTATTTAAAGATCCATGGACCTGGATGAAATCTCTCAGGAATAGGTACAGATGATGCAGAGAAGTTGAGAGAATGAATCCAGGGGGCAGCTGCCGGATAAGGAGGAACCAGCAGGGTAGGAGGAGGTGTAGAGACATCCTAGGAGCAAGGAGGGGACGATCAAGTAGGGGATGCTGCCAGGGACTGGAGTTCACGGTCATGTTCAGCCCTGAGCTGGCTGCAGGAGACTAGGAAAGAAGGCTGAAGAAGTGAGTGTCACAAGCATTTCTGAGTTTTACTATTATGACGGCAGAAACACGGAGTGGTGGCTAAAGAGGGAAATGGGCCCAAGATCGGGAGAAATGCTGGCATGTTTCATGCCTGTGTGTTGCTGATGGGTACCTTTAGTATGGGAAGGGGTGGTAACACAAGAGGGATCTCATGGAATGAATGTCCTTGGGTGAGCAGGAGATAAGATCCCAGCCCAAGGAAGGACTGACTGTGACTAAGAGATGGATGGTTCCTTTCTAGCAACAAGAGGGGTTAGGAAGGGGGTACAGGGAGGATGCTGGATGTGGCTGGAAGGGAAGGGAAGGCAGAGGATAACCTGTGGAAGGTCCCTCATTCCTGGTTCTACTTCTCAGTGAAATGGTAAACGTGCCATCAGATGAAAGCAAAGGTATGCATGGGAGGGAGGGATGTGGGCAATGCAGAGGAGGGCAGCCCAGCTGCTGCCTAGTCACAGCACGGGATGATCCACCCAAGGGCAGGCCTGTGCCCAGCATACTGTTCAGTACTCACCATCTTCTGAGTAGACTTAGCCACATGAATTTCCCACAAAAACTTAACACTGACTTTCAATAATAAATAATAAATGAAACTCAATAAAGAACAGTTAAAAACATACTATCCCTAGGGTATTGCTTCTGTCTTCAAAGAGCTTTTCAACAGTCACACCACAACTGTTGCTAATAACCCACCTGCCGTTCTCCATCCTGGTCATCTCGTATCATCAATCAAGCAATAGCCAGTCTCCCCTCACAGCATAAAGTGGACTAAACAATACACACGAATTCAAAGGAAGTGGACTTCACCTCTTGTTCTCCTCTTTCTCCAGCAGCAGACTGCTCGACAAACACTGTGTCAGGCGCTCCTCAGCAGAAGCTCCTCGCATCAGATCCTCTGTGCTGGGAACCCTCCCCTCTCGACCACACTCTGTGCTCCTCTTCCAGTTACCGTCCATGTGAAGCAAAGGTATGGGAAAATTGTTTGCAGAAGCATGAAAAGTCTTTATTCCCAAACTGTAAGTACATGATTTGAAATGGTTATGGTCAAGAGAATATTTCTACAGCATCACGTAAAGCATAGAGATACGCTGCACATGTGCGTTAACACGTAAGAACATGTGCCTAAGACACATGCCCTCCTGGGACAGCTCATGCTGGCCTGCTTCCAAGCTTCCCTCAAGTCAGGGAGTAGGGCAAAGAGGGAAGGCAGCCCTGCACCGCAGTAACCCTCATGCACAGAGGTATCGAGACTACCTGTTCCTCTTGGAAGCTTCTGCTCTCACGAGGCAGCTTTTGGAGCTTCTCTGCTTCATGTCTTCCTTCCCACCCCAGGGTTCCAGATTCTGTTTTTCCCTAATACTGGCAAGGTCTTTATTTTTTATATTTAGCTTTGGAAGTAATGTTTACAAATGATGAGAGAAGGCATCTAACTTTTTTCTCTAAACATATGCCAATGTCTGTCCTTTCCCTGCTAATTTCAGTTATTTGGCATAACCCTTTTGTCACATATGGTTCTGTTTCTTGCCTCTCTATTCTGATCCATTCATCTATTCTGGCTTCCCCACGTGGTTTTAAGTACTGGAGCTTTTTCTATATGTTTTGATATCAGGCAAAGCAAACCTTGTTAGGCTTACTTAAAACTTTCTTAGCAATTGCTGAATATTTTCTTATCCTGATGAATTTTAGAACTTATCAATACCAGAATTGACATCTTCACAGCGTCATATCCTCCTGTAAACAACCTAGTCTGAACTTCAATGGCTCAGGTTTCCTTTGCACATGCAGGCCCTGAGAAACTCCTATGTTGTGAATGAGGCTTTTTTTAAACATGTTGTGGGTCTATCTGTCTGATCAACTTGCTGAATTCAGAATAGTTCTATGGGCTTGACTGCTGATTATCTTGGACTGACTACTGTACTGTCTGGAAATGACAGTTTCTCCTTCCTTTCGGTATTTGTGCCTATATCCCACATCCCTGTGCTGGTCAGAATTTCCAAGACAATAGTGAATAGTAGCCAGGACAACAGGCTGGTTCTGACTCCAGTGTTCCTAATGTTCTACCAAGAAGCATGTTCCCACCACCCCGCCCCACCTTTTGGTAGTTTTATGTTAGGTAGCCTTATCAGGTTAGGACTTTTTTTTTACCCAAGATAAAGAAATTTTATTGGGAATGGGTGTAAGTTTTAAGAAATGTATTTCAACACCTGCTACAATGGCCACTTATTTTTCTATTATGGTAACAAATTACATGAATACATTGTTTATCCTGGGAGAAAACATACTTGTGAACTTTTTAGGTACTGTGTTTGGAAGCAGATTTGCAAGTGAGATGAAATGTCAGCTGTATTCTCCTGGTTAGGTTTCAGGGTCAGGTTTGCCTGATAATGAAGTAAAATGCTTCTAACTTTGCTCTAGAAGAGTTTCTACTGCATGGGAATGATCTGTTCCTTGAGGGTCTGTCACAATCTGCCCACAATGGACTGGATTTGGCATGAAGGATGTTAATTTCTGTGTACTGTGGAAGAAAAATACAGTTTAGCAAGCAGCAGAAACAGACTGAACATGAATCTCACCGTCCTTCTCTCAGCTGTAGCTCCTTCTGTGTCTGCAATCTGGCTTGTTCCCATGACAAAGGAACATCGTATTTTTTCAAATCATTTTTAAAAAAATATACACATATTTGGCCATCTTCACTCAGTGCCTCTGAGAAAACAATACAAAAACAGATAAAGAGATTAGTCTGGACAACACAGCAAGCCCCCGTCTCAAAAAACAAAAAGAAAACCAGGTAAAAATAATATATAAAGAGCAGCAGGTGGCCATTTGGCATGTGCTTAAATTCACTGATTTAAGGGCAAGTCCTTCGATTATTTAAAGTCACACAATTATGTGACTTCCATACTTTGATTAAATAGGCTCCCAGTGTCCATGCATCAGAGTCCAGACAGGCTGACATCCAGACTGCAGGGCCAGTAAGGACTACTCAAAAGCCACAGAACCCTAACAGCCAGCCTAGGAAGCCTGTCTTAGGGAGGTGACTTCAGGCTCTACTGGAACCTTCTTGGCTTGTTTTCAATGTTTCTAAGTCACTGACTTGAGGGAGGAAGTCCTAAGGAAAAGAAGGGTAGGCACTCAAGAGAAAAGAAGCAACATCAAGTAAACGTCTTTCTTTGCAGAAACTACCAGAAAGTCTTGTGAGGCACTGATCGCACTGCACCAAGGTCTAACTACCTGATGTAACAGGAAGCCGGGGGGGTGTCCAGTCTCTCAGCTTGTGGTTGATACACAAGGCGATGAGATCATCCCATGGGATCTCCATGACGGAGGGGCCTGCCCCATGGACTGCGGAGAGGCTCTTGCTCTTCCACCTACGGTAGGTTCTGCAGAGCAGGTTCTCCACCTGGGACTGGAGGACAGGCTGCGTCTGGCATGAGCTGGGGATCTGAGAAGCGTACTGCACAACCATGGAGCACACGGGGAGCCAGGGGGCTGGGGAGAAAGTGCCTCGTTAGTTACAGGTTTGCCCTAAGTACAGGTGAAAATGTGTATGAAAATATTTTTAACTCTATTTTCTTAGGAGAAGGCAACCGTGAAGTTGAGAAGTCTGCTTTCTAAACACAGCGGAACCACGGCTGCTGAGGGGAAGAGCAGCTTGCTCCCAGGGTTTAGGTGAGGGATGCAGACAGTCCCCCTAAACAGTGTTGATAGCAAAGGTACACCATTCCCAGAAACTCTGTGTTTGTGCCTAGGAATCTGTATTTTAACAAGCACCCAGGTATAAGTCTGGGATAAGTTGTCTTAGCCTATTTTGTGGTGAGTGGTGAGTGGTTCGCTTCCCTTTGGGTTCCTTCAATTGAGCATGGGTTAGAGGTACTACAGACCACACCCCACAATTTAGAAGGGCACCTGAGGCCCAAAGGGGAGTGTCTATGCTAATGCCATGACTTCCGCCACATAAGCAGCTCATTCCCTTCTGACAGTGTCTGCATGGGAAGGAGCAGCCCCATGCCACACTGGGCTCGAGCCAGCCAGATGGCCTATAGGATCTGTGTCAAAACAGCTCAGAGACCTCAGCCAGGTACAGGGGCACAGCCAGAGCCACAGAACAAGACTTCTTTGACAAAGAAGTAACATTAAATCGGCACTGAGTGCCATGGCTGTGGCTTGGGGACAGGGCTACATGGTCCCCATGCTCTTTGCCCCTGGCTCGTCTGTTTTGAAAACAGGGACCATATGAGGCAGGCAGGACAGGATCAGAGTTGGTGTTCCTCCCAGTACCACTTGCCACTTTCCTCCTGAGGCAAGTGAACTCCCATGGACTGCTCTGTCAGTCAGGAAAGGCCAACAGCCCCCACTTCACAAAACCCAGCTTGTTCTGACCCATGAACATAAGGAAGGTGCAGGCAAGCACACTGTGGGGACACCCCATGTGCCCAGTGGAGGTGGATGTGCAGACCTCACACTGGTGCCCAACACCTGCCAGGTGGTCACTACAGTGAGAAGGAAGCCTGAGGCTCGGCTGCAGCCACTCACCGCTCCTCCCAGCACAAGCACTTACCCCCCAGGGGCGGAAGGTCCATCTGCGGAAGCTGGAACCCGAGCACAGCCTGCTTCAGCCAGGCCAGGTGCTCTGGGGCATTCCAGTGCAGGTGAGGAAGCAGCCGGCTGCCCCCCGCCTCAGCAAACTCAGTGACAGGCCAGGACAGGTCGCACAGCTGTTCAGAGGACACCACGGAAGCCAGGAACTGCAGCCCACTGTTAAACAACTCAATGATGGCGCCAGGCTCCTGCGAAGGAAGGCCACCCAGACGCCTCTCTCTTCTGTCGTGGAAAAAGCGGCCACTAAACTCACGGCCAACCCCATCTTCGACGTACTGAATGAGAGTCTGGCAGCAAAGGTCAAGGGAATGGGGGCAGTGGGAAACCAGCCACTGCACCGCTTGCAAAACCTGAGAGCAAAGACATTCAGAAGAGACTCTTAAACAATTCATACTGTTTTTCAAAAACAGCCTCATCCCCCAAGGCTGCCCACAGCAGGTAACACCAGAGTACCGGGGTCCCAACTGCGGTAGGAAGGGGAACAGAAGTGTCCTTTGCAGTTGAGTTTAGCCTTCTAGGGCCCTGGAGACATGTCCAGCAGAGGAACTAATGAGAGGCCCCCAGATCCCATCTGGCCTGAGGAGGAATGTGACCTGCATGCGGAAGGCCCAGGCCCTCAGGGAAACATCCCCTTCGCCATGCACAGAAACGGAAGCCACGTCTTCTGATTTTTGGAAGGACTAACAGCTTCATTATATGCCAAGATGCTGTCACACCGTATAGTTATCTTACTTCCTATAGTTATTTTAAATTCCTGGCACCTCTTTCTCTAAATTGTTAGCAAAGACTCCCGCTGCCTTTCTTTTGAGAAGGGGGTCTCCCTATGTTGCCCAGGCTAGTCTCCAACTCTTGGGCTTAAGCAGTCCTCTTGCTTCAACCTCCCAAGCAGCTGAGATTACAGGTTTGAGGAGACACCATGCCCAGTTTCAGACTTCCTTTTCAAAGGAAACATCAAAGAACATTATTTCTTAATATATTCAGAGAACAATCACCCTAGAAAAATAATTTCTATATCTGACCTTCAAATGTAAGATGTGTTCATATTTTAAATTCATAGACACAAAAACACTAAAAAATTTTACATGAACAATTTAATCTGTAGACAGCAGGACTGGGCAAATTTTATCTTTTGATTTCTGCTTATGTTTTTAGAAAGTTATCTATAAAACACACACCTGCTGCCGGGCGCAGTGGCATACCACAGTACTCCCATATCCTTGGGAGGCTGAAGTGGAAGACTGCGTGAGCTCAGTAGTTTGAGGCTGCAGGGAGCTATCATGCCACACTGGGTGACAGAATAAAACTCTATCTTAAGAAAAAAAAAATGCAAATGCTAATATACGCTCAATTCAAGATGGAGCAAAAGGGGAAAAATCAAAATACCTTGATGGACTGTTAAAAATAATGAAAGCTTACCTTAGTTGAAGCTCGTAGATCATTAATGGAATCAGGGATCTCCATAACAGTGTAATCTGAAATCAGCTTAGCTGAAACCAAGTCCTGGAGCATCAGACCTTTAACAGAGAGAGAGATGAAGGTCACACACATTCTGCTCTCAGCACACCTGCTAACACAACTCACTGTGCTGACCCACCCCAGTCCTGCAGTGGACAGTCCTACAAGGGTTGCTGTCTCAGTGACTGCTGACCCCACACTACTGGACCACCCTCAGACCAAGCGTCCACCCCTTTATTAAACAATGCTGGTTCATAAACAAGACTTCCTTCACAAACCATCCTCTACTTCCTTCTCAACGGCGTCCCCTCCTGAGCTGGGCATAAGAACCACCAGCGGAAGTGCAGGCTGGAAGGGCTTGGCCTGCAGGAGCTGCTTGAGCTGCAGCAAGGCCGAGAGCCAGTACACGTCCTCCTCTGCCACATCCTCACTCTTCACTTTGGGGGGAAGCAGCAGCATGAGCCCACTGGCTCCCAGGAGGTCCTTTTGTGTCTCCACAGCATCAATGGCGCCATCACTGAGGGCACCATGGGTCACCTGCAAGCGCATCAAGATCATCAGGATAGATGCACCACAGGACACATCAGCAGTGACTCAGCTGCCCCAGAGCAAGTGCAGCCAAAGCTTTCCATGCACTAAATACTGACTGCACTCCAGACAGGCTTCCAAGGGCACAGCTGGGCACACCCTACAGCTATCTTACTTCCTGTAGTTATTTTCGTTCCTGGTACCTCTTTCCCTAAATCCAATTGTTAGCAAAGACCGCCCCCCCAACACTTTTTTTTTTTTTTTTTTTGAGAAGGGGGTCTTTTTATGTTGCCCAGGCTGGTCTTGAACTCCTAGGCTCAAGCAGTCTTCCTGCTTCAGCCTCCTGAGTAGCTGAGATTACAGGTTTGAGGAGACACCATGCCCAGCTTCAGACTTCCTTTTTAAAAGATATATCAAATAACATTCTTTCTTCATATATCCAGAGGCCAATCACCCTAGAAAAATAATTTCTATATCTGACCTTCAGATAGAAAACATATTCATTTCTAGCCTCACTCTGTCGCCCAGGCTAGATTGCCGTGGCACAATCTCAACTCACTGCAACCTCTGCTTCCCGGGTTCAAGCAATTCTGCCTCAGACTCCCGAGTAGCTGGGACTACAGGCGCCCACAACCATGCCCAACTAATTTTCGTATTTTTAATGGAGATGGGGTTTCACCATGTTGGCCAGGCTGGTCTTGAACACCTGACCTCAAGTGATCAGCCCGCCTTGGCCTACCAAAGTGCTGGGATTACAGGCATGAGCCACTGCGCCTGCCCATGTTCGTATTTTAAATCCGTAGAAACAAAAACAACAGAATTAATGCAACAGAATTAGTGTAGTAAATGGCCAGTTCAACAGGTAATTTAGTCGCCAGCTAGAATTGTGTTTGACTATATTACTAACATTTTAATTAACCTTAAACAAGTATAAAACAAAACTGGACACAGTGGCTCATGCCTATCATCACAGCACAAAAGGAAGCCAAGGCAGGAGAACTGTTTGAGGCCAGGAGCTCAAGACCAGCCTGGGCAACACAGCAAGACCCCATCTCTACAAAAATAAACAAAACTTTATGCCCATAACAACATAAAGAGGGAAGGCAAGCCAGCAGCAGATGAAGGATTCTAATACATTTCTAGAAAGGAGCAAGTAGATGGGTCCAATCCCTGGGTTAGGGAAGCAGAGGAAGCCATACCTAAAGGCTGCAGGTGTGGGTGTGGAGGCTGCAGCCAGGTTGACTGAGCCTGCAAAAGCCCTTGATATCCAGGCCCTGCAGAGACCAGGAGCCAAAGGCGAAGTTCAGAGCCTGGCCCTATAGGCACCCACCACTGCAGGCAACCTTCTTATGCACAACCAGTCCCTCCGGGCCCCTGAACAGGAGTCCTGAGAGGATCCAGATGCAGGGGCGTGATCAGGCACAGTGGAAGGGACTTAGTGTCAAACCACTCCCGGCCCTACCCTGAGAATACCAGCAGCTCTCCAGGAAGCGGAAGGCACAAGTTCTTTGCAGAAAAACTTAACAGTCTAGGGAACAGACATTCAGATCCAGACATTTGGGAGTACCTCCAAAAAGGCTGGCTTGCCATTTAGCTACCTCCCACCCCGCCCCAAACACAGAACTCCTTGGCCAGCCTTGTAGGACCTCACTCAGTTATAGACAGACAGCCTCGGGTAAGGCATCTGAGGAGAGCCTCCAACATAAAAGAGATAAACGAGAATAACATAAGAGGGGGGGAAAAAAAGAGGAACCAGATAATGCATGATCCGAAGAAAACTTAGACCCCCAAAACCCTAATTTCCTCGGAAAGATAAGATGATGCATCCAAAAAATAAGATGCTATGAAAAAGTCAACGTAAGAGGAAATAATACATATGGAAGAAAAAAATCAGTAGAACAACTGGAAAATAAGGAAATCTTTCAGAACAAAGTAGGAAGAGACAAGATGGAAAACAGGGTAGAAAGGATAAGAAACTCAAAGGATCAAATGATGAGGTCTAACATCTATCTAACAGAGGCTGGAGAGAAAAGAAAACAGAGATTGGGCGCGGTGTCTCACACCTATAATCCCTGCACTCTGGGAGGCCGAGGTCAGGAGATCAAGACCACCCTGGGCAACATGGTGAAACCCTGTCTCTACTAAAAATACAAAAATTAGCCGGACATGGTGGTGTGTGCTTGTAGTCCCAGCTATTTGGGAAGCTGAGGCAGGAGACTCGCTTGAATTCAGGAGGCAGAGGTTGCAGTGAGCCAAAATTGAGCCATTGCACTCCAGCCTGGGGAGCAAGAGAGAGACTCCATCTCAAAAAAATAAATAAAGTGAGTGTCATAAAAACATGACTGCTAAGCCCTGCACAGTGAGTGAAGGAAGTCCAGTGCAAGGCATAACGAAGTGAATTTTTAGGGTGCCATGAACAGAGTAAAAAGGCTTCTGGAGAGAAACAAAACCAGGGCACACAGACTCCACCTCAACAGCAACAGTGGATGCTAGGTGACAGTGGAGCAAAACTGAAAGGAAAATAATTTTCTTTTTTTGAGACAGGGTCTCCCTCTGTAATCAAGGCTGGAGTGCAGCGGTGCGATCATGGCTCACTGCAGCCTTGAACGCCCGGGTTCAAGCAGTCTTCCTACCTCAGCTTCGCAAGCTGCAAGAACTACAGGCACAGCTAATTCTGGGTTTTTTGTTGTTGTTGTTTGTTTGTTTTTTGAGACAGAGTCTCGCTCTGTTACCCAGGCTTGAGTGCAATGGCCTGATCTCAGCTCACCGCAACTTCCACCTCCCGAGTTCAAGCAATTCTCCTGCCTCAGCCTTCTGAGTAGGTGGGCTTACAAGCACGCACCACCATGCCCAGCTAATTTTTGTATTTTTAGTAGACAGGGGTTTCACCATGTTGGTCAGGCTGGTCTCAAACTCCTGACCTCATGATCCGCCCACCTCAGCCTCCCAGAGTGCTGGGATTACAGGTGTGGGTCACTATGCCAGGCCAATTTTTGTATTTTTTATACAGGGTTTCACCACATTGCCCAAGCTGGTCTCAAACTCCTGTACTCAAAACAATCTGCTTACCTTGGCTTCCCAGAGTGCTAGGATTACAGGTATAACCCACTATGTGCGGCCAGGAAAGTAATTTTCTACCTCTAATTTTACAAACATAGCTAAACTATGATGCAAATGTGAGAACAAAATAAATCTTTTTTTCTTTCCCCCAGCCTAAGTTATTTTGTCAATAAAATCATTTTTGCTGGGTGCAGTGGCTCACACCTGTAATCCCAGCACTTTGGGATGCCAACGTGGGCGGATCACGAAATCAGGAGATCGAGACCATTCTGGCTAACACGATAAAACCCCGTCTCTACTAACAATACAAAAAATTAGCCAGGCGTGGTGGCACATGCCTATAGTCCTCGCTACTCAGAAGGCTGAAGCAGGAGAATCACTTGAATCCAGGAGGCAGAAGTTGCAGTGAACCAAGATCACACCACTGCACTCCAGCCTGGGTGACAGAGCGAAACTCTGTCTTGAAAAAAACAATAATAAATCATTTTTATACGGGAAAGGACTCAGAAAATTCCCCTCCCATGACATCTACCATCCAACAAGGGGCTGAACCAAGAAAACATACCACAGCTGCTGCTAAAGGCAACACTGAGCAAGCACCTGGCCCATGCCAGGCATTGTCCTATGCACTCACTCCATCCTCAAGAGCTAGATGAGCATCTCCAGCACACAGCACCTGCACAGGCTTGGGCAATTTCTTTTGGCTTTGCTGAGTAAAACAGGACAGTAAGTAAGACTATCCATACACAGGTGGCAGAGACATTAGGGAACTTGCCCAAGGTCACAGAGCTTCCAGGTGGAGGAGCAGGGACATGTGCTTGCAATGATGGCATGAAGGCACATGCTGCCTGGATGGAGACCAGCCCACAGATGAGGGTTCCAGGACAGAGGGAATATGGATGGATCAGAATATGGAAGTGACAGAACATTTGGAAAACTCTACAGAGATATATACAGCAACCCCCCCACCCCGCCCAGTAAAAATTAAAAGCAATAAAGAGAACTATGTTAAGTGAGACAGTAAGGCAACTCCAGTTCTTGCAGAAAAAAATAATTGTGGTCATAGAAAGAACATTACTGGTTCTGAGGCAAAGAGAGTCACAGAGCCCGTTCACTAGAGTGGGCTCACAAAGTGACAGTGTAGCCATCCTGGGAAGACGTGGAAGGCTGAGTGGGATCATGGCACAGGAGGCCACTCTGCACCTAGTGTGGTATGCAGCAGCCAAGAGGGCCCCCCAACTCCACCTAGTGTTCATGCCCATGTGTGATCTCCTGCCCTGTGAGCTGGGCCTAGCCACTCACTTCTAACAGACAGAAGCCAACGAAAGCAACACCGATGTCACTTCTAAGTTTAGGTTATAAAGGCACTCAGACTTCCGTCTTGGCTCACCTCTTGCTCACTCTGATGAAAGCCAGCTGCCATGCTGTCAGCTGGGGAGGGGCCTATGTGGCAGGAAGTGAGGGTGTCTGGTCACAGCCTGCAAGGAAGTGAATCCTGACGCCAGCTCACTAGAATGAGCTGGGATGTAGATACCCTTCAATCAAGCTTTCAGAGGAGACCATAATCCTACCTGTGAGAAACCTTGAGCCAGAGGACCCAAGCTAAGCTACACCTGGATTCCTGACCCACAGAAATTTGATAACAGATGTCATTTTAAGCTGCTATGTAGGGGTAATCTGTTAATTAGGAATAGGTAACTACTACATTTATATTAATGGGAAGTCAGCAGAGAACACTGAAATGGATAAACTGAGAAACGGCTGTGTAAGTGTGTAACCTGAAAACATGAGAAAAATGAGGCCCTGAAGAAAGGAGCTGAGAGGAGGGAGGAGCTACTATGTCTCATTTTAAATCATGTGGCATTATTTGACTTCCTTTTAAGTACATGGAAGCATTACTTTCATTAAAAATGAAAATGAAGGTAACGGGAAGAGTAAACTAATTTCCAGGAGATGAAATACGACTTTGCAATCACAGGAAAAGGGAAGAATGTGCACCAAGAAGTTACTGTCACCTCAGAACAGCAAGAGCATGGATGGCTCTTACCATCATCTTTACACTTCTACATCTCCTCATTTTTTAAGTTTTATATACGGATTACATTTAGGAAATTCAATATATAGTATTAAAATAGAAAAATTAAAGAAGCAGGCTGGGTGCGGCGCCCACTGGTAAATTTGACTGGCTTAAAAAAATAATTTTTAAAAAGACACTAAAATGACAGACATAGTATTTCCTTCGGAGCCTCCCACAGTCTTTCAAAACCACGTTAGGGAATAAATAGTATTTGCGTGATTCCAGTGACATCTTGGAGTAAGTGACAGTAATGAAAACATACAAGTAAACACCGAGTAATTATAGTTCACCTTTATACACACGTTTACAGAAATCATCTGGTCCCCTTTGCCGCTAAGTGAGTTGAAAAGTGAAAGCGTCTGAATCCCACCAGCATCGCTGCACATGTCATCCACTGAGCCATCATCTCCCATGAACTTGACTTTCAACCAATTTGCCAGCATTCTACAGATTAAAAAAAAAAAACTTGAAGAATCCAATTCTAAATTTGAATTATAAAGACTTCCAGGAAAAGAAGAAAGAGAAATATCACACAGATCTAGGTCCAAAGTTAACAAATCTTACTATGAAGCTGACCTGCACAAAACAGGCTGCCATTTAAAAATGGAGCAATGATCTTTCTTGTTCTTTTTTTTTTTCTTTCCCTCAGATAGGGTCTCACTGTCACCCAGGGTAGAGTGCGGTGGTACAAACTCAGCTCACTGTAGCAAGCAAACCTCCTGCCTCAGCCTCCTCAGTAGCCGGGACTACAGGCACGGGCCACCATCCTCTGCTAAGTTTTGTTAGCACAACACAGATGTTGCTCACACTGGCTTCAAACTCCTGGGCTCAAGCAATCCTTCCACAGCCTCCCCAGTTGCTGAGATTACAGCTGTGCACCACTGCACCTGGCTTCTACTTGTTCTTAATTGAGCAGGAGGGAGTACTCATAGAACCGGCTCACTCTAACGTGACTTAAGATTCTGAAGCATTAAGATTTTCAGCAATAGAAAACATCCCTAGAGTTTGAAATACATATTTTTTATAGATCAAATTTCTCACATCTGAGACCTTAAGAATTCCTCAGTGATATATGAACTTAGCAAATCATGAGACAGCTATTTTAAGAAATGAATCCTCAGCTGGGTGTGGTGGCTCACACCTGTAATCCCAACACTTTGGAAGGCCAAGGCAGGTGGATTGCTTGAGCCAGAAGTTCAAGACCAGCCTGGGCAACATAGCAAAACCCTGTCTTGACAGGAAAAAAAAAAATAATTACAAAACCTAGCCCAGCATGGTGGTGCGTGCCTATAGTCTCTGCTACTCAGGAAGACCACTTGAGCCCAGGAGGTCAGGTTGCAGGGTGCCAAGATCACATCACTGCACTCCAGCCTGGGGGATAGAGTGAGACCTTGTGTCAAAATTAAAAAAAAAAAAAAAAAAAAGGGAAAAAGGAATAGCCATTTAAATATTTTTAAGATGCCACAACACTCTTCTTTGTTCCGCCGTCCTATGAGATGAACATCATGACTCTATTTCTCTTTCCTTACTGCATGTGTTCCAAGCTTGCCTGGGCTTTCTAAGTGAAAAAGTATTCTGGAATTAGATAATGGTGTTTAAAAAGAAATGCGTTCAGAGAACTTCGAACCCTCATACATTGCTGGTAGGAATGTTAAAGATGCAGCCACCACGGAAAGGTTTGGCAATTCCTCAAAAACTTAAACATACACTTACCATAAAATCAGCAATCCTACTCCTAGCTATATAACCAAGAGAATTATAAATCACATGTCCACACAAATACTTACATGTTAGTATTCATAGCAGTCTTTTCACAGTAGCCAAAAAGTAAAAACCACCCAAATGCCTATCAACCGATAAATGGATAAATAAGGTATACTCACACAGTGGAGTATTATTCAGCCACAGAAATGAATGAAGCACTAACATATGCTTCAGTGTGGAAAAGTCTAGAAAACATTCCGTAAGGGAAAGGTGCGATTCAGAAAAGGCTACATATTATATGATTCCATTTATATAAGACGTCTAGAATAGGCAAATTTATGGAAACAGAAAACAGATCAGTGGTTTCAGGCTGGGTACGATGGCTCACATCTGTAATCCCAGCACTTTGGGAGGCCGAGGCAAGCCGATCACCTCAGGTGAAAAGTTCAAGACCAGCCTGGCCAACGCGGCGAAACCCCATGTCTACTAAAAATACAAAAATTAGGCTGGGTGGTGTGCACGTGTAATCCCAGCTACTCGGGAGGCTGAGGCAAGAAAATTGCTTAAATCCGAGAAACAGAGGTTACAGTGAGCCGAGATCGCACCACTGTACTCCAGCCTGGGCAAAAGAGCAAGATTCCATCTCAAAAAAAAATACGGGTTTCTTTTTGAGTGAAAAGGCTTTCTGGAATTAGTTAACAGTGATGGTTGCAAAACCCTGTGGATATATCTAAAAATCACTGAAATGTACACTTCAAATGGGTGAAGTTTATGGTATGTGAATAAAATTTCAATAAAGCTATCTTAAAGAAACTGTAAGCCAGTAGTGATGGTTCACGCCTGTAATCCCAAAACCTTGGGAAACCATAGCACATGGATTGCTTGAGCCCAGGAATTCAAGACCAGCCTGGGCAACATGGTGAAACCCCATCTTTCAAAAAAGAAAAACCATTAGCCAGGCATGGTGGCACATGCCTGTAGTTCCAGCTACTCAGGAGGCTAGGGTGAGAAGGTCATTTGAGCCTAGGAGGTCGAGGCTTCAGTGAGTCATTATCACACCAGTGCCCTCCAGCCTAGGTGAGGGCAAGACCCTGTCTCAGAAGAAACAAACTGTAGTTGCTTTAAAACTATGACTTCTTGGCCAGGAGTAATGGCTCACACCTATAAGCCCAGCACTTTGGGAGGCCGAGGCAGGTGGATTATGAGACCAGCCTGACCAACATGGTAAAACCCCATCTCTACTAAAAATACAAAAAGATTAGCCAGGCGTGGTGGTGCGCGCCTGTAATCCCAGCTACTCAAGAGACTAATGCAGGAGAATTGCTTGAACTCAGGAGGTGGAGCTTCAGGAGCTGAGCCATGCACTCCAGCCTGGGTGACAAAGTGAGACTCCAGCTCAAAAACCTGGGGAAAAAAAAAAAGACTTCTGGCCAGGTGCACTGGCTCGCTCCTGTAATCCCAGCACTTTGGGAGGCCCAGGCAGGTGGACTAAAAGGTCAGGAGATTGAGACCCGCCTGGCCAGCACGGTGAAACCCCATCTCTACTAAAATACAAAAAAAAAAAAAAAAATTAGCTGGGTGTGGTGACATGTGCCTGTAATCCCAGCTGTTTGGGAGGCTGAGGCAGGAGAATCACTTGAACCCAGGAGGCAGAGGCTGCAGCGAGCAAGATTGTGCCACTGCACTCCAGCCTGGCAACAGACCGAGATTCTGTCTCAAAAAAAGACTTTTGTATGCTAGTTACAGGAAGTAAGACCATGTCAATTTTTTTTCTTTTTTAAAATGCCAAGTTTCTTCTGAATGGTAAAAAATCAAACTATAGTAAACAATAAACTGTCTAAAATAAAGCAGGTCTATCGACACCTTAACACAGCTTTAAATACTGTTGCCAAGTGACATGGTTCAGATTTGTGTGCCCACCCACAATCTCATGTTGAACTGTAATCCCCAGTGTTGAAGGAGGCGCCTGGTGGGAGGTACTGTATCGGGGGTGGATCTCCCCCTTCCTGTTCTCATGACAGTGAGCTCTCATGAGATCCAGTTGTTTACAAGTGTGTAGCACCTCCCACTTTGCTCTCTTCCTCTTGCTCCGATTACGAAGGCCATGCTGCTTCCCCTTCGCCTTCCACCCTGACTGTGGGTTTTCTGAGGCCTCCCCGGCCATGCTTCCTGTGCAGCCTATGGAACCATGAGCCAATTAAACCTCTTTATAAATTATCAAGTCTCAGACCATTCTTTAAAGCAGTGTGAAAATGGACTAATACACCAAGTTTATGGAATAAAAATGGAAATAATCAAATCTAAAGTTTCAACTTAAAATCCTGAGCAAAACAGACCATAAATCCAAGCATTAAAACGTTAAACCTACGCTTCAGAGTTCCCATCACACATAAAAGGAATACCGGCCCTGGCCCACAGCTCTGCCCCCGTGCACTTCGCCTCTTCGAAACCCCACAGGGGAAACCCTTCCTGACCTGCCAGGACTCCCTGGGGACTGCTCTTCTCCATCCGGCAACACCAGCACCAGCTTCCAAAACACATGCTCCTGCCTCCCAGGGAGGTGCTCAGCCACAAGGGACGGCAGGTCCAGAGACGCCCACGCCACATCACTGGAAGGAAAAGACCGCCGTGGGTTAGCCAGGATGTGAGACCCTAGCAGGAGCAGCACACACAGCCTATGAGCAGGAAGGGGCAGGGTGGGGAAAAATCAGGGTCAGAGGTTGAACTGCAAACTAGAAACCCTGTCTGAAACTCAGCCAAGAGACCTCAGATGCATGAAGGGCTGTCAGTGTGACAGACGGGGAGATGGGGTGGGGAGGGGGGCGGGCGGGTGACCAGGGAGCACACAGAAGGGTGGAGCATGACAGACCTCAGCAGCTGCTGGTAGAAGTGCTGAACCTTCATCTGGTGAACGGTCTTATTTCTGAGCTGCCGTAACCTGCAAAGGAAAGCAGAATGACAGTGTCCCTGCAGGAGCTTAGTGAAAAGTACTGACTGGCTAGTGAGTGCCCCCTGGGGAATACCCAGGAGACTGAAAAAAACTTTCTGCTAAAGAAATGGGTTACAGGACAGGCACAGTGGCTCACGCCTGTAATGCCAGCACTTTGGGAGGCCGAGGCAGGCAGATCCTGATGTCAGGAGATCGAGACCATCCTGGCCAACACGGTGAAACCCCGTCTCTACTACAAATACAAAAAGATTAACTGGGGTGGTGCCACACCCATAGTCCCATCTACTCAAGAGGCTGAGGCAGGAGAATCGCTCGAACCCGGGAGGCAGAGGTTGCAGTGAGCCAGTATTGCGGCCACTGCACTCCAGCCTGGGTGACAGAGCAAGACTCCATTTCAAAAAAAAAAAAAAAAAATAATGGGTTAAGAGGATTCCTTCATTCCTGCTGTGTGCTGGCTGTGGGAGATTCAGCAATAAATCCTGCCCTTCAAGCATCTCTAAATGTTGTCCTGGCATGTGGGAGGTGTCTGCACTGTGGGCAAATGCTGCCAGGTGGGGCTGGAGCTGGGGTGTGTGTTGCAATCTCACTAGGGTGGTCAGGTGATAGGTGAGCAACGACCTAAAGGAAACAAGGGCAGCCAACATGACAAGTCCCAGCAGCAGAGCGCATGGCTATGCTGGGCCACAGCTGGACCTAGCATGTTTGGGGAGGGCAGTGAGGACAGCTGGGGAAGGGGCTGGGTCCACAGTGCAGAGACTTGGCCATCGCTAGGTTCGCCGCCGAGACAGGCAACGCCACCTGGCTGAGCTGTCGGAGGATCCCTCCAGCTGATGCTGACCTGGTGCAGGAGATGCCCAATTTCCCTGCGTGGCCCAGGTCCAGGAGACCCCTGGCCAGGTTCTCCTCAGCAATGGGGCACTCTGCGCTGGGCGCCAGTGCCCTCAGCCGGTTGCTCACGTCCACGCAGCAGGGTGCAGCAGGGAAAGCCCGCATCTGGCGCCTCAGTTTCTTCCGGGCTGCGACAGCTTCCCTCCACCTGGGGGGCACAAAAACACATCATCACTGAGTGTTTTCAAGGTCTTCAAACCAATAAACAAATTGGAGTTAAAACTCAGGCATGTTGCTGACTTGGCCTACCAAAAATAAATAAATAAATGAATGAAAACAACTCAGCTATGGGGAAGGAATGCCATCAAATGAGCATGCTGAGCAATGAAACTAACACGGAATGCGCTTTGGAGGCCGACTTGGCAATACGGAGACATATGGGAAGAAAGCTGCCCGGGTGCCATGGCAAGAAACTGAAGGCACATCTGTCCCAGCACAATAAATGATTGCTCAGACACAGCAGTGACATCAAAGATGAATAACTGATTACTTAGACACAGCGATGACACCAGTTAGACTTAGATGCAATCACACAATTAATTATATAGTCAATCTTACATTATTCTTCTCTACTATTAACTTTTCCTTTAGTATTACAGTGTAGAAACGTTTTTAGCCTTATATTATAGAAATAACAGGGTAAAATATAATTAGGAACTAAAGGGACACTGTGAGAAGTGATCAGGAGACAACAGTAAAAGCCCTGTGGTAACGCCAGTGCCTGGGGAGGTGCCCGTTACTTAGCAGGCAGGCCTTGCCCTAATGCCAGCTTCTGGGGAGGTGCCCGTTTACTTAGCAGGCTGTGAGGGCGAGTTCAGAGAAAACTCTGCTCTGCTGGCTCTTGAGGAAGGTCTGACACTAGCCAGCCGGCCCACAGACATTCAGGAGCTTAAACACCTCTCCGTGGTGCTGTGCTCCGACGGTCACGATCCTTGTCCACTTTCATGTTCCACTTTCCCAGCCGATGCTCCCTTGTAAATTCTTAGAATAGAGGAACCCTAAAAGCCTTTGATCTCCCTGATAAGTGCATGGAAAGATACTGATCTATGTGCCTCCCCTCCTGGCAGCAGCTACCTGAGGGAGGGGCCCTCTGTACTGTACCCATGTGACCCACTGAACTGTGCCCATGTGGCCCCCATATTTTAAGAAAGTGATTTGCTTGACCCCTAGCAATCATGTCAGATAATTCACTCTCCAGCCCTGGCCCCCTGCCTTGTATACAATAAATGTCAGTGAGTCCAGGCATTTGGGGCCACTGCTGGACTCTGGTAGCAGTGTTCCCCCAGGCCCAGCTGAATTCTTACCTCTGTGTCCTTGTGTCTTTCTCTTCTACGATCTATCATCTCTGCACACAAAAGAATACCCACAAGACCCTGTGGGGCTGGACCCTGCAGATACAGATCTAGGATACATATGCCCAGCCGGGCACGGTGGCTCACGCCTGTAATCCTAGCACTTTGGGAGACCAAGGTGGGCAGATTGCCTGAGCTCAAGAGTCTGAGACCACCCTGGGCAACACAGTGAAACACATCTCTACTAAAATACAAAAAATTAGACGGTTATGGTGGTAGGCGCCTGTGGTCCCAGCTACTCAGGAGGCTAAGGCAGGAGAATCATCTAAATCCGAGAGGTGGAGGTTGAAGTGAGCCAAGATCATGCCACGCCACTGCACTCCAGCCTGGGCGACAGGAGACTCTTGTCCAAAAAAAAAAAAAATGATACACATATATCCCTTGACCCATAGCTGCTACTGACAGGAATTTATCTCCAGAAACACATGCCTGTGTGCAACCGGGTGAACTGTCTGTACAAGGATGGTCACCAGGCACTCTTTGCCAGAGCTAAAAGGAGAGCCACATCGAAGTCCATCCACAGAGGACCAGGAAGGTCATCACTGGTACATTTTTGAACTGATCTCAACACCAATGGCAATCCTGAGAGCTCAACACGCTACTATAGCCAGGCCTCCACCTCTTACCAGATGGAGCATAGAAAGGCTCAGGGCAAAGCAGGGGTCAGGAGGTCACCTGTGCCAACAGCCACAGGAAAGGACAGAAAGTCTCTGGATGGATTCACAAGCAGCTGCTGCTCGAACAATGGACGGTCTGTTGTGGAAGGGAGACTCACTTCTCCCCATACTCCCTTCTATACTGTTACAACTGTCAAGGACACTATTACTTATTTAAATTTCCCTGTGAAATAAATCATACAACACACGTAACACATATGTGCCCCGTTTAAAGATTAATAAGCACCTATGCACTCTCATCCAGTTGAGACGCTGTAGCCATGAGAGGCAGCCCTCCCATTCCCAAAAGTAACTACTGTGCTGAGATTATGATCGTTATTTTCCTCCTTTTCTTTAGGATTATACCACTATATAAAAATCCAAAATAAGCGATTTGGTATGAATATACAGTATTTGTATATTCCCTGTTGATCGCTTTTTTCCCACGACTTCTGTTTTGAGATGGAGTGCTCCCATTTGCTGGTGCAGAGTCATCATCTGGCCTGTTCACAGCCATCTCCCAGCACCCAGTGCCATGGGCATATGGCAGCATCCTGTAAGTATGCTGAAATACAGAGCAGCCACCACACCCCAATCTAATTCCTGACTTTTCCCCTTAGTTTATACTGTGTGCACATGTGTGTGTATGTGTCGCACATAATCAGGTATTTCTGAAACCCAATATAAACCAATTGGAGTCCGTTTTAGGTATTCATTGCTGTAACATTTTCCCTGATCCTTTTACCACTGAATAAAGGAACTGAAGGCTCATACATTTTGAATCTGGTAAAAGACTCTTCCCCATGCGTGTGGATTTTGCCTATAGGGACACAGGACTCACCGCTGCAGATACTTGCAGAAGCACTGAAGCTCCTGGAGAGTCTCCTTTGCAGTCTGGAAGATTTCCTCCACGAGAAACAAGTCCACGAGGTGGGCACAGACATCCTCACAGCAACGGGCCATGCGGACCCTCTGGTCTGTCTCTACTGCTTTCCTAAGAAACAGGGCAATCAGCATGGAAGACTGCACTCAGGGCCCACAGATACTGAGGGCTTGCTTTAAAAGTTCAAGAGCTGGCCAGGCACGGTGGCTCACGCCTATAATCCCAGCAATTTGGGAGGCCTAGGCGGGTGGATGACCTGAGGTCGGGAATTGGAAACCAACCTGGCCAACATGGAGAAACCCAAGCTCTACTAAAAATACAAAATTAGCCGGGCATGGTGGCACAGGCCTGTAATCCCAACTACTCGGAGGGGTGAGGCAGGAGAATCACTTCAACCAGGAGGCAGAGGTTGCAGTGAGCTGAGATCATGCCATTGCACTCCAGCCTGGGCAACAAAAGCCAAACTCCATCTCAAAAAAAAATAAAATAAAATAAAAATTGAAATTAAAATACAGAAATCAGCTGGGCATGGTAGTATGTGCCTATAGTCCCAGCTACTCAGGAAGCTGAGGCAGGAGAATTGTTTGAACCCAGGAGGTGGAGGTTGCAGTGAGCTGAGACTGCACCACTGCGATCCAGCCTAGGCGACAGAGCGAGACTCCATCCCAAAAAAGAAAACAAAAAAACAGTGTTAAGAGTCTGCATCCTCAACATTAACATGTAATTACATGTTTGCTGTAAGTGAAGCTTATATACTTAAACTGCAGACACCTAGAAAGATACAGTAAAAACAATTAAGTGGTACAGGCTGCCAAATTACAGGGGCAAAGGGGCCCTTGTAACAGTTAAGAAATAAACTAGGCCGGGCGCCGTGGCTCACGCCTGTAATTCCAGCACTTCGGGAGGCCAAGGCGGGCGGATCACAAGGTCAAGAGGTTGAGACCATCCTGGCCAACATGGTGAAACCCGTCTCTACTAAAAATACAAAAATTAGCTGGGCATGGTGGCATGCACCTGTAGTCCCAGCTAACTGGGAGGCTGAGGCAGGAGAATCGCTTGAACCCGGGAGGCAGAGATTGCAATGAGCTGAGATCGCACCACTGCACTCCAGCCTGGCGACAGACTGAGGCCTCTGTCTCAAGAAAAGAAAGAAAGGAAGAAAGAAAGAAACCTTTATCTTTAAAATAGTCAGAATTTTTAATTAATTATTTTAGAGACAGAGTCCCACTATGCTGCCCAGGCTGCAGTACGGTGGCCATCCACAGGTGCAGTCATTGCACACTACCTGGACCTTCCGAGCTTAAGTCACACCTCAGTCTCAGGAGCTGGGACTACAGGTGCCTGGCTTAGAATTTGTGAATGACCATGCAGACAACCAACCACAAAATCTTCTCATCAGCAATACCTGAGATCTGCAATTGGAAGTGTGTCAAGTATCTGATAAATGCCAGTGGCTACTAAGGATGGCTGACGCTGGTCATGTGGTGGTAGCCCTTGTATAAAAGAGAATTTTTTATAATAAAATTCTTTGTCGAATATATATCAAATACGTTTGGTCACAAAATCAAAGCTTAAACAGGAAAGCACATTTCCAATAGGCCATCCTCAGTGGCTGGAGACACAGCCTCTGTCTCCTGGCACAGCAAGGCACCAATGTTTCACTTACTTCAACTCCTGAGAGCAAGTTTCCCTCACGAACTCCATCATCACCCATTCCATCAGCTCTGCAGCCAGGCCCTGGCTCAGCTCAGTTAACGCCAGCTCTCTCTCCCGTTTCAACCTACAAGGAAGAGAATACCCAAGGATAATGTTTCAGAATAAAAATAAGTGCTGCTTGCTTTACTCCCCAGCCGTGCAGACAGGGACTGAGCTGTGCTGCCTGAGCCAGGAGGCCACCCCGACTCCAGCTCCCGACACCACCTCCCTTCCCCTGCCTTTCCTGGCTGAGGAGGGCCACTGCTCACAGGTGGGTATGGCCTGGGGACTTCTACCCACTCCTTGGGCTCAAGCGTATGAGGGCACTGAGAGGGCCAGCAGGGGTTGAGTAGCAGCACATTGCACAACAGCAAGGGCTTCCCGGCCAGGGTCCACTCTCTCCCGCCCTGCTGCGTGGACACGACACACCAACCTTTCCTCTTCGGCCCGCTGCCTCTCCTGCTCTCTCCGCTCCGTTTCCTTAGTCACTTCTTCAGCTGCAATGTGCCTCAAAATGCCTGTGGTTGCAGCTGTTAACAAATCCTCCACAGCAGCATTAGAAACACTACACAGAGCAAAGGGGACAGCATTCAAAATCAAAGTAAAAAGCCACGTCAGTAAGTGTCTGATACTGACAAGGAAAAACACAGCTTCAGTATCCCTAATCCAAAAATCTGAAATCCAAAATGCTCCAAAATCTAAAACTTTGAAAGCACAGCATGACATGCTTTCAAAGGAAATGCTCATTGAATCATTTTAGAATTCAGATTTTTAGGTAGGAGATACTCAACCGGTAGATAGAATACAAATATTCCAAAATCCAAAAATATCTGTGATCTAGAACACTGTCGTCCCAGCATTTTGGATAACGGATATGCAGTCTGTACGTGTTTGGCTGTCAGCATACAAATTAAGCCACTGTTAGAAACACACCATTTACCAAAACGGACTCGTGAAGAAACAGAAAAAGCTCAACAGTCCTGTAATTCTTAAGAAGACTTCCAAACAAAGAAAAGTATGAGACCAGAAGGTTTCACTGGTAAATTCTATTAAACACCTACGAAAATCTACCACCAATCTTTCTCAAACCCTTTCAAAAACTGAGGAGGAGAGAACATTTACTAACTCATTTTCTGAGGCCAGCATTGCCATAATATCAAAGACAGACCAAAGACACTAGAGGAAAGCTAGAGACTGGCCAGGCAGGAGGTGGCTCACGCCCATAATCCCAGCATTTTGGGAAGCTGAGGTGGGAGGACTGCTTGAACCCAGGAGTTCAAGACTAACCTAGGCAACACAGGGAGGCCCCATCTCTACAAAAAAATAAAAACTTAGCCAGGTATGGTGGCATGTGCCTGTGGTCCTAGTTACTTGGGAGGCTGAGGTGGGAGGATGGCTTCAGCCTAGAAAATCAAGGCTGCAGCTAGCTGTGATTGTGCTTCTGCACTCTGGCCTTGGTGACAAAGTAAGACCCTGGCTCAAAAAAAAAAAAAAAAAAAAGGAAAACTACAGACCAATATTCCTCATGAATATGGATATAAAAATCCTCAACAAGGCCAAGCATGGTGGCTCATGCCTATAATCCCAGCACTTTGGGAGGCCAAGAAGGATGGATCATGTGAGGTCAGGAGTTCGAGACCAGCCTGGCCAACATGGTAAAACCCCATCTCTACTAAAAACACAAACATTAGCCAGGAGTTGGTGGCAAGCAGCTGTAATCCCAGATACTTGGGAGGCTGAGACAGGAGAATCACTTAAACCTGAGAGATGAAGGTTATAGTGAGCCAAGATTGCGCCACTGTACTTCAGCCTGGGCGACAGAGTAAGACTCCAGCTCAGAGAAAAAAACAAATCTTCAACAAATGTTGGGCAGAGTGGCTCACACCTCTAATCCCAACACTTTGAGAGGCTGATGTCAGGAATTCAAAGCCAGTCTGCACAACAAAGTGAGACCGAGCCTCTAAAAAATTTAAAACTTGGTTGGGCACGGTGGCTCATGCCTGTAATCCCAGCACTTTGGAAGTCCAAGGCGGTAGATCACCTGAAGTCAGGAGTTCCAGACCAGCCTGGCCAAGCAAGACTCTGTCTCAAAAATAAACTAATTAATTAATTAATTAAACCAAGGAAGCAAAAACTTTGTATGGTGAAAACTATAAAGCATTCCTAAAAGAAATTAAGGATGACCTAAATAAATGGCATCTGATACTCTCAGATTAGAAGATTTAATATTGTTAAAACAACAATATTGGCCAGGCGTGGTGGCTCATGCCTGTAATCCCAGTACTTTAAGAGGCTGAAGCAGGCAGATCACTTGAAGCCAGAAGTTCTAGACCACCCTGGACAACATGGCAAAAGGCATCTCTACAAAATATTAAAAAATTAGCCAGGCGTGGTGGTGGTACACACCTGTAATCCTAGCTACTTAGGAAGCTGAGGCAGGAAAATCGATTGAACCCAGGAGGCGGAGGTTGCAGTGAGCCGAGATTGAGCCACTACACTCCAGCCTGAGCAACAGAGAGACTCCATCTCAAAAAAGAAAAAAAAAAGATGACAATACTACCCAAAACAGTCTACAGATTCAATGCAATCTCTATCAAAATCCCAACAGCACTTTTTGCAGAAATAGAGAAAAACTCGTCCTAAAATTCAGATGATCTCTCAGGAGACCCCATATTAACAAAACCATTTTGAAAAAGAAGAATAGATAGAGGGAAAATTCTTTTTTTTTTTTTTTTTGAGACAAAGTCTCGCTCTGTTGCCCAAGCTGCAGTGCAATGGCGCGATCTCGGCTCACGGCAAGTGCAATGGCTCATGCAGTGCAATGGCGCCATCTCGGCTCACGGCAAGTGCAATGGCTCATGCAGTGCAATGGCGCCACTCGGCTCACGGCAAGTGCAATGGCTCATGCAGTGCAATGGCGCCATCTCGGCTCACGGCAAGTGCAATGGCTCATGCAGTGCAATGGCGCCATCTCGGCTCACGGCAAGTGCAATGGCTCATGCAGTGCAATGGCGCCATCTCGGCTCACGGCAAGTGCAATGGCTCATGCAGTGCAATGGCGCCATCTCGGCTCACGGCAAGTGCAATGGCGCATGCAGTGCAATGGCGTGATCTCGGCTCACGGCAAGTGCAATGGCTCATGCAGTGCAAGGGTGCAATCTCGGCTCATGGCAACCTCCGCCTCCTAGGTCCAAGCGATTCTCCTGCCTCAGCCACCCAAGAAGCTGGGATTACAGGGACCTGCCATCACACCTGGCTAATTTTTTAATTTTTAGTAGAGACAGGGTTTCACCATGTTGGTCAGGCTGGCTCAAACTCCTGACCTTGTGATCCACCCAACTTGGCCTCCCAAAGTACTGGGATTACAGGTGAGAGCCACCACACCTGGCTTTTTTTTTTTTTTTTTTGAGACATAGTCATGCTCTGTCACCCAGACTGGAGTGCAGTGACACTATCTTGGCTCACTGCAACCCTCTGCCTCCTGGGTTCAAGCGATTTCCTGCCTCAGCCTCCCAAGTAGCTGGGAGTACAGGTGCCCACCACCACGCCTCGCTAATTCTTGTATTTTTAGTAGAGAAGGGGGTTTCACTATGTTGGCCAGGCTGGTCTTGAACTCTTAACCTCAAGTGATCCACCCACCTCGGCCCCCCGAAGCACTAGGAATACAGGCATGAGCCACTGGAAAATCTCCATGACACTGTATTTGGCAGTGACTTATTGGATCATGACTCCAAAACACAAGCAACTTTAGTAGAGGAAACTTCTGGAGGACTGGGTGCAGCTCCCCACTGCAAGGAGCAGGAGGGGAGCACCAGATGCTACTCACCCCAGAGCAGCAGCCACGTAGGCAGCGCCTGCAGAGCCGACTTCCTCACAGTCCCTCTGCAGAGCCTCCTGGATGAGCTCATCCACCACCTGCTCCAGGTCCTGTGGAGAGACCAGCATGGGGGTTGAAGGGAACATCCCACCCATGGCAGAAATCCTGGGTAACATGTTGTCACTGACAGTCTGCAGGTATCTGGTGACAAAAGCACATGACCCCTGACACAGGGTCAGCTAGGCTGCTGCAGGAAAAGTGTCCCCTGGCAAATGGAAAGCAGATGGCCACAGAGCACCCTGGCCCAGACATCTCCAATCTACATCAAGCAGCCTCCACTTCTGAGGCCACTCTTTATGCTCCCGCTCAGAACTCCCTGATCCCAAGAGGGGCTGACGCCCAGTGCCTGTCCCTAAGTAGCCAGAGTCGCACAATCCAGTCCCACAACCATAGAGTTAATAGGCTCTACTCCACAGTAAGGCACTGGTCAGGGGCCATGCCCACCCTGCAGCCACATGCATCAAGGGGCATACCCACCCCAGGCCAGGCCCATATCAGGGTGCACAGGCACACAGGCCACACACACCATGACCTCAAGGCCATGCCTATCAGAAAACACAGCCACCCCAAGCCATGCCCACAGGAGAGACACCCAACCCGGTCAGACCCATCAGTAGGGACACCCACTCCCAGGTAACACCCACAGGGGACAAGATCACACTTATCAGTGGGGACACCCAACCCCCGGACATGCCCACCAGGAAGACACACCCACTCTCAGGCCAGGCATACTGGGGCCGCACCTACCAGGAAGACACACCCACTCTCAGGCCACACCCATCAGGGGAGACACCCACCCTCAGCCATGCCCATGAGGGACATATCCCCCCCATCAGGGGGCACACCCACACCTAGGCCATGCCCATGAAGGCGTACAATGCTGCCCATGATCCTGTCAGGAATAGACAGGTGCTGAGTTCAGACACACAAGGGCGCAGGCCAGTGCTGAGAGGAAGCTCCCAAGATGAAGATGGGACTCCACGCTGAGCCTGGATGGCAGGCCCCAGACCTGCCACCTGAGGCTGGCTGACTCTAGCAAGACCCCTCCCTGGACTCTCCGGAGACCAAGCACCACAGCCCACCCCATGAAGTGGAGACCAAGGACATTAGTGCACAATGACCAAGAAGAGTCCCTACCTCATCAGAGTACATGGGCAAGGGCTCTGGAGGAGGCAACTCAGGCTGCACAGGGGGCTGGAAGAGGCCAGGCGCCACGGACATGTTCAGTGCCAGGATGGGAGGCAGAGGCACTGGCGAGGGCGCAGGGGCAGGGAGAGGCTGCGGGAGACTGGGCAGGGGCGCATCTACCTCTACGCCACACTCCTCTCCCCTCCCTCCACCTGGAAGGAAACACAAGAGGAAACAGAGCTGTAGACACAGGGCGCCTGGCACCACAGAGACCAAGGTCTGTGCAGGGACAGCCCCAGGCCACCCATAGTGACCCTGACAACTGGCCTGCCCTCCTGAAGACCAGCACATTGGACACACACCACAGTGGACACATCCACCCTTCATGTGAAAGACAAGCCCCAGGAGGTGAGGGAGCCAGGAGCAAGGCTTCACGGCCCCTCGGTCCACTCCCCGTGAGCTGAGCATGAGGGAGCGCCACACTGCTGGGGCCAGACAAGACAGGTGCTCAGGCTCCTGGGAGGCATCGTGGCAGGAGAATGCAGCCAGTCCCCTCACTACGACTGCAGCTTCACTCACCAGCTGTATCCGAGCCGGGTCTCTGGGTGCTGACGGGCAGCTCTGTGGCCAGGCTCTCCCCAACGTACTTGTTCTGGGAGTTGAAGCTGCACACAGGGGTGTGACGAGGGACGGGGGGCAATGGCCCTCCATTCACAATTTCCCCAATGGACACCGTCAGCTTCCTGGTAATAAACACCGACTTCCTGGTCTTGGATAATCCCTCCGGTTCCAGAAAAGCAGACCGGTTCAGCTCCACACAGCTACCCAGGACACAAGAAGACACCAGAGGGCTGTCACCAGGGAAGAAGACAGCTTTGCCCTCAGTGCCCTGGTGAGTGCTGCAAGCTGTCAGGCGTCCCACAGCCACGTGTAAAGAACAGAAAGCAGAGGCCCGGGTCCCATGGCCACCCATCCTGGAGCCTCTGCAGGTCCCTGGAACCACTGGGCCCAGTGAGTTAACAGACACATGCTGACTCACTCCGGCCTCCTGGCTGGCTCACCCAAAGCCGCCTGTTTTGTGGAGACAGACCGGGAAGGAGGAGACAGGCCGGGGGCAGGTGAGGAGGTACAGGAGGCAGGGTGGGGAACCCAGCAGTGGGTGTTGAGGGTAAGCTGCCAGTGTCTGACAGTGAGTCTCATCCTGGTCTTAAAAGACACTGACTGCTCAGTAACAGAGAAGACTCTGGCCTGGCCTGTGGTGCCTCCATCCCAGCTGTCAGAGGTTGCCTGTCACCGCTGGCAAAGGGAAATAATAACCCCTAACCTTTATCTTTAGTTTCGCTGACAACTCATGCAAAGGACTGATTTTCGAGTCAACAAGGAACTTGGTCTGAGCCCTCAATGGGCTGACAGCCAGGGTGTTGCAACACCCCCAGCCATTCTGAGCCTCATGTGTTCACCTGTACGGGAGAGGAACACACCTTCTCTCCAAGCCAGGCAGGCAGGCAGGCAGGCAGCCCCCCATGGCCCTTTATCAGAATTCAAAAGGAAACAGGAGAGAGGAGCCTGCAGTTCCACGGTCAGCTCTCACCCGTCAGAAATGGTGAGGCCGTGGCAGGTGAGGAAGTCAGTCGCCTCTTCGCAGTCTTGGAACAGCAGCATGCGCACCACGCCATCCAGGGGAAAGAGGGTAGATCGCTGTGTGCTCACCGTGTATGCGAAGTTGAGTGCCCGGAGAGCATCCTTGCGGATCTGAAAGGAGCAGCCAATCACTGCAGTCTCAGAGAAAGGTCCAATCAGACAAATGCAGTCAGCCTGTGACCACAGGAACGGCCAGCATGGGGACACGGGCTCCTCCTGGGGCTCAGCCCACCAGAAGGCACTCTGGCAACATAGAATGACCCAAGCTTAGAGATGGCAGGCGGTCTGCTCAGTGGCGATGCTCAGGAATGCAGGCCAAGCAAACACTCTCACAGAGAAGAGGCTGGGAAGGTTTTATTTAGAAGAAAAATCATGAAACAAACCTTCCACCAACAAGGCCAGGTGAAGTCATCTATGCAGCATCCACTCGACATGAAGGTGCTGCAGAGGACCGTAGGAGACTACGGAATGCCAGGAAGAAATGAATCACGGCGTTACAACAAAAGCCTTAAAAAAAAAAGGAGGCCAGGTGCGGTGGCTCATGTCTGTAATCCCAGCACTTTGGGAGGCCAAGGTGGGAGGATCACTTGAGCCCAGGAGTTCAAGACCAGCCTGAGCAACATAGCTACACCCTATTCTCCACAAAACATAACTTTTTTAAATTGGTGGGGTATGGTGGCATGCACCTTTGGTCCCAGCAACTAAGGAGGCTAAGGTGGGAGGATGGCTTGAGTCCAAGAGGTCGAGGCTGCAGTGAGCCCTGATCACACCACTGCACTCCAGCCTGAGTGACAGAGTGAGAACCAGTCTCCAAAAAAAAGACAATAGGGCTGTGTGCCGAGGCTCACACCTGTAATCCCAGCACTTTGGGAGACCAGGCGGATCACATGAGGTCAGGAGTTCAACACTAGCCTGGCCAACATGGTGAAACCTGGTCTCTACTCCAACAATACAAAAATTAGTTGGGTGTGGTGGTGGGAGCCTATACTCCCAGCTACTCGGGAGGCTGAGGCAGGAGAACCACTTCAACCCAGGAGGTGGAGCCTGCAGTGAGCCAAGATGGCACCACTGCACTACAGCCTGGGTGACAGAGTGAGACTCCATCTCAAAACAATAAATAAAAAGTTAAAATGACAAAGGAAAAACATAAAAATGCTAACAAAAATTATGCTTGGGTGCTGGGGCTTTGGTGACTAAGCTATTAGTCCTCTTCCAATGTTCTTTAATTCAAGCAACACTGACTGAGCGTTTGGCCTGTGCCTGGTACTGTCGTTCTTAATGCTGAGAATACAATGGTGAACAAAACAAAGTCCCTGTCCCCACGTAGCGGACATGCTAGGGAAGAGAACAATGCCACAGAAAATGAACACATACAATACACAGAACGGCGATCTAGCACGGCAAATGGACGGGAGCAGAGAGCGCCGGCGGAGGCCTACCGAGGGCAGCAGCCAGGCCCCGTCTTGCCTCGGGGAAGTGCTGAGTTCAGACACACAGGGGCTCAGGCTGGAGCTGACAGCACCATGCGGCTTCCTGAGTGGGAACAGCAGTGGGAACAGCAAGCTCAAAGCCTCTGAGCAGGGGTGCACGGGGCTGCGGGGACAGGCGGGTCTCTGTGCACCACTGCTGGTGAAAACAGGTTTTCCACAGAAAAACACTTGAATCATCTCTTTTGTTTAAAGTTATTAAAAATGGCCAGGCACAGTGGTTCACACATGTGATCTCAGCACCTTGGGAGGCCAAGGCAGGCAGATTACTAAGGTCAGGTGTTCAAGATCAGCCTGGCCAACATGGCAAAACCCCGTCTCTATTAAAAATACAAAAATTAGCTGAACATGGTGGCACATGCCTGTAATCCCAGCTACTTGGGAGAGAGGCTGAGGCAGGAGAATTGCTTGAACCTAAGAGGCAGAGGTTGCAGCGAGCCAAGACTATGCCACTGCACCGCAGCCTGGGCACCAGAGCGAGACTCTGTCTCAAAATAAGTAAATGAAGTTATTAAAATTGGTCAACATTCTACTAACAATCATCATATATATAGTATTAACTGTAAGTCTTATTTTATTTTTATTTTTTTTGACAGAGGGTCTCTGCTGCCCAGCAGATCTTGGCTCACTGCAGCCTCAACCTCCCAGGTTCAAGCGATCTTCCCACCTCAGCCACCTGAGTAACTGGGACTACAGGAGTGTACCACCACACCTGCCCAGCTGTTTCTTTTATTCTTAGTACAGACGGCGCCTCCCTATGTTGGTCCTCAATTCCTGAGCTCAAGTGGTTCTCCCACCTCAGCCTCCCGAGGTGCCGGATGACAGGGGTGAGCCAAAGCACCCAGCCCGTGCCAACTACAAGCGGCAAGTTCAGGAAAACCTTCCCATTTGCTCCAGAACGTCAGCTGTCTGGCAACCTGCAGACCTGACGACAAGGAGTCTCTGACTGTGACATCACTGTGTGTTTAGTGAGTTTACAGGAGGCCCTGATGTGTGACCAAAGAAATTATCTGGAGCCACGGACAGACGGACCTAGGCAGGTCCTGAGGTTTCCCAGGCACCACCCTCCCCACGCAGTGGCCACTGCGGGCTTGTGGCCACCTCCTTGAACCCACTGCCAGAGTGGGCAGCACAGTGTGTGCGAGGTGAGGTGGTGGGTTCAAGGTGACCCTCTGTAAGGCAGGCAGCAGTCCTGGTCACATCTCCCTGAACTGATACAGGGGGGCCTAGAATGGCAGGTGCCACAGGGGCTGCTCTGCCTTCATCCCCGAGTCCCATGGAACTGAAACAAAAGGACCAAGTGGAAACCCTGAGACGCTGAGTTTCCTCTGTGCAAACCTCAGGGGAGGGACCAGCCTTCCCACTGTTCTGCAGCCCCAGCACACGGCAAAGCACAGACACTGAGGCACCAACTGAAATAAACTTAGCACCATCAGCCTTACTCCAGAAACTGAAATTTAAAATATGAAGAATTTCAAAGTCAGGGATTTTGTTCATAGAGATGAGATTTCTGCTTTTTAGTTAGTTTTCATGGATGATGATAGTGCTGAATTCAAACTCTTGTTCTAAAAAGACTTTTTTTTTTTTTTTTTTGAGACAGAGTCTGGCTCTGTCACCCAAGTTAGAATGCAGTGGTGCGACCTTGGCTCAGTGCAACCTCCGCCTCCCGGGTTCAAGCAATGCTCCTGCCTCAGCCTCCCGAGTAGCTGGGACTACAGGCACCTGCCCCCACACTCAGCTGATTTTTGTATTTTTAGTAGAGACAGGGTTTTACCATATTGGCCAGGATGGTCTTGAACTCCTGACCTTGTGATCCGCCTGCCTTGACCTCCCAAAGTGCTGGGATTATACAGGCATGAGCCACCAAGCAGGGCTGTAAAGAGATTTTTCTTATCTGAACCATAGAACAGTATTTTCCATTGCACAGCCTTTCCGGATGGTGACCACGTGCTATCCCTATTAAACAGGGCAACACTAGAAACCCCTCCGTGGGGCTGCCGCAAGGACAACACAGCCTCATCCTGAGACCTGCTTGGAAAAGCTTGGAAGAGAAAAGCACTCAAATAGCACAGGAACAACCTGCTTTCTACCAACTCTGCAAGCTCAGCTCATTTACTCACCTGATTAAAGTAACAGTGTAAAAGACAAGCATTCAGGTAAGAAGCTGACTGGACCAGTTTGAAAAATCTCACAAAATTATTACTGTTCAACGCAGCAAAAGCCTGAACAGCAAATTTCACCTCGAAGGAGTTTCTAACATCAGGATGGAACTGCTGTACTTCTCTGTCAATTAAAGGAGAGAGAAGGGGTTGGAATGTTATTTTTCATAAGACAAAATTTTCATAAAGATAGATATAATAAATAACAGATTTCATAGGCCAGATTCTTGGGAGGCCAAGGTGGGAGGACCGTTTGAGCCCAGGAGGTCGAAGCTGCAGTGAGCTGAGAGCACATCACTAAACTCCATCCTGGGTGACAGAGCAAGATCCTGTCTCACGTAGTAATGATATTAGATTTCAACCATACTGAGAAGGAGAGTCTTGCTGGTGAAACACGCCACTAACTTCATAGTTTACTAACTTCAAAGCTACCACGCTTGGGCTGGTTTGATAGACAAAGGTCTCTTTCAAAAACATAATGAACAGAATAAACAAATTCAAGAAGCAATTTAGCCATCAGTTACCAAAAAGTTACTTTAAAGTAACGCCAACTGGTAAGGCCTAAGAAAACAGAAAACTTAACTCTTCGTTTAGAAATGTATTGATTTTCACTGAATTATTCATGATGGGAAACAAACGCTTATCACAAATAAAAAGACAATACGGCCATTCTCCATAACCAGTTTATCCACATGGCTTAATTTTATTTATTTTCTTTGGAAACAGAGTCTTGCTCAATCGCCCAGGCTACAGTGCAGTGGCACGATCATGGCTCACTGCAGCCTCAACCTCCTGGCCTTAAGCAATCCTCTCATCTCAGCCTTCCAAAGTGCTATGAGGCCATGGGCCACCACACCTGGTTTTTTTTTTTTTTTTTGAGATTGGGTCTTATGGCAGGGCATAGTGGCTCACGCCTGTAATCCAAGCACTATGGAGGCCAAGGCGGGCAGATAACCTGAGGTCGGGAGTTCAAGACCAGCCTGACCAACATGGTGAAATCCTGTCTTTAAATAAATAAAAATGAAGAAAAAAAAAGAGATCGGGTTGGAAGTCGGAGGTGGGCGGCGGCTGGGCGCAAAGTAGAGAGCAGTCCCTAGTTTAAGCCTTTCCGTCGCCCTCCGGCACTGCCAGTACCACGGACTCCACCCTGCCGCGGACCCTTGGCGATGCTGTGCAGCTGCCACTCGACCAGCCATTTTTCAGCTCCTATGAACAACGCTGTGCCGAGACCAGCTCAGCCTCGGAGACCCCAACTCATGTGGCACTGAAGGAATTAAGAAACAGACACTGAGATAGCAAAAGGAATGAAATGAAGGTACTACGTTGAAATACATCCTGCAGGCCAAGCGTGGTGGCTCAAGCCGGTAATCCCAGCACTTTGGGAGGCCGAGGCGGGTGGATCATGAGGTCAAGAGATGGAGACCATCCTGGTCAACATGGTGAAACCCCGTCTCTACTAAAAATACAAAAAATTAGCTGGACATGGTGGCGCGTGCCTGTAGTCCCAGCTACTCAGGAGGCTGAGGCAGGAGAATTGCTTGAACCCAGGAGGCAGAGGTTGTGGGGATCCGAGACTGCGCCATTGCACTCCAGCCTGGGTAACAAGAGTGAAACCCCGTCTCAAAAAAAAATACTACAAAAAAGGAAGGAGAAGGAGAAGGAGAAAAAGGAGGAGGAGGAGGAAGGAGAAGAGGAGGAGGAGGAGGAGAAGGAAGAGGAGGAGGAGGAGGAGGAGAAGAACAAGAACAAGAACAAGAAGAACAGGAACAAGAACAAGAACAAGAAAGAAAAAGAAAGAAAGAAAGACCTATTGTTGTACCCGAGCGAGTCAAAGAATGCACCACACTCTGAAAAAAAAAAGAAAGAGATAGCGTCTTCCTTTGTCCCCCACACTGGAGTGCAGTGACATGATCACAGCTCATGGCAGCCTTGACCTCCTGGGCTCAAGGGACCCTCTCATCTCAGCCTCCCCAGTAGCTGGAACTACAGGCCTATACTACCACGCCTGGCTTTTTTTTTTTTTTTTTTTTTTGGGTAGAGTAGGGTCTCACTATGTTGCCCAGGCTATATAAGGCTTAATTTTAACATCTAAAATTGGCAGGGCACGGTAGCACATGCCTGTAATCCTAACACTTTGGGAGGCTGAGGTGGATGGATCACCTGAGGTCAGGAGTTCCAGACCATCCTGGCCAACATGGCAAAATCCCATCTCTACTAAAAATACAAAAAAGTTAGCCAGGCATGGTGGTATGCGCCTCTAATTCCAGCTACTTGGAAGGCTGAGGCAAGAGAATCGCTTGAACCTCGGAGGCAGAGGTTGCAGTGAGGCGAAATCCAGCCTGGGCAACAGAGCAGGACTCAGTGTCAAAAATAAAATAAAAATTTAAAATCATTCACACATCTAGATATTCTTCCACACAGTTCTTAAAGAAAATACAAAGCTAAAAAAATGAATTTCAGCATCAATAGGGAAATTTCAGAACTAAAGAGGACACTGCCCACCATCAAGTCCAGTTCGACACCACCACAGCTAGGCATGGTGACTCATGGCTGTCATCCTAGCACTTTGGGAGGCTGAGCGGGCGGATCACGAGGTCAGGAGTTCAAGACCAGCCTGGCCAACATGGTGAAACCCCATCTCTACTACAATAACACAAAAAACAGCTGGGCAGGGTGGCTCATGCCTGTAATCCCAGCTACTCAGGAGGCTGAGGCAGGAGAATTGCTTGAACCGGGACTCGGGAGGTGGAGGTTGCAGTGAGCCGATATAGGACCACTGCACTCTAGCCTGAGCTACAGAACGAGATTCCATCTCAAAAAAATTAAAAATAAATAAAAACACCACCACAAGCGGGGGCCAGAGAGCTTGTCAGACTTCTCAATGATGGATCAGACCAGGGTTTTAAATTCATTCATTCTTACTGCCCCATTGTTAGCATTTTGTTTCACACAATTTTTTTCCTCTCTTCTTATTTGGATCTTTGACAAAACTATCTGGGAACAGGGAGCTGCTAACAACCCTGCAGGACAGCTGAAACTCCCTCTCCTGGTTCACTCACCTGTCTCGCTAGGAGGATTCCTTCCTCATGTCTCTCACTGGTGAGGAGAAACAGTTCTCGGAAGCGAGCATGTGGGGCCTACATCAGATGTGCCGGTCCCGTGCACAACCCCATCGCTCTTCCCCCAGCTCAGCTCAGCAGACTGCACAGCGAGACCAAGACTCCTCCTATCATCCCAACACCTGCTGCCAGAGAGATCGCAGCACTATCGCTACTGCCAATCCCGAAAGCTCTTCTCCTGCTTAAAGCCTGCCTTTGCAGACAAATTTGAATGTGGAAATTCACCTTAGAATGTCTCCCTTGTTGAGACTGAGCAGAACATTGTAGCCCTGGAACTCCGCTTCGCTGGCACAGAAGATGCCCTTGTTTCTCAGGTCCTGGTACATCTCCTTCAGGCTCTGCAGGCACTTGGTCAGGTTCTCATTATTGATCTTAGCATCAAAGGAAGACATAGGCTCCTCACACATGAAGTGGGCACAGTGGATGTGAAATCGGGTGCACTTCTCAATCAGGGACACCGTCAGCGGGTCACAGAGGTGCTGCTGCGTGATATCCTGGCCACAGGCGAGGGGGAGGATCATACACACATTCCCATGCAGAGAGTCAGCTATGAGAAAGATCATGCTATGACCTCAATTTCTCACATTTCAATATGAAACGAAGCCCATGATGCACGTTTTAATAGACTTTGTAGTGATTTGAATAAAAGTACTTGTTTTTTCTTGAGACAGGGTCTTGCTGTCACCCAGGCTGGAGTGCAGTGGTGCGGTCTTGGCTCACCACAACCTCCCCCTCCCGGATTCAAGCAATTCTCCTGGCTCAGCCTCTTGAGTAGCTGGCACTTTATAGGTGTGTACCACCATACCCGGCTAATTTCTTTTTTTTTTTTTGAGACAGAGTCTAGCTCTGTCATCCAAGCTGGAATACAGTGGCATGACCTCAGCTCACTGCAACCTCCACCTCCCAGGTTCAAGTGATTCTCCTGCCTCAGCCTCCTCAGCAGCTGGGATTGCAGGTGCCTACCACCACACACGGCTAATTTTTTGTAGAGATGGGTTTTCACTGTGTTGGCCTGGCTGTTCTCGAACTCCTGACCTCGTGAACCGCCCACCACGGCCTTCCAAAGTGCTGGGATTACAGCCATGAGCCACCATACCTAGCCACACCCAGCTAATTTTTGTATTTTCAGTAGAGACTGGGATTCACCATGTTGGCCAGGCTGGTCTCAAACTTATGACCTCAGGTGATCCACCCACCTCGGCCTCCAAGAGTGCTGGGATTACAGGTGTGAGCCACTGCACCCTGCCCATGAAGGTATACTTTTATTACAGATAAAATACGTAACTGAGTAAAATAATAAAAACTATCAGTGTGACTTTGAAATTTGCATGCATTTTTTAGTGTCCAGGTTGGAAGCCGCCTATACCTTCCGTATGCCACGTGTGCGGTTCCAAACGAAGTCGTACCAGTCCCGCAGGCTGCCCTCCTTCTGATCCATGATCTGGGTCACCAGGTAATCCATAGTCCTGCTGAGCACTGCCAAGGGCCGCAGCTCGTGGGGCAGAGGCTCCTCCTGATCAGCTGAGGACCGGCTGTACTCTTTCACGGCTGCTGCATGGTCCACCTAGGGACACAAAGCAGAGATGGGCTGCCCATGAGAAACATCTTGGGCCAGGCACGCTTATGCCTGAAAATGAGGGAAAATCACATACATGCCCACACAGATCAATATTTGAGAACATAATTTTTTTTTTGAGAACACATTTTTTTCAACATAAATTTCTTTTAAAAAGTGACAGAATTCAAAGGCAAAATACATTGAGAAATTTGATTTGGCAAATACCACAAGGAGTTAAGACAGCAGTGTGTCATGACAAACGGGAGGAATGTAGATGAAGGCACATCTGCACGCGCCAAAGCAGAGACAGGACAGGGAAGGGCCTCAAAGCACTGAACAGGTCTCAGCGCTGCTCACACAGCAGCTGAAGTCTACACAGACCAGAAGTGAAACAGAGACAGGCAGTGAGGACTGTTGAGGGCACAGCAGGAGGGGCCAGCTGCTCATCTGGGGCCTGGAGCTGCATCTCCCACCTCAAAAGGAGGTTGACAACATGGCCAAGAGGAGACGCAGAGACATCCGCAGGATGAGGCCCTGAGCATGTACTTTCTCCTGCAGCAGGGGCCCCACACCTGCTGCTGGTCTGGGGACACTGCACTGGGTGAAGGGTGTATAAAGCCACCAGCCAGAAAGAGAAAGAGAAGCCCACAAGCAAAATTCACAAAGTGCAAAGGATCTAAATTGGTGCAGCTTCCTAGGGAAGCAACTGGGGAAGATACACGGATAATCTTCGGGAAAGGTCAAAGCCTCCAATGCAGTAATTTAATTCCTAGGGTCTGAACAAAGTAATCTCAACACCAGAGAAACACACAAGACGCCAACTCATGTTATTCAAAGAACTAACAATTTACAAACAGCCTATGACAGAGCTACTGATAAAATGTGCTGTCATTTCTACATGCTCGTAGTTCAGCATAACAAAAGAAAATGTTCATGACATAATTTTAAGTGGGAAAGATACACATAAAATTATATCCAGAATATATTCCTGAATGTGCAAAACATAAGCATAGAAAAGGATAAGAATGATTGTAAAAAGAAAAAAGCTGAATGTGGTGGCTCACGCCTGTAATTTCAGCACTTTGGGAGGCGAAGGCAGGTGGATCACTTGAGCTTAGGTGTTCAAGACCAGCCTGGGCAACACGGCATGACCCCATTGCTACAAAAAAATAAAACAATAACTGGACATGGTGGACCATGCCTGTAATCCCAGCTACTCAGTAAGCTGAGTGGGAGGATCACCTGAGCCTGGGAAGTCGAGGCCACAGTGAGCCATCGTTGCACCGCTGCTCTCCAGCTAACGTGAAAGAATAAAGTCCTGTTTCTAAATGAATAAATATTTGAAAAACAACTCTATTTAAACAAACTTGCAGCAAGTCAGGCATGCTGGCTCATGTCTGTAATCCCAGCACTTTGGGAGGCCAAGGCAGGTGGATCACTTGAAGTCAGAAGTTCGAGACCAGCCTGACCAACGTGGAGAAACCCTGTCTCTACTAAAAACACAAAAGTTAGTGGGCATGGTGGTGCATGCCTATAATCTCAGCTACTCAGGAGGCTGAGGCAGGAGAATCACTTGAACCTGGGAAGCAGAGGTTGTGGTGAGCTGAGATCGCGCCATTGCACTTCAACCTGGGCAATAAGAGTGAAACTCCGTCTCAAAAAAAAAAAAAAAATTTAAAAAAAAAAAAAGAAAGAAAAAAGTGAAACTCTGGCTCAAAAAAAAAAAAAAATTAAAAGAAAAAAGTGAAACTCTGGCTCAAAAAAAAAAAAACTTGCCTCTATAACTTATCATGTATAGGTACCAACTACAGAGTGAACATCTCATGATGCAAAAGAGCTGAATATGACTGTTAATGGCACAGATACCCAATAGCCTCTAAAACAAGCAAACACCTCAATCCAGTATGCACAGAATTACAAAAAAAGCCTCCTCTGCACAGCCTGCCTCCAGCCTCCACTCCGAGGGGAGACGCAGGGCTTTACCTGGTCAGTCCCAGGGATCACTTCAAACACGCTCAGCTGGCTTCGGGTCTCCCGCATGTACCGCTCCTTCTCGGGACACATATCCAAGCAGGTCCCAACGAAAGTCCTCGCTTTGTCCAGATCGGTTCTTTTCACCCGCGCTAAATGACGTCAAGTAAAAGGTAAGAACGTACCACACAGTTAGCATAAACCTACAGAAGTATACGCTCATAATGATAAAAAGAACTTAAAACTTAAAACACACCCACATTACAAAGGAAAAGAAAAATATCTGTTAAACTGTGAGCCTCAGAGAAAGAGGGCTTAGGGTCTATTCTGTCAGGGAGTGGGACACCAAAGCTCCCAAAGAACCCTGGGTCTGCCGCTCTCCAGCAGTCACAGACCCTCACAGCAGACTCTCCAGCAGTCACAGACCCTCACAGCAGACTAAAAGCAGGGACACAGCCTCACTTTCAACCAAAGTTTTTAACTCCTGTCATAACCTGAATGACAGACTCTCATGGTGCAGGATGTTTACTAGAAGGATTGACTCGTTACAACTGCAAATATTCCAAATACTGGCTGGGCACGGTGGCTCACGCCTATAATCCCAGCACTCTGGGAGGCCGAGGCAGGCAGATCACGAGGTCAGGAGATCAAGATCATCCTGGCCAACATGATGGTGAAATCCCGTCTCAAAAAAAAAAAAAAAAAAAAACCCAGATGCAGTGGCTCATGCCTATAATCCCAGCACTTTGGGAGGCTGAGGCGGGTAGATCACCTGAGGTCAGGAGTTCAAGACCATCCTGGTCAACATGAGGAAACCCTGTCTCTACTAAAAAAAAAATTAAAAAATTAGCCGGGCATGGTGATGGGTGCCTATAATCCCAGCTACTCGGGAGGCTGAGACAGGAGAGTCACCTGAACACATGAGGCAGAGGTTGCGGTGAGCTGAGATTGTTATCATTGCACTCCAGCCTGGGCAACAAGAGTGAAACTCTGTCTTAAAAAAAAAAAAAAAAACAAATATACCACTACTCTAAAACTCTCAAACAGTATTCATCATGACTTGAATGTAAGAATCACATAATGGAAGTTAACTGGGTTCTTACCTGAATAAGTAAACTGCTATGATTACACTTAGAATTAAATAGTTACAAATGTATCTAGCAAGTAAAAAGAAATGCAACAACTTCACAACTCAAAATATATACTTCTTGTTTTTATTCTAAAAAGTTCTATAACCTGAGCTTGGTGTAGTAGTGGCTCACGCCTATAATCCCAGCACTTTAGGAGGCCAAGGTGGATGGATCACCTGAGGTTGGGAGTTGAAGACCAGCCTGACCAACATGGAGAAACTCTGTCTCTACTAAAATAACAAATTAGGTCCAGTGTGGTGGCTCACGCCTGTAATTCCAGCACTTTGGGAGGCTGGGGCAGGAGGATCACCAGAGGTCAGGAGTTTAAGACCAGCTTTGCCAACATGGTGAAACACCATCTCTATTAAATATACAAAAATTAGCCAGGCATGGTGGTGGGCACCTGCAATCCCAGCTACTCAGGAGGCTGAGGCAGGAGAATTGCTTGAACCCGGGAGGGGAAGGTTGCAGTGAGGTGTGATCACACAACTACACTCCAGCCTGAACAGCAAAGCAAGACTCCATATGAAAAAAAAATACAAAATTAGTCAGGCATGGTGACACATGCCTACAATCCCAGCTACCTAGCTACTTGGGAGGCTGAGACAAGAGAATCACTTGAACCAGAGAGGTGAAGGTTAGCCAAGTTCGCACCATTGCACCCAGCCTGGGCAACAAAAGTGAAACTTCGTCCCCTCCCCCCCCCCCAAGAAAAAGAAAAATTCTAATACCTGGTGTACCACAACTGTAATCCCAGTACTTTGGGAGGCCGAGGAGGGCAGATTGTGAGGTTAAGAGTTCGAGACCAGCCTGGCCTACATGATGAAACCCCATCTCTACTAAGAATACAAAAATGAGCTGGGTATGATTGTATGCACCTGTAGTCCCAACTACTTGGGAGGCTGAGGCAGGAGAATTGGTTGAACCCAGGAGACGGAGAATGCAGTGAGCCAAGATCGCACCACTGCACTCGAGCCAGGGCAACAGAGCAAGACTCCATCTCAGGAGGAAAAAAAGAGAAAGAAAAATTCTAATACCTAATGATTTTATTTGGAATATAAAAATCACTATATCAATGACACAATGTATGATGGCAGCTTTTGTTACCATATAGTAAGGAAACACTGTGATTATTCTAATTATCCACAACTTTTAAAAAAGGGATAGCTGAATTTTTTTTTTTTTTTTTTTGAGACAGAGTCTCACCCTGCAGCCCAGGCTGGAGTGCAGTGGACAATCTCAGTTCACTGTAACCTCTGCCTCGAGGGTTCAAGCAATTCTCCTGCCTCAGCCTCCCAAGTAGCTGGGACTACAGGTGCACACCACCGTACCTAGCTAATTTCTGTTTTTTGTTTTTTGTTTTTTTCGTAAAGACGGGTTTTTGCCATGTTGGGCAAGCTGGTCTTGAACTCCTGACCTCAGGTGGTCCACACGCCTCAGCCTCCCAAAGTGCTGGGATTACAGGTGTGAGCCACTGTGCCTGACCCAGCTGAAATTTAAGACAAAAAAATTGGCAAAGAGGAGTACCTGTGTTTTTCCTTTTATTTTTGTTCCCTGCATGTATTTTCAGTGTTAATGGAATACTTTCTTTTTAGTAGGTAATACATTCACACAGTTCAACATTCCAATAGGGTAAGGATGTCCTGTCCGAGATGGAACACTACACCATAACCTCTGCCCTTCAGAAACCCACTCTCTTGGCCAGGCGTGGTGGCTCATGCCTATAATCCCAGCACTTTGGGAGGTGGATGGATCACCTAAGGTCGGGAGTTCCAGACCAGCCTGGACAACATAGTGAAACCCTGTCTCTACTAAATATACAAAAAATTCGCTGGGCATGGTGGCACATGCCGGTAATCCCAGCTACTCAGGAGGCCGAGGGAAAAGAATAGCTTGAACCCAGGAAGGGAGGTTTCGGTGAGCTGAGATCGCACCATTGCACTCCAGCCTGGGCAATAAGAGCGAGACTCATTGAAAAAAAGAAAAAAAAAAAAAAAAAAAAGAAACCTGCTCCCTCTATAGACATGAGCCTATCCTTTGCCTGCTCCCACTACTATTTTACACACACATAAGCAAACATATTTGAACCTATATGTACACACACACAGAGCACTCACTCCAAGGAAGACTGGCCAACCATGAAGCTCAGACACAGCACATCACAGGCCCTGAGGCTCAACAGCAACAAAGCCCAGTGGAAAGAAGCTGCTCCCACTCTGATGGCACCCAAGAGGACGCCCTCCCAGGCCCCCAGAACCTCTGCCACCATGCATCATACCTTGCCGCATGATCCTGTCTCTCTGGTCAAGCAGGCGGTACTTCTCCTTGGACGTCTCAGCCACGGTGCCTATCAGGGCGCTGAGGGGGGGCACACATGGCCCAAGGCCCTCGGAGCCCTCAGAGCCTGAGTCAAAGGAGTCTCCCTCAAATTGGTGGGCCTTTAGGAGACTTGGCTTCTTCACTGGAGAGCTATAAAGTAAACACCACATTGAGGGCCCTTGTACCGGTAAGGCCTTTAGAGAATTTTCATTTCTGAATATATCCCCTCATCTTTCAAGATCTTCTGGTTCTCTGAAGTTGAGAAACTACAAGCACTAAAATGAGGGGTCTTGGTAAAGATGGTGATAAGCACAAAAGTGTTATTCACATTATTCACTGACCTTAACATAATTTTGAAATATTTCATACTTTTGAAAAATAAAGATAGCCTGGGCAACATAGTGAGACCTCATCTCTACAAAAAACTGAAAAATTAGTCAGGCATCTGGCATGTGCCTATAGTCCCAGCTACTCAGGAGGCTGGGGTGAGAGGCTTGCTTCAGTCTGGCAGGCGGAGGGTGCAGCGAGCTGAAATTGCACTGCTGCACTCCAGCCTGGGCAACAGAGCAAGACTCCATCCTTACCACCCCTCCAAAAAAACAAGACAGGCTCACACAGCTGAAAGGAACACTTACAGATAGAAATGAAACTCGCATGAAAAACACCTTTAATATAAGTATTATGCCTACGTGTTTTAAAACAGAAATTTATTTTGGTCTAAGGACATACTGAAAGGAATTGGGCATCCTCTCTCAGCTTCCCCATTTTCTGGCTTTCATCATTTTCTAAACTTGAATGTCAAAGCAGCACCTAAACTGTTCATCACAAAATGGGAAGTGAGAAAAATACATTGGCCAAAAGATAAAAAGACAGATTAAGCTGGAAACCTGTCAGAGTAGGCCTGGTGTGAAAAGGAAAAGCCTTTCAGAACAAGACAGCCAGGGGAGCGCACATCACACGCCAGCTCACACAACTAACATGGCCAACAGCATCTGTTTCACTGTGATAACCTGTACCTACAAAAAGTCATGCTGTCCTTCCTGTAGGAGACAGATTTTTAGTGGGGTGGGGGGAAGTCATGCTGGAAACTGCTGGAAGTAATTATTAAAAATGCACGGTGTGGCCAGGTGGGTGGCTCACACCTGTAGTCGGGAGTTCGAGACTAGCCTGGCCAACACAGTAAAACCCTGTCTCTACAAAAAAAACACAAAAATATTAGCCAGCATGGTGGAGCACCTGTAATCCCAGCTACTAGGGAGGCTGAGGCAGGAGAACTTCTTGGAACACAAGAGGCAGAGGTTGCAGTGAGCCAAGACTGCACCACCAAACTCTAGCGTGGGCAACAAAGACTCCCATCTCAAAAAAAAAAAAAAGAGGCCGGGTGCAGTGGCTCATGCCTGTAATCCCAGCACTTTGGGAGGCTAAGGCGAGTGGATCACCTGAGGTCAGGAGTTCGAGACCAGCCTGGCCAACATGGAGAGACCCCGTCTCTATTTAATAAAAATTAAACAAAAAAAAGAATGCATGGTTTATTACAGCCAGTTAGATGTCTTAAGGAAAAAAGTTATTGCTTATACGTTTACATGCCAAGTGGAACTGCACTCAACTGCAGTGGAATTCAGGACAAGTAAGGTGAGCGAGGAGATCTGCTACTACACCTTGTGAGGCAGGCAGCCACAGGGTGCCAGGCTGCAAGTGTCTGTCCCACAGAGCTGGCACTGTGTGTCCTAAGTGAGCAGCCTCCCCCGTTCTCCTGTGATAGCTGCTGTAGCTGAAAGGCCTTCACCAGCTACAGCAACTGTATGACGAGATTCTCCCATAGAAAATGCCGAGATGGAAACAAAAAAAAAAAGGCCAGCCCCAAAGGAAGGCTTTCTCAGCAACCTTGACCCTAGGGTATGTGAGAACAAGACAGGACAGTATCACTGCTCTCCACCTTCTCTGCAGCTGGCAGGTACCAGCGTCAGAAAATTCTCTCTCCTGGCTGGGAGCACCAGACCCACACAGACCCACCTCCACATGGCCCATTCTGGCTGGAGGGGCAGGCTCAGGAACCCCTGCCACTCGACCCCCAAGCATCCCTGACAACTGGCTCTTGTTTCCTTACACCCCCCCCCCAACCCTGCAGCCCCAACTCAGGTGTCACTGTAGGGCAGTATTTCCTGGTCCTTCCCAAATAAGGTCATTAGGAGGGGCCATCCCACCTTTTATTCAGCAGGCTGCTAGCACCAGCCCTCCCTGCAGCCTTGCCAAGAGGAGAGTGCTGAAACGGAGTGTCTTCCGGGCTCGGGCTGACTACAGCATCGCCAGGCTTCTTCTCCTTCAGGGAAAAGGGTTTCTTATTGGGGCCTGAGAACATATGAGGCAGAAAAGTTTATGCAATCACAGATCACCTGGTACTGGACTTTTTCACTTTGTTTTTGAGAAAGTAATATTCTTGTCATTGTCACAGGAGGTCAGAGAAGAGCCCGAGGAAATAACTGTGAAATGAAAATCCAGGCAGAGCCAGCCTCCCCCACTGGCTGGAGAAAGGGCCCACACTCCAAGGGTTTGTACAGAGCAAGAGAAACTGAAGAGAGGGCCACGCCACACACAGCGGCTCATGCCTGTAATCCCAGATCAGCCTGGGCAATGTAGTGAGATCTCATCTCTATTAAATTAATAAAAATACTTTTCTAAAAATTGAGAATTGAAAACTCACTTATTTTCTTCCTGTGCCAAAAGATCGCCATGTCTTTATGCAAACTTTTCCCCTTCTTTCTAGCCAGGGCTGCAGATGCCTAGAAAACAACCGCCAAGTGTAAGTACATCAGGAGACTAAAGGAAATGAGACTGAAAACTCAAATGCAGTGAGCAAAACGTCCATTCAATAGCACCAGGAGCCCCTGTCCTCTGTTCACCAGTGATACCTCCATCCCCCATCTGCTGCCTGCAGAGCCTTCAGCTGTGGCCGCAGAAGTCCACCTCCCTTACCTGTCTCACAAGCATCTATTTGCTCTGCTCTTTTTTTTAAATTAACAACTTTGCCTCAGAGAACTCACAAACTTGGCCTCTTCGGCATTTGCTGAGATGATTCTCACCAGCTAATTACATATACAGAAACAAATTTTTCGAAGTCATAATGAAGCATAAAAGAGAGCTGCAGAATAACACACCGAGATGCCATTTATCACAAAAAAGACACAAAACCAACCACATCTTAGTCTCCTTGTAGATACTCATAAAAATGTCTAGAAAAACACACACTACAGTAGGAGACTGGACTGCTCTTGGTAACAGGAGAGATGAGGGTATTCAGCTTTGTCTGTACCAATGAACTGCCTATAAAAGCAATGTATTTACATGTTAGCTCATAAAATATTTAATGTTCAGCTGGGAAAATGAGCACATTACAATAGGCAAAAAATGACTTTAAAAACAAATGAGAGGGCTAGACATGGTGGCTCATGCCTGTAATCCCAGCACTTTGGGAGGTCAAGGTGCATGGACCACTAAGGCCAGGAGTTCGAGACTAGCCTGACCAACATGGCGAAATCCTGTCTCCACTAAAAATACAAAAATTAGCCAGGCATGGTGGTGCACACACAATCCCAGCTACTTGGCAGGCTGAGGCAGGAAGAATCACTTGATCCCAGGAGACAGAGGTTGCAGTGAACCAAGATCGTGCCACTGCACTCCAGCCCGGGCAACACAGCGAGACTGTCTCAAAAAAAGAAACAAAAGCAACAACAACAAAAGGACTATGTAGTTAGAGCTACTCCAAAGCCTTTCGGAAGAACTTCACTTTACTCTGTAGTTAGAGCTACCCCAAAGCCTTTCGGAAGAACTTCACTTTACTCTGTAGTTAGAGCTACCCCAAAGCCTTTCGGAAGAACTTCACTTTACTCTGTAGTTAGAGCTACCCCAAAGCCTTTCGGAAGAACTTCACTTTACTCTGTAGTTAGAGCTACCCCAGAGCCTTTCAGAAGAACTTCACTTCATGGGAACAACTCTCCCAGCATTTCTAGAGCACTGTATTCTGCAGGGACATGGAATACCCCAAGTTATGAAATAAATAGTGCTATCCCAGCCTATCTTAAGAATAAGATACTTGGCTGGGCATGGTGGCTCACGCATCTTAATCCCAGCACTATGGGAGGCCAAAGTGGGTGGATCTCAAGATCAGGTGTTCAAGACTAGCCTAATCAATATAATGAAACACTGTCTCTACTACAAATAAATTAGCCAGGCATGGTGGCAGGTGCCTGTAATCCCAGCCACTCAGGAGGCTGAGGCAAGAAAATCACTTGAACCTGGGAAGTGGAGGTTGCAGTGAGCCAAGATCTTGCCACTGCACTCCAGCCAGGGCAACATGCAAGACCCCGTGTCAAAAAAAGAAGAATAAGATATTTCAGGCTGGGTGAAGTGGCTCACACCTGTAATCCCAGCACTTTGGGAGGCCAAGGTGGGCAGATCACCTGTCACCTGACCAACATGGAGAAACCCCATTTCTACTTAAAAAAAATACAAAACTAGCAGGACATGGTGGTGCATGCCTGTAATCACAGCTACTCGGGAGGCTGAGGCAGGAGAATTGCTTGAACCCAGGAGGCAGAGGTTTCAGTGAGCCAACATTGTGCCACTGTACTCCAGCCTGGACAACAATAGCGAAACTCCATCTCAAAAAAAAAAAATAATAATAAGATATTTAATTTCCCAATATTAAATAACTGATAAACCATGATGCCCCCCCCCCAAAAAAAAACAAGTTTTACAGTGCCGTAGTTGAAATCTAGGGTAACACGGCAATACGGAAACACTCACATGATCAAAGAAATGTATCACTGCGAGCTTTTTGCTGCGCCTGGTGAAGATGCGCTGCACCTTGGCGATTTTGCCGAAATGGTTCTCCAGGACGGTTCTGCTGTTCAGGTAGTCAGGGATGTTCTTGCACTGGATTGCTGTGACTTCAGAGGGAGACAAGCCCCCAAGACTATCTGTGCTCTGGCTTCTTTTACTCTGATGCACAGGAGTTCCTCTTAAAGAATCTAGGGGTTCAGAGAATAGACACTTAAACCATCATATGTAACGCTAACAACAGGAGGCACCAACTGTGTAAAAGCAAAGGAAATGTTCACAGGTATAAGACCTGCTCCATACGACATGTAGCGTCCCTAACTTTTTTTTGTTTGTTTTGAGACAAAGTCTCGCCCTGTTGCCCAGGCTGGAGTGCAGTGGTGCGATCTTGGCACACTGCAACCTTTGCCTCCTGGGTTCAAGTGATTCTCCTGCCTTAGCCTCCAGAGTAGCTGGGATTACAGGTGCCCGCCACCACACCAGGCTAATTTTGGTATTTTTAGTAGAGGCGGGGTTTCACCATGTTGGCCAGGCTGGTCCTGAACTCTTGACCTCGTGATCCACCCACTTCAGCCTCCCAAAGTGCTGAGATTTTAAGCATGAGCCACCGCGCCCAGTCCAGAATCCCTAATGTTTATGGGAGACTTATCTGAAAAATCAAGCTAACACCCAGAGAGACTTATTGGGAAACTGCCAGCAGAATTTACACTATGTTCCACATTTTCAGAACTCACCTTCTTTTTTCTCTCTACTTTCAGTTTCTTCCTCTTTATTCAAACCTGGAATCCGGGAAGGTGCCAGGAGAGACTGACTCCCTCCTGGGGTAGCCATGTGGTCACTTTCTCCAGACTCAACAAAGCCAATTTCCTTTTTGGACTCCTTGCTGCCCAGGCGACCTACTTCTTTATTGCTTTTGAAAACATCCTGTATCGTCCGACCAAACAAAGTACCTCCCCGGGGTCTATTCAGGCGGACAGGTCGTTTATCTGGAGGATGATCCCCCCTGGACAGAGGATCAGAATCTTCTGCTATCTCATGGCCATGTCTCCTTGGGGAACGATCCTGGTCCTCCTTCCTTTTCAGGCCTTTCATTAGGCTGGGAGGTGGTTCCCCTTGGGAAACAGCTTCTTCACAGCCCTGCCTGACACCTGCTTTGCTGACCTGAAAGGGTTCACCCAAAACTGCAGCTGACGACACAGGGAAGCTACTGAAGCTATTATTAGAACTTCCAAAAACTGACTTAGGTCCTCTCTTCTCTTCCTCTACATTTGGGTTTGACAAAGCAGGGGTAAAAGCAGATAAGGAATTACTACTACTAACTGGTTTTGAAAAGGTAAAATTCGAGTTGGCAGCTGAACTACTTGTTACTTGAGGAAAAGAGAAAGGGGTCAGGCCTCCAGGTGCACTACTAATTGGGTGGGAAAATGTGAAAAACCCAGAAGCAATTTGGCTCTGGGTTTTCTCTGGCTCAGCATCAGTCCCCAATATTGGTTTGAACACTGCGTTTTCCAGAGGTTTAAAGCCGAATTCTGTTTTCCCAAAACCAGAACTCACTATGTCTCCAGCTTCTTGTCCAAAAGTAGAAGTGCTTGGGAAAGCCCCCACACTGGTGGGTGATTTAAAACTAAATCCTGGGTTTCCCAGCACAGATGAACTTGAAGGCCCAGAGGTAGCTACAAAGGTGGATGTGTGGTCAAGTCCAGAAAAGAGTCCAACAGTTGAGGTTTGGGTGAACCCTAATGTTTGCACTGAAGAGGAATGACTTACTCCAGGAGATGCTGGAAAGCTGGATAGCTGTGAAAATCCTGAGCTCTTCCCACATAAGGTACTGTTTTGTCCAAAAAGAGGTTGACCAAATCGAAACGGTGCCTTGGATGGGAATGCTGTTATGGAACTACTAGAAGATGCTGAAAAAGCACTAGGCTGCTGCCCACTGAAAGGATTAGTTGGGTTCATCTTCTGATCCAATTATTAGAAGGTAATAAGTATTACGTGTACGAAATTAATTGGCTTTCTGAAACAGTCTCCCCTTCCTCTTCATAACAAGCTGAAAGACAGAAGTTCAGATCATCACAGCTACGTTCTGCTACAAAATTAAGAGAGGAACTTTTGAACAAAGTCACGTAAAGATAACTATTTTCAAAGGACTATTATTTTCTGAGAGCCAATGGGTTCTTTTGTTGGAGGATGGCGTAGAGAGCGGTACAAATAATTACTTTGTTACAGAGGTTTAAAGCGTGATCCTTTAAGATTAAAAAAAAAAAAAAAGGCCGGGCGCGGTGGCTCATGCCTGTAATCCAGCACTTTGGGAGGCCGAGGAGGGTGGATCACGAGGTCAAGAGATCGAGACCATCCTGGTCAACATGGTGAAACCCCCGTCTCTACTAAAAATACAAAAATTAGTTGGACATGGTGGCGCGTGCCTGTAATCCCAGCTACTCGGGAGGCTCAGGCAGGAGAATTGCCTGAACCCAGGAGGCGGAGGTTGCGGTGAGCCGAGATCGCGCCATTGCACTCCAGCCTGGGTAACAAGAGAAACTCCGTCTCAAAAAAAAAAAAAAGCCACATCACTGCGTTGGTAAATTCATTAAAAACCTCCACTGGCAATAAGAAAATGAATGCTGTTCCTCCTTACGACTTAGAGATGAATCTCTCCCGAGTGCCTCCACTCGCTACAGCCGGAGAACTGGAATGTAACGCAGTCAGAACGTTAGCGTTTCGGGGTCTCCTCCCACCCGGCTTCCCTCAGGGCGGCTGGAGCGTTAAGCCCGTCTTCACGCATCCCTTTACCTCGCCCTGGCAACCCCCCCGCCCCCGGGGCGCTGCCACGGAGCTGCTGCCTGTCGGCGGGGACGGCGTGCCCGGGAAGCCTAATCTTCCACCCAGCACAGCCCGAAAAGGCGGAGGCCGCAGTCCCCGGGCTCGTCTAGGGCCGCCGACGACGCAACGCTCCCTTAGCGATAATGGGGAGGGCCCGGCGCGCGGAGCTGCGCGGGGGAAGGAAGCGTCGTCTCCGGCGCCTGCCCAACCCCCACGCTCACCGTCTCGCCGCTGGACCCCGGGGCCCGCGCAGCTCCCGGACCCCTACAAAGGACGAGAGGCGCAAGCCCCCAGCCTGTGGCCGCGACGCCTCCACTGCGCACTGGGGACGGAAAACGCGGCGGACCGACTTCCGGCTCGCGCAGCACTACCGGGTTCCGCCGCGATCGGCTTCCGCTCTCGGCACCCTGCTAGGCGGCGGAGCTTCCGGTGGGGCGGGTGCGCCCCACCTTGTACCGCGACCTTTGCCGGGTCTGGAGCCCGGTACGTGCGGGCGGGTTCCTAGTCTCCCAAACGGGAGCGTCCCACTCATCCGCGTGGGTCCGCAGGCTCCCCAGACCCCAGAGGACCCCACCCCACACGCTCACCTGTCTCCCCTCCTGTCCCTCCCCCATTCCATCCCCTTCCCTCCCCACCTCGCGGCGTTCGCGCGCACCGCCCACCCGCCCCGTCTCCGGGAACGGCTCCCCCCCCCTCGAGTCCTTCCGGCCTGACTCCGCGTCTTCCTTCCATGGCCCCTGGTTTTTGTTCTCCTGTGGTAAATGCAAATTCCCGTAAGATTTTCAGTCACTTCCACCAAATAAAGTGATTTGATTGCGTGCGCATGAGTTTTTTTACAGAATGTGCCGTCACTTTCTTGTACTGACTGGTCTTCTCTTACACTTTCACCCAGGTTCCGTGGGAAACATTTTTAAGGGCCGGTTGTTCTTCCTGAAATGAGCTTGGTGATTAGAAATCTGCAGCGAGTCATCCCCATCAGGAGAGCGCCACTTCGCAGTAAGATCGAGATTGTACGGAGGATTTTAGGAGTGCAGGAATTTGACCTGGGGATCGTCTGCGTTGACAACAAGACGATTCAGCACATTAATAGAATCTACAGAGATAGAAATGTCCCAACCGATGTGCTTTCTTTTCCATTTCATGAGGTAAAAGTACATTTCCTGTATTTTTTTTTTTTTTTTTTTAATGAGAGGTAGTCTTATTCTGTCACCCAGGCTGGGGTGCAGTGGTGCCATCTCGGCTCACTGCAACCTCCCCTGCCTGGGTTCAGGCAATTCTCGTGCCTCAACCTCCCTGGTACCTGGGACTACAGGCTCGAGCCACCACACCCAGCTAATTTTTTGTTGTTGTTGTTTTGTATGTTTAGTAGACACAGGGGTTTTACCATGTTGGCCAAGCTACTCTTGAATTCCTGATCTGGCCTTCCCAAAGTGTTGGGATTACAAGTGTGAGCCATAGTGCCCAGCGTAAATTTCCTGTATTAATTATATTGCAGGCTAGGCTCTACGGCACATATAAGTATATATATTACAGACGTGATTTTTCATTTTAATTTTGGAAATTTTCAAATAGACACGAAAGTAGAGAGAACAGTATGTTCAGCCTCCATTGATCGATGCCCGTCACCCAAAGGCCACAATTACCCTGGTAAGCCAGCAGGAAAAAGAAAAGTGACTGCCAGGCGCAGTGGCTCATACCTGTAATCCCAGCACTTTAGGAGGCCAAGGTGGGTGGATCACCTGAGATGAGGAGTGTGAGATCAGCCTGGCCAACATGGTGAAACCCTGTCTCTACTAAAAATACAAAAAATAGCTGGGCGTGGTGGCAGACACCTGTAATCCCAGCTACTTGGGAGGCTGAGTCAAGAGAATCACTTAAACCCCAGAGACAGGGGTTGTAGTGATCCGAGATTACACCATTGCACTGTAGCCTGGGCAACGAGAGTGAAACTCTGTCTCAGAAAAAAAAGAAAAAGAGGCCAGGCACAGTGGCTCACGCCTATAATCCAAGCACTTTGGAGACCAAGGCGGGCGGATCACCTGAGGTCAGGAGTTCAAGACCAGCCTGACCAACATGGTGAAACCCCGTCTCAAAATAAAAGGTGACTAGTGTCCACCCCCTTCCCCTCCTAATGCTCTCAGTGAATTGAAAAAAAGAAGCAAAGTGTTTCTGCAGTATTTTTGCAATTTTAAGTGGGATTCGTTAATGAATATGTGCAAATTGGAAAAATTAAAACAACACTGAAAATAAAAACAGACTGGAGTAAATATTTCCAACAAACTCAGTGTGATAGCCGCTGTCAGGTACATTCTGCACATGACTCATTCAAGGCTTCCCACATTGTAGCGGCACAAATTGGAGCAACCCTTTGGGAAAGCCATTTGGCAAATCTACACCAAGAGCATTTAAAATATATGTATCCTTTAGTTCAGGAGTTGAAGATCAGCCTGGCCAATGCAGTGAAACCATGTCTCTACTAAAAATATAAAAAATTAGCTGGGCGTGGTGGCAGGCAAAGAAGTTGGGACTTAGGTGTGTCAGTAGTGACACACCCAAGACAGTAAGCCAAAAGACAGAATAAAACCAAATGCTAAATCATGTAAAAATGTATTAAAATGTTAATTTATTTGCTGGGCCTATAACCCCAGAACTTTGGGAAGCTAAGGTAGTAGGATGAACTCCTGGATGAGCCCAGGAGTTGAAGACCAGTCTGGACAACATAGTCAAGCCTTGTTTCTACAAAAAATAAAAACATAATTGGCCGGACATGGTGGTGTGCAAGCCTGTAGTCCCAGCTACTCAGGAGGCTGAGGTGAGAGGATCATCTGAGCCCAGGAAATTGAGGCTGCAGTGAGCCAAGATCACGCCTCTGCCCTCCAGCCTGGGCCGCAGAGATCTCAGAAAAGGAAAAGTTACTGTTTTCTGTAATAGGAAAATAAAAGGAGCATCCTAAATATCCAGCCATAGGTGACTGGCTTAGTGTGGATGGTCCTTAAATTAGTGGACTGGTCTTTGTTATAGTCTTTCTGTGAAAAACGTGAAAGACTGTCTAGGACAAAATATCAAGCAGAAAGAACAGGAATATACAGTCGTGTCCATGTGATGATTTAACTCTGTAGAAGTTGTGGGTCTGTGTGATTCTGCATTGGGAGGGATGAAAGAAATGAAAAGTATGTGATACCAACTTAAACAGCAAACTGGCTTTAAAAGGAAAGGATGTGGCCGGGCGCGGTGGCTCACACCTGTAATCCCAGTACTCTGGCAGGCCGAGGTGGGCAGATCCTGAGGTCAAGAGATTGAGACCATCCTCGCCAACATGGTGAAAACCCATCTTTACTAAAGATACAAAAATTAGCTGGGCATGGTGGCACATGCCTATAATCCCAGCTACTTGGGAGGCTGAGGCAGGAGTATCGCTTGAACCCAGAAGTCAGAGGTTGCCCTGAGCCGAGATTGCACCACTGCCCTCCAGCCTGGAGACAGAACAAGACTCTGTCTCAAAAAAGAGAAAAAGATGTTTCTTTAGGATAGAGCCACATGCCACAGTATATTATGTGCATATTCAGGGAGGTAGAGGAAGGCAAAGGCAGAATCTCTGTCACCCAGGCTGGAGTGCAATGATGCAATCTCAGCTCACTACAACCTCTACCTCTTAGGTTCAAGCAATTTTCCTGCCTCAGCTTTTGGGGTAGCTGGGATTACAGGTGTGAGCCACCACACTTGACTAATTTTTTTGTATTTTTAGTAGAGACGTGGTTTTTCACCATGTTGGCCAAGCTGGTCTAGAACTCCTGAGCTCAGGTGATCTACCCGCCTTGGCCTCCTGAAATGCTGGGATCATAGGCATGAGCCACTACACCCAGCCTGGCAAAGGTTCTTAAGGGAAAACTGAGGAGGATCACATTGTTTTGAGATAATTATCCTTGGTTACAAAGATCAATGCCAAGGTTAATGCCAGTCTGAGGTGGAACAGGCACTTGCCGGGCAGATATCCTTGCAGTTGTGTGTGTGTGTACGTGCGCGTGTGTGTGTGTAAGGTCAGTTTGTGTGTGTGTAAGGTCAGTTTTGTGTGTGTGCACGCGCGTGTGTAAGGTCAGCTGTGTGTGTGTAAGGTCAGTTGTGTGCGCGCGTGTGTGTGTAAGGTCAGTTGTGTGGGCGCGTGTGTGTAAGGTCAGTTTGTGTGTAAGGTCAGTTGTGTGTGTGTAAGGTCAGTTTGTGTGTAAGGTCAGTTGTGTGTGTGCGTGCGTGTGTAAGGTCAGCTGTGTGTGTGTAAGGTCAGTTGTGTGTGTGTAAGGTCAGTTGTGTGTGTGCACGCACGCGTGTGTGTAAGGTCAGTTGTGTGTGTGAGGTCAGTTGTGTGTGTGTAAGGTCAGTTTGTGTGTGTGTAAGGTCAGTTTGTGTAAGGTCAGTTGTGTGTGTGTAAGGTCAGTTTGTGTGTGTGTGTAAGGTCAGTTGTGTGTGTGTGTAAGGTCAGTTTGTGTGTGTGTAAGGTCGGTTTGTGTGTGTGTAAGGTCAGTTGTGTGTGTAAGGTCAGTTTGTGTGTAAGGTCAGTTGTGTGTGTGTAAGGTCAGTTTGTGCGTGTGCGCACGCGCGTGTGTGTAAGGTCAGCTGCGTGTGTGTGTAAGGTCAGTTGTGTGTGTGCACGCACGCGTGTGTGTATAAGGTCAGTTTGTGTGTGTAAGGTCAGTTTGTGTGTGTGTGTAAGGTCAGTTTGTGTAAGGTCAGTTGTGTGTGTGTAAGGTCGGTTTGTGTGTGTGTGTAAAGTCAGTTTGTGTGTGTAAGGTCAGTTTGTGTGTGTGTGTAAGGTCAGTTTGTGTAAGGTCAGTTGTGTGTGTGTAAGGTCGGTTTGTGTGTGTGTGTAAAGTCAGTTTGTGTGTGTAAGGTCAGTTTGTGTAAGGTCGGTTTGTGTGTGTGTAAGGTCAGTTGTGTGTAAGGTCAGTTTGTGTGTAAGGTCAGTTTGTGTAAGGTCAGTTTGTGTGTGTAAGGTCAGTTGTGTGTGTGTGCGCACGCGTGTGTGTGTAAGGTCAGCTGTGTGTGTGTGTAAGGTCAGTTTGTATATAAGGTCAGTTGTGTGTGTGTGTAAGGTCAGTTTGTGTGTGTGTAAGGTCAGTTTGTGTGTGTGTGTGTAAGGTCAGTTTGTGTATGTAAGGTCAGTTGTGTTTGTGTAAGGTCAGTTTGTGTGTGTGCGCGCACGTGTGTGTGTAAGGTCAATAGTGTGTGTATATAAGGTCAGTTTGTGTGTGTAAGGTCAGTTTGTGTGTGTGTGTGTGTGTAAGGTCAGGTGTGTGTGTGTGTGTGTAAGGTCAGTTTGTGTGTGTGTGTGTGTGTAAGGTCAGGTGTGTGTGTGTGTGTGTAAGGTCAGTTTGTATATAAGGTCAGTTGTGTTTGTGTAAGGTCAGTTTGTGTGTGTGCGCGCACGTGTGTGTGTAAAAGGTCAATTGTGTGTGTATATAAGGTCAGTTTGTGTGTGTAAGGTCAGTTTGTGTGTGTGTGTGTGTAAGGTCAGGTGTGTGTGTATATAAGGTCAGTGTGTGTGTGTAAGGTCAGTTTGTGTGTGTGTGTGTGTGTAAGGTCAGGTGTGTGTGTGTAAGGTCAGTTTGTGTGTGTGCGCGCACGTGTGTATATAAGGTCAGCTGTGTGTGTAAGGTCAGTGTGTGTGTGTGTGTGTGTAAGGTCAGGTGTGTGTGTGTGTGTGTGTAAGGTTGTAATAGCCTTTGTGCAGGGCTGCAGTTTTTCAGTCTTTAGTGACAGTTTTTGTTACCAGGCTTAAAAGTACGAGAACTCTCTCTTCATAGCTTTCCCCAGCTCTGTTCATCAGGGTTTCGTGAACTCTCTCTTCATAGCTTTCCCCAGCTCTGTTCATCAGGGTTTCGTGAACTCTCTCTTCATAGCTTTCCCCAGCTCTGTTCATCAGGGTTTCGTGAACTCTCTCTTCATAGCTTTCCCCAGCTCTGTTCATCAGGGTTTCGTGAACTCTCTCTTCATAGCTTTCCCCAGCTCTGTTCATCAGGGTTTCGTGAACTCTCTCTTCATAGCTTTCCCCAGCTCTGTTCATCAGGGTTTCGTGAACTCTCTCTTCATAGCTTTCCCCAGCTCTGTTCATCAGGGTTTCGTGAACTCTCTCTTCATAGCTTTCCCCAGCTCTGTTCATCAGGGTTTCGTGAACTCTCTCTTCATAGCTTTCCCCAGCTCTGTTCATCAGGGTTTCGTGAACTCTCTCTTCATAGCTTTCCCCAGCTCTGTTCATCAGGGTTTCGTGAACTCTCTCTTCATAGCTTTCCCCAGCTCTGTTCATCAGGGTTTCGTGAACTCTCTCTTCATAGCTTTCCCCAGCTCTGTTCATCAGGGTTTCGTGAACTCTCTCTTCATAGCTTTCCCCAGCTCTGTTCATCAGGGTTTCGTGAACTCTCTCTTCATAGCTTTCCCCAGCTCTGTTCATCAGGGTTTCGTGAACTCTCTCTTCATAGCTTTCCCCAGCTCTGTTCATCAGGGTTTCGTGAACTCTCTCTTCATAGCTTTCCCCAGCTCTGTTCATCAGGGTTTCGTGAACTCTCTCTTCATAGCTTTCCCCAGCTCTGTTCATCAGGGTTTCGTGAACTCTCTCTTCATAGCTTTCCCCAGCTCTGTTCATCAGGGTTTCGTGAACTCTCTCTTCATAGCTTTCCCCAGCTCTGTTCATCAGGGTTTCGTGAACTCTCTCTTCATAGCTTTCCCCAGCTCTGTTCATCAGGGTTTCGTGAACTCTCTCTTCATAGCTTTCCCCAGCTCTGTTCATCAGGGTTTCGTGAACTCTCTCTTCATAGCTTTCCCCAGCTCTGTTCATCAGGGTTTCGTGAACTCTCTCTTCATAGCTTTCCCCAGCTCTGTTCATCAGGGTTTCGTGAACTCTCTCTTCGTAGCTTTCCCCAGCTCTGTTCATCAGGGTTTCGTGAACTCTCTCTTCATAGCTTTCCCCAGCTCTGTTCATCAGGGTTTCGTGAACTCTCTCTTCATAGCTTTCCCCAGCTCTGTTCATCAGGGTTTCGTGAACTCTCTCTTCGTAGCTTTCCCCAGCTCTGTTCATCAGGGTTTCGTGAACTCTCTCTTCATAGCTTTCCCCAGCTCTGTTCATCAGGGTTTCGTGAACTCTCTCTTCATAGCTTTCCCCAGCTCTGTTCATCAGGGTTTCGTGAACTCTCTCTTCATAGCTTTCCCCAGCTCTGTTCATCAGGGTTTCGTGAACTCTCTCTTCATAGCTTTCCCCAGCTCTGTTCATCAGGGTTTCGTGAACTCTCTCTTCATAGCTTTCCCCAGCTCTGTTCATCAGGGTTTCGTGAACTCTCTCTTCATAGCTTTCCCCAGCTCTGTTCATCAGGGTTTCGTGAACTCTCTCTTCATAGCTTTCCCCAGCTCTGTTCATCAGGGTTTCGTGAACTCTCTCTTCATAGCTTTCCCCAGCTCTGTTCATCAGGGTTTCGTGGTTTGCTTAACCGTTTAACCCTAATGGCTCCATGTTTATTCAGACGACTTTCACAATGGAACAGTTCAGGGCACGTGTGCATAGTTGGCTGGGCAGCCCACCCCAACACGGGCCCAGCTGCTACCCTGGCCTTGGATGTGCAGCCTAAGAGTGATCTCGTCAGAAGCAAGTGCTTATTTGCGTTGGGACTATCCAGGATTGAATGTCAACCTGTGGTTGGGTTACGATTCCTATTCTCTCAGTCTGTATTTCCTTATTCCTAGAATCTGAAAGCAGGTGAATTTCCCCAGCCTGATTCTCCAGATGACTACAATTTGGGAGACATTTTCCTAGGAGTGGAGTATATTTTCCAGCAGTGCAAAGAAAATGAAGATTACAATGACATCCTGATGGTAGGTGGGGTTACTGAAAGCACATAACCTGGCTTATGGAACATGGGCCATGCAAAGGGGTCAAGATCACCACCCCACATCCACATGTGTCCATGGCACCATAAGGGCTACTGGGGGAAGAACCTGTAAGCAGGGTGAGGAGCACCCAGCTGGGTAGGGACTGCATGCCTCTTGCCACGGTTGGAGGAGGGAGAGTATACACTGAAAACACGAACACAGGCTGGGTGTAGTGGCTCACGCCTGTAATCCCAGCACTTTGCAAGGCCGAGGCAGGTGGATCACAAGGTCAAGAGATCGAGACCATCCTGGTCAACATGGTGAAACCCCGTCTCTATTAAAAATACAAAAAATTAGCTGGGCATGGTGGCGCGTGCCTGTAATCCCAGCTACTCAGGAGGCTGAGGCAGGAGAATTGCCTGAACCCGGGAGGCGGAGGTTGCTGTGAGCCGAGATGGCGCCATTGCACTCCAGCCTGGGTAACAAGAGCAAAACTCTGTCTCAAAAAAAACAAAATATGGACACTCCCAGAGAAGACTTCTTAGCCGTTATCTCTGGAGTAGAGCAGGCTATGTTGAGCTAACCTAGACCTGCTGGGTCAGCTTCTTTCAGAGCTGCCAGAAGTACAGAGGGCTAGAGCCAACACCACCTTCCACATCTGTTTCTCCTTAGTGTAACCCCCCACAGGTTCTGCCTGCCCACTGAACAGACAAAACCAATTCGCTGAGACTGCGGTATTGCAGTAGAGAAAGAGTTTAACACAGAGCTAGCCAAGCGCAAAGACTGGAGTTATTCAAATCAGTCTCCCAGAGAACTCAGGGGCTAGGGTTTTCATGGGTAACTTGGCAGGTAGGGGCTAGGGAATAAGTGCTGCTGATTACTTGGGGATGGACCATAGGGGTCTAAATGATTTTTTGTCTGCTGAGTCCACCTCTGGGTGGAGCCACAGGATCAGTTGAGTCATGAGCCTCAGGTCTAGGTGGAGTCTGTACGTTGCCAGAACTCTAAAGTCTGAAAACCATCTCAAAAGACCAATCTTAGGTTCTACAATTATGATGTTATCTTACTGGGGAGCAATTGGGGAAGTCACAAATCTCATGGCCTCTGGCTGCATGACTCCTGAGCAGAAAGGAATTAGAGCAGGGCGAGCTGGGGAAGCAAGGCCTGCTGGCTGATTCTCCTCAGAGCAGGGCTCAGGCCCCTCCCATTATCCTAATCTTGTGGCCTTTCATTAGCTTTGCAAAGGTGGTTTTGCCCCTGAGCAAGGAGAGGAATCGTTTTAGGGAGGGATGATTATATTCTTGATTTAAAATTAAACTGTAAACTAAATTCCTCCCATGGTTGGCTTGGCCTACGCCCAGCACTGAGTGGGGACAGCCAGCCTGTGAAGCTGGAAGCGAGATGGAGTCAGCCATGCTAGACTTCTCTCACTGTCATCATCTTTGCAAAGGTGGTTTCAGCAGCCTAACGCAAAAAAAAAGAAAAGTATTCTGAAAAGCCGTATATGCGTGAATCGTACTTGTCCTCCTTTGGCTGAACAGCCGTGCCCTGAATCGTCCTTGGAGCTCCAAGTGCATCTGCGTGGCTTGAAGCAGAGCTTTCCAGCCAGACCCAGTGTGAAAGGGTGGGACAGCCACATAGGAACCCAGCCCCGACGGCTCCCCCAGACCAGGGTGGGGCTTGCCTGCCATGCACACCCTGCCGGGGAGTAGGAAGTTTCCAAGAGTGACAGGAAGTGGCCCAGCCCGAGGTTCAGCCCTGGAATCTCTATGGCCAGCAACTGTGCTAAGGGGATGTGGACATCTGCTTCCACCTTCCCCAAACCTCCTAAGATTCTGTGCCCTGGTCTGCCCCTGGCATTCTTCCTCGGGCTCAGAGCCCTCTCCGTGGGGCTCCCTGTTTCCCTGAGGGAAGGCCAGCCCACCCTCCCAGGACCCCATCCTCATGGTCACAGGCCAGACCAGCTCTGCTCAAGGCTGGCTCTCAGCTGCAACCTCCCTCTACCCTGCCTTGTCCTGCACATCTCCAGGCACCTCACACCAGCCCCAGGGATATCCACCTCCCAGACCTCTCTCTTCAATCCACCCAAACCCCAGGGGAGCGCCACCCCTGTGGCCCACAGGACTCCATAAACCCCCTTGGTGCCGTGCCTGCTCAGGGTCCACAGGCTCTCCCTCTTCTTCTTCCTCCTCCTCCCCCAGCTCTGGGCTCCATCCTGGTGCCCCTCCCCTGTGGGCTTTAATCCAGCCCTGTCTCCCTGGGGACGGAGCTACTTGTGGTCTTCCCACCTCACCAGCAGCTGCACCTCCCTCCAGCTCTGCCCTCATACCTCTCCACTCCTGTGCACCCACCGAAGCTCGACTCAGTGGTCAGTAAAATCTGGGGCCATTGGAGGCCCCGCCCTCTGACTGGGGCACTGCCCCTCCTCGGGGCTTGGGCCTGGGGTGTGGGCTGTGCCCTTGCCTCATCCCTCCTAGGGCAGACAGGCCCGCCCTGGCTGATGCCCCATTGCCCCCTACTCCGTGGCACCCACTCCTCCTCACTTCTTCGTAATCCACCCCCTTGCCCATAATCTACCCCCCTTGCTCATTGTCCCTGCGGCTGGACATTTCCATCCTTGGGCCCCTCCCCAGCACAATGCTGTCCCAGACTGCAATCCACATTGACTAAAGAGTCTGAAAGGTATAACTCAATCAAGATAGTTGCAGGTGGGGAAAAAAAGAGTCTGAAAGGCCTTGCTTTCCATTTTAGATGGGAGGGAACTGAGGCTGAGTGACTAATTTCTGCTCAGGGGTCTCTCAGCAACCCTGGGGTCCTGCTGCCACATACCAAAGGCAGCCTGTGGCCTGGGGTGTCCCGAAGGGGCAGCTTCCTGTGGGGTCATTCTCCAGCTGGGTTTTTTTTTTTTTACTTTTATTTTTTTTGGTTGCTTTTTTTTTTTTTTAATTGCATTTTAGGTTTGGGGGTACATGCGAAGAACATGCAATATTGTTGCATAGGTACACACGTGGCAGTGTGATTTGCTGCCGTCCTCCCCTTCACCTATAGCTCGCATTTCTCCCCATGCTCTCTCCCCAACTCCCTGCCCCCCCACTGTCCCTACCCTATTTCCCCCCAACAGGCCCCAGTGTGTGGTGCTCCCCTCCCTGTGTCCATGTGTTCTCATTGTTCAACACCTGCCTATGAGTGAGAACATGTGGTGTTTGATTTTCTGTTCTTGTGTCAGTTTGCTGAGAATGATGGCTTCCAGGTTCATCCTTGTCCCTATGAAGGACACGAACTCATCGTTTTTGATTGCTGCATAATATTCCATGGTGTGTATGTGCCACATTTTCCCAATCCAGTCTATCATCAATGGGCATTTGGGTTGATTCCAGGTCTTTGCTATTGTAAACAGTGCTGCAATGAACATTCGTGTGCATGTGTCCTTATAGTAGAATGATTTATAGTCCTTTGGATATATACTCAGTAATGGGATTGCTGGGTCAAATGGAATTTCTATATCTAGGTCCTTGAGGAATCTCCACACTGTCCTCCACGACAGCTGAACTGACCAGCCGGTTTCTAAATCACTCTGACAGGTGACTGCCATCCATGGACTGTGTCACTTGCTGGGCTTCACACATCGCACAGAGGCAGAGTGGCAGCAGGTAGGAGCCCATCCTCTGGCTACTGAGGGGGAAGGAGGCCCCTGCCAGCCCCCACCCTCCATTCTGACTGCCCCCCACCCCTGTCCCATGCAGGAACAGGGCCTGAGACCCACCCTTTTTAAAATGGCTTATGGATGTTTGCTTTCAACATCGGGCTCCTCAAATACGTTTAGCTGAATGTGTTCACTATGGGGTCTGAGCACAGAGGCCGAGAGCCACAGTTTACTGACACTATCAAATGGCGCTCTGTCAAAAGGGCCCCATCAGCCAGAGACAGGGCCAGACCCAGGGCGGGCAGCGGGAGCTCCCAGTGAGGTGAGTTGGATGTTGCTTCCCTCCAGGCCCAGGCACTCTGTCTGCAGAGGCAGAGGCCCACGTGGGCTCAGGTCCACATTGTGTTTAACGCAAGCACCATCCTGTGTTAGCGAGCAAACCATTTCTCTGAAAGTCATGAAAAACCTTTCTCATTAAAAAGAAAAAATTGGCCAGGTGTGGTGGCTCACAGCTGTAATTTCAGCACTTTGGGAGGCTGAGGCAGGCAGACCATGAGGTCAGGAGTTCGAGACCAGCCTGGCCAATTGGTGAAACCCCATCTCTACTAAAAATACAAAAATTAGCTGGGTTTGGTGGCGTGCACCTGTAATCCCAGCTACTCTGGAGGCTCAGGCAGGAGAATCCCTTGAACCTGGGAGGCGGAGGCTGCAGTGAGCAGAGATCACACCATTGCACTCCAGCCTGGGCAGCAAAAGAGAGTCCATCTCAAAAAGAAGAAGTCAGGCGGGCACAGTGGCCCACACCTGTAATCCCAACACTTTGGGAGGCTGAGGTAGGCAGATCACTTGAGGTCAGGAGTTTGAGATCAGCTTGGCCAACATGGTGAAACTCCATCTGTACTGAAAATACAAAAATGAGCTGGGCATGGTAGGGCAAGCATGCGATCCCAGCTACTCTGGAGGCTGAAGCAGGAGAATCGCTTGAACCCAGGAAGCAGACTGCTTACTGGGACCCACCTGCACCACTGCACTCCAGCCTGGGTGACAAAGGAAGACCAGGAGGCCTTGTCTCAAAAAAAGAAAAGAAAAAGTCCTTGATGTCTTTCTTAGGCCTCTCCTGGCTGCTTCTTGCTAGGTCCACCTGGCACCCCCCAGGTTGCCCCGCCCCACACACCCTACACCCCCTCCCTGGGCCTCTTGGCCCAGCAAGTCCAGTCCCACTCTCTGGGCCTCCAGAGCTGCCCGATTCTCCTCCGACCTCACAAGCCCTCCTGCTTCCTACCTAGAGCACAACTGCCCAACTGCCCTCCTCCCCTCCTTCCCCTTCCCTCTCCCTTCTCTATTCCCTCTCCCCTGCCTGCCCCCGGCCCTTCCTAACCCCTCTCACTCCCGCTCCTCCTCCCCTCATGCCTCACCCCCTCCCTTCCCCTTGCCCTGCACGGGCCCTCATCCTCTCCCGTTCCCGAACCCCTCTCTCCTCCAGCGCCCCGTCCTCCTCCCCTCCTTTCCTCTCCCTCTCCCACGTCCCCTTCCCTGCTCCCCTCCCCTGAGCCCTCTTCTCCCACCTCCTTCCCCTTCCGCCCCCTTCCCTTCTCCCCCCAACCCTCTCCCCTCCTGCGGCCCCTTGGCAGTTCGGGCACTCATTGAACGCTGAACGCTGGCCCCAGAGAAGGTGCTCAGAGACCAGTCCCACCCTTCCGCCTGAGTGGGAGCGGCGAGCTGCGAGGGCCTCTGGGCTCCCCCAAACCCTGTGGGCGGGGCACAGGACCCTTTCCCTGGGGAGGGCCCAGCGAGCTTCTTCCCTCCAGATGTTCCAGAAGGAGAAGGCGGTGCTGGACGAGCTGGGCCAACGCACTGGGACCCGCCTGCAGCCGTTGACCAGGGGCCTCTTCTGAGGGAGCTGCGGGCCGCGTTTCTTCCGAGAGCTGGAGCAGGTGGCGGGCGGAGGCGCAGGCAGCCGGGTTCGCCCCAGCCCGGCAGCTCACAAATAAACAACGAATGAAAGTACCGGGGGAACCTCCTGTCTTTCTTTCACGGCACAACGGGAATTTTTCATTATTGGCAATAAAACGGTTGCGAGCTATGGCACCGGGAGGGCGCCCGGAGTTCGAGAAATGGCGTGGACCCCGCCCAGGAGTACCATGCAGCGCTCGCCTCCTGCCCTTCCTAGGTGCCCCTGCCTGGAGCTGCACCCTACCCTGGAACCCGCGCCCTTCCCGGGTGCCCCTGCCTGGAGCTGCACCCTACCCTGGAACCCGCGCCCTTCCCGGGTACCCCTGCCTGGAGCTGCACCCTACCCTGGAACCCGCGCCCATCCCGGGTGCCCCTGCCTGGAGCTGCACCCTACCCTGGAACCCGCGCCCTTCCCGGGTGCCCCTGCCTGGAGCTGCACCCTACCCTGGAACCCGCGCCCTTCCCGGGTACCCCAGCCTGGAGCTGCACCCTACCCTGGAACCCGCGCCCTTCCCGGGTGCCCCTGCCTGGAGCTACACCCCCATTGAGGAAGGGGCTGATGGGGCTTGGGTGCCGCAGCCCGTCCTTCTGTAGCAAAGGCTTGCGATGGTATTTCCTGCTTTACTTCCTGAGTATTAGAACAGTGGAGTCAACTCTGGAGTTTCTGCACCAGCGCAGGCACGTGTCTTCAACCCAGCAGCGCATTTCGCATCTCGAGGCCGCTGGTTCCCCGGGGTCTTCTGACCCTGCCTCCCGGCCACCCACACCGCTGTGGTTAGGGCCACGGCCCTGGGGCCCTATGTTGTGGGACCACCTCTCAGAGACCCTCGAGAGCCCTAAAACTGGGGCTACTGCAATTGTGATCATCTGTTTGTCCCATGAAATGATTTAGGGACATGAAAATGCCTCCCCACTGGACTTACGTCCCTTCTTAGCCTGGACTTGACCCCTCCAAGACACAGGCCAGGCCCCTCTGTTCCTGAAGTCGCTGCACCCTTCGATGGGTCTGTTTACTGTGGAACCATAGCTTAATGTCAAAAAAGTACTCCTGAAAATAGGAAACGGAGTCAACTTTAACTCAAGCTTCTCACCAGAACACACAGCCGAGAATCACTTTCAGGAGCCCTTAAGAGACTGAGTGGCCTGGAGAACTGCCAGCTGTGGGTGGGATTTTGGGGGGTTCCTATAGTTTGCTGTTAGATTGGAGCCCTGGGAGCCTCTGTTCACATCCTGGGGTGCTCAGGGCTTCTCAGGAATTCCTGGGCGCTCAGGATGTGAGGGGTCTGGCTTTACTGGGTAGTTGCTGGGCCATTGGTGCCTCCAGCAGCCCACAGCCAGTGACTGTGGGGCCCAGACCCAGCCTGGGTGGTCCCAGTCCTCTCTTGGAAGGGGTCTCTGATGTGCACTGGGGCTGCCCTGCGTCCCCACCATCAGTGAATCTACCTCTCCATCTTTTTTTTTAGATTGAGTGTAGCTCTGTGGCTTAGGCCGGAGTGCAGTGGTGTGATCTTGACTCACTGCAGGCTCTGCCTCCCGGGTTCAAGCGATTCTCCTGCCTCAGCCTCCTAAGTAGCTGGGATAACAGGTGTGAGCCAGCATACCCAGTTAATTTTTTTTTGGTATTTTTAGTAGAGGTGGGTTTCACTATGTTGACTAGGACGGTCTCAAACTCCTGACCTTATGATCCACCTGCCTCAGCCTCCCAAAGTGCCAGGATTCCAGGTGTGAGTCACCGCGCCCAGCCTACCTCTTCATCTTTATCCCCTCTGCTGTACGGGACTGCTTGTGTTTTCTGCCTTTTTTATTTTTATTTTTTTATTTGGAGGCATTATCAATTGGAGGTATTTATATGTATTATTGAACACAATCCTGTTTTTTTGTTTGTTTGTTTTTGTTTTTTGAGATAGAATCTCCCTCTGTCACCCAGGCTGGAGTGCAGTGGTAGGATCTTGGCTCACTGTAACCTCTGCCTCCCAGGTTCAAGCCATTCTCCTGCCTCAGCCTCCGGAGCAGCTCGGACTACAGGTGTACACCACCACACCCTGCTAATTTTTGTGTTTTTGTAGAGACAGGCCTTCACTTTGTTTACCAGACGGGGCTTGAACTGCTGACCTCAAGTACTCTGCCCACCTCAGGCTCCCAAAGTTCTGGGATTATAGGCATGAGCCACTGCACCCAGTGCAATCCTGTATTTTTTTTTTTTAGACTGATTCTCCTGCCTCAGCCTGTCGAGTACCTGGGAGTACAGGTGTGCACTGCTACACCCTGCTGTTTTGCATTTTTTAGTAGAGACGGGGTTTCACCATGTTGACCAGGATGGTCTCGATCTGTTGACCTCATGATCCACCCGCCTCAGCCTCCCAAAGTGCTGGGATTACAGGCTTGAGCCACCACGCCCGGCCTTGTTTTGTATTTTTTAATAGAGAAAGGGTTTTACCATGTTGGCCAGGCTGTTTCAAACTCCTGACCTCAAGAGATCCGCTGGTCTCAGCCTCTCATAGTGCTGGGATTAGAGTGAGCCACCATGCTCAGCAACTGTGTATTTCCTTAGGAAGTGTGAGCAAGTGCCCTCTGACCTGAATCTGAGGAAGAGCCGCCCATGGCCCTGGCAGCAGCAGCGGCAGTCTCCTGCTGTAGGAACCTGGTAGTTAGGAGAGGGGGCTCACAGGTCACAGCCACACTGCCCCAATTCTGGAGCAGGTCCATCCTCATCCTTCTGCTCCCAAAGTCACCCGGCCCTTCACCTTCTGTGTGTTCCAGATTCAGCTCCTCCTGGACTCTTGGTTGGAGTTGCATTAAATCTGTAGATCCACTGACCTCGAGGAGGCTGTGACCTGTGCGTATGTGATGCCTTAGTCCCTGCGTTATTTTCACCTCTCAGTGATTGTCGCCCATCTTACCAGGTGTACAGGTGTGCACAATGTGCCCTGAGCCCCCACCTCCCAAACCTCCTGCTCTCCTGACCACAGGCAAGGAGGTGGGGCCATGAGAATCCCCCACACCTACCTACCAGCTTCCAGGCACCCAGACCCCAAAACCCCTGCCAGGCAGCCCAAGCCCACTTTCAGGACCTGCTCTGAGCTCCTCAGCCTCCCCAGGTAGACCAAGGGGGACTGTGTATGGGGGTGAGATCATCCCCTGCCCCACCCCAGGTGTCACCCCACCCCTCCTGCAGGCCAGTCAAGGCTCAGCCAGCCCAACTGTGCCCTAACCAGACACTGCTGGATGCCAGAGCCCTTCATCCCTATGAACCCAGCAAGACCAGGCCACCCAAAGACCACCACTTCCTGTGAGGTTTCTTCCTCTGTTGTATGAAAAATTCTGTTGAGAAATATTTAATAGAAGGAAATCAAAATGCCATGCTAGAAAAAAATCACCGTGAAAATAGGAAATGGAGTCAGAACTTTGACTTGAGCACAGGGTCTCTGGAATCACATTCAAGAGGCGCAAAAAGATGGTTCTGAGAAGTGTTAGAACCAGCAGCTGCACTGGCCCGTTTGGTGCTCACACCTGTCCATCCATGTGGACTCCACGTGGCTCACCCTGCGGAGTTCTGAGGCCAGGTCAGCCAGAGTGGAAGCTCCTGCAGCTCAGTGGCAACTCTGGTCATCTGGTCTCAGACCTGCAAGCTTCCCAGGATGCAGACACTGGGACACGGTCCCTCCTCCTGGGGAGCTTCAGGAATGAAGGAATGTGTCCTAATAGGAGGTGAATGAAAATTCATGCATAATACCTAAAAATATTTAAGTAACATTAAAACGGCAAGGAAACATAATTCCACCAAAAAAGAAAAATAACAACAAGTAAAGGAATAGTCCAGGTAGCCTATCCACATGGTAAGAAACCCAGACAGCACAAAAGGAACTGAACTGGGGAGAGTGAGCCGCCCTTGGCGCACCCAGTGCCCAGCTTTGCTTCCCAGGCACAGAAGGAAACTGGGGAGAGTGAGCCGCCCTTGGCGCACCCAGCGCCCACCTTTGCTTCCCGGACACAGAAGGAAACTGGGGAGAGTGAGCCGCCCTGCCCCCTCCCAGCACCCACCTTTGCTTCCCGGACACAGAAGGAAACTGGGGAGAGTGAGCCGCCCTGCCCCCTCCCAGCACCCACCTTTGCTTCCCGGACACAGAAGGAAACTGGGGAGAGTGAGCCGCCCTGCCCCCTCCCAGCACCCACCTTTGCTTCCCGGACACAGAAGTAAACTGGGGAGAGTGAGCCGCCCTGCCCCCTCCCGGCGCCCACCTTTGCTTCCCGGACACAGAAGGAAACTGGGGAGAGTGAGCCGCCCTGCCCCCTCCCGGCGACCACCTTTGCTTCCCGGACACAGAAGGAAACTGGGGAGAGTGAGCCGCCCTGCCCCCTCCCAGAGCCCACCTTTGCTTCCCGGGCACAGAAGGAAACTGGGGAGAGTGAGCCGCCCTGCCCCCTCCCGGCACCCACCTTTGCTTCCCGGGCACAGAATGAAACTGGGGAGAATGAGCCGCCCTGCCCCCTCCCAGAGCCCACCTTTGCTTCCCGGGCACAGAAGGAAACTGGGGAGAGTGAGCCGCCCTGCCCCCTCCCAGCGCCCACCTTTGCTTCCCGGGCACAGAAGGAAACTGGGGAGAGTGAGCCGCCCTGTCCCCTCCCGGCGCCCACCTTTGATGTCCAGGAACAAGAGCTGTGCAAACCAGCACGCAGCAGGGTCTGCGTTTATAGCATTGGCACTCTCCCTTTCTTTTCGTCTTACCTCAAAAGGGATCACATCATGCACAGCTGGCTTCTTTCACTATTTTATTTTTTGAGACAGGATCTTGCTCTGTGGCCCAGACTATAGTGCAGTGCTTCCATCATGGCTCACTGCAGCTGCTAACTCCTGGGCTCAAGCAATCCTCCCGCCTCAGCCTCCAGAGCTGCTGAGATCACAGGCGCATTTCACCACACCTGGTTAGTTTTTTAGCTTTATTTTCTGTAGAGACAGGGTCTCACTATGTGACCCAGCCTGGTCTCAAATTCCTGAGCTCAAGTGATCCTCCTGCCTCAGCCTCCTAAAGTGCTGGGATTACAGGCGTGAGCCACACACCCCCACTTCTTTAGTGGACTCTGTTCCACACCTGCGGCACACAGGCCCCAGTTACTAAGTTTGACTTTGTGGTATTTTTCCCATCAGGATGTTCAGACTTCCATGTGGCTAAAGGTATTGACTGATCTTTTCTATTCTGGCTCCTGAGCTAAAGCTTTCTTAACCTTTCTGAATGAAATCTTCATTTCAGGATCCTCATCTGGTGGCGTCTACAGCCTGGACTTTACCTCCGTGATGGAAGAGGGGGACCTGAGGCTCCTGGTGGGCCGGCGATGCCCTACAGGAAAGGAGGGGTCCTTGGGAGGGACTGCTGCCCTGGGCAGGTACACAGGCCCCTCACCGCAGGGGTCCCAGAGCAAGGGATGCCATGAGCTGAGCTGCCAGGCCAAAGCTGCCTGCTGTGCACCACCACCACTACCACCACCTGCCCCCGGGCAGGGAAGGACCCTGCCCCTTTCCATGGTCCTGGCATAGCCCACAGCCCTGAGGAAGCCCGGGGGTGGAAGGTGCCCGGCCAGGGTTCCTGTGACTCACACTCAGGGTTGGCTGGGCATCCACGGGCTGGGGGTGGGCTGGAGGACAGTGGCAGCCCCCAGCGGCCACGCAGCGTGGTGGTGGTGGTGGTGGTGGTGGTGCACAGCAGGCAGCTTCCGCCTGGTAGTTCGTGGGACCCCTGGGGCCACATGTGGTGGGTCCTGACACAGATGCACCTTCGGCTCAGGACTCAGCCCAGGCTGCTCCCGCCCCCACTCCCGCCCTGTTCCTAACTGGGGCCATGTCCCCTGTGATAGGCAAGATGGCAGGAGTCTAAGCATCCTCCCAGAGGAGGCCCCTCCCCATACCCAAATTGTGCAACCCAGTCCTCATCGGGTCTGGGATTCATGGGGATAGGGGCTTCACAGCCAGACTGCAGACCTGAGCCAGGAATGCCCTTTCAGAGCTACACAGATGCAGAGATTTCCAGAGGAAACCCCCGGGCCCTCTGTTTCCTTGGCTTTGGGGTCTGCTTGGGGCTGGCCCTACCTGCGGGGCTGGAGGCAGGGCCTTGAGCATCCAGTTCTGCAGGACCAGCTGGTGCACCTGTGCATTCTGCAGCAGCAGCAGCTCCACCATGTCTGCAGGGGAGAGGCGGGGGCCCTGAAGAAAGCTTTCATTCCTCATATTTGTTAAGGTGACAGAGTGCATCACAAGACCAGAGAACATGTGTCTGTGCACTGTGCAGGTCCCTGGGGCACGCTCCGAATCGTAGAACTTCAAGGTCAGAGAGTGTAGATGTGGCAAGTTGTGTGATGGGCCCCATGGCACCCTAGGAGGCTACTCTCATCTGCCTTCCCGTCTCCTCCCCCAGGCTGCGTGGGGACCCCAGAAAGGCACACCCACGTCACAGTCTCCCCCCACCTCAAAGTGTGACCTTATTTGGACAAAGAGTCTTTGCAGATGTCATTAAGGGTCATGAGATGGGCCAGGTGCAGCAGCTCCCACCTGGAATCTCAGCACATTGTGAGGTTGAGGTGGGTAAATCACCTGATGTCAGCAGTTCGAGACCAGCCTGGCCGACATGGTGAAACCCCATCTCTACTAAAAATATAAAAATTAGCTGGGCGTGGTGGCAGATGCCTGTAATCCCAGCTACTCGAGAGGCTGAGGCAGAAGTATTGCTTGGACTCAGGGCAGAGGTTGCATTGAACCAAGAACGTACCACTGCACTCTAGTCTGAGTGACAAGAGTGAAACTCATCTCAAAAAAAAAAAAAAATTTGCCAGGCAAGGTGGCGGGCACCTGTAATCCCAGCTACTTGGGAAGCTGAGGCAGGAGAATTGCTTGAACCCAAGTGGCAAAGGTTGCAGTGAGCCAAGATGGCGCCAGTGTACTCCAGCCTGGGCGACAGAGGAAGATTCTGTCTCAAAAGAAAAAAGGCAGGTGCCGTGGCTCAGACCCATAATCTCAGTACTTTGCGAGGCCCAGAAAGATTTCATTTTTTTTACAGTCAAACATTCGATCCAGTTGGAATTTGTTTTGGGATAAGGAATGGGGAAAGAAATTTAACTCTACTTTTTGTAAATAGCTGGCTACTTATTGAATATTTAATTTAGGGTTTTTTTTTTTGAGATGGAGTCTTGCTCTGTCACCCAGGCTTGAGTGCAGTGGTGCTATCTCAGCTCACTGCAACCTCCACCTCCTGGGTTCAAGCAATCCTCCTGCTTCAGCCTCCCAAGTAGGTGGGATTACAGGTGTGTAATACTGCATCCAGCCTTTTACCACTGATTTTAAATACTTAAATATTTTTGCTTTCTTTTTTGTAGAGATTGCATCTTGCTATGTTGCCCAGGCTGGTCTCAAGCTCCTAGGCTTAAGTGATCCTCCTGCTTCAGCCTCCCTAAGTGCTGGGACTACAGGCATGAGCCACTGGGCCAGCCATTACCACTGATTTTAAATGCTGCCTTTCCCCTCATATGGCATACAATCCTAGGCTGACCCAAGCACATACCAGCGCGCGCACACACACACACACACACACACACACAGCTACCTCGGTGTGCTTTTTAGAACCTGACAGACTATCACTAAAGTTCATTTGGAAAAATCAACAGGTAATAAGGAGAGACAGGACTACCCCTGTGATGGCACACGCTATGCTCTCTGCCACTCCAGGGACTCCTCATACGGATCACAATAGGAATGGTATCCCCTTAGGAAGTCAGGATGGCCGAGCAGTCTAAGGCGCTGCATTCAGGAATTGTATCCCCTGGATGTGGCTGTCCTGGGCCAGGCCTGGCTTGGATTGCAATATATGATAGAGCTACAGTAATTAACCAGGTCAGCACAGGGGCTGGGATAGGCAGGTTGCAGGGACAGAATTGAGGACACCTGTTAGGTGATTCAGCCATTCTACACACAGATCTGCCCCTAGACTCCCAATCCATTGAGCAATGCAAATAAAAGCCACAGTCAACCACCTCTGCATCCTGTTAAAATGGACACGATGAGGAACACTGATCATACCACGTGTTGCCAAGGTCGTGGATAAGGAGAACTGGCGGACCTGACAAGTGAGAATGCAAAATGCTACAGACACTAGGAAGCAGCTTGGCAGTTTCTTTTTTTCTTTTCTTTTGAGACAGTCTCACTCTGTTGCCCAGGCTGGAGTGCAATGGCGCGATCTCAGCCCACCACAAACTCCACCTCCAGGGTTCAAGCGATTCTCCTGCCTCAGACTCCTGAGTAGGTGGGGTTATGGGCATGTGCTACCATGCCCGGCTAATTTTTGTATTTTTAGTAGAGATGGGGTTTCTCCAGGCTAGTCTCGAACTCCTGACTTCAAGTGATCCACCCACCTCAGCCTCCCAAAATGCTGGGATTACAGGGATGAGCCACTGCGCTTGGCCCTAAGCCATTTTAAAAGCAGCAGCTTAATTATGGTTTTTGAATGGATGTTAATTGGATGAGCTGGAATTGGAGCCCAGTTATTTCACCTCCTAGTCCAGTTATCAGTTTTGTCCCTCTTGTATCTTTCCCTGTGAGATATCATTTATATAAAGATTTCTTAAAGTTAAAATTATTTCATGTTGAGCAGCCAAAAGCTGATGCTAAGTGACTGTCCTGCTTCCAGAAATATTTTCCCTTTCAGTAGATAGTTTCAACCACAGCAATATGAATATGGAACACTTACCTTCCTTAATACTTCCTGACCTCTGAGTAGGGAAGGCCTGGGGCGGAGGAATCTGTGCTATAAGCGGCTGCTGAGGTAGCTGCTGAATGACGGTGGCAGGAGGCTGGGGGACCTAGAACAGCCAGGTGATTAGCTGCATGTGTCCTTGAAGAAAGTGTCTGCAGTATCTACCACCCATCAACCACCCACCCATCCATCCAGCCAACCAACCATCCACCCACCTATCATTCATGCAACCAACCATCCCAACCATCTACCCACCCACCCACCCATCCATCCATCCCAACCATCCATCCATCCATCCATCCATCCACCCACCCACCCACCTATCCATTCATCCAACCATCCCAACCATCTACCCACCCATCCATCCATCCATCCCATCTACCCACCCATCCATCCATCCACCCACCCACCCATCCATCCATCCACCCACCCATCCATCCCAACCACCCATCCAACCATCCATCTACTCATTCACCCATCCATCCACCCACCCACCCATTCATCCAACCATCCCAACCATCTACCCACCCATCCATCCATCCATCCATCCATCCATCCCAACCACCCATCCATCTAGCCAACCATCCACCCATTCACCCATCCATCCACCCACCCACCCATCCATTCATCCAACCATCCCAACCATCTACCCACCCATCTATCCATCCATCCATCCATCCATCCATCCCAACCACCCATCTAGCCAACCATCCACCCATTCACCCATCCATCCACCCACCCATCCATTCATCCAGCCATCCCAACCATCTACCCACCCATCCATCCATCCATCCGTCCAAGGAGAACTTTAAATGATTAACCACAGACACTGAATACAGTTGAATGGAAAGGTATTTCCATCTAGGTATCACTCCGAACGTATTTTTAATGTTTCCCACACTTCCTGTCTTCAGCAGGGTGGGCTGAGGCCTGGTTCCACTAATTCTGCTTTAATAGGAGCATCCGACACTCGGTATGGTCAGTCATTTTAATCGTAACCATTTTCACAGGGACGCGGGGGTGGCTCATTGTGGCTCTCATTCTCTGATGGCAGGTGGTGTTGGGCTTCTGGGGCCGACCTGTGCAGGATGGCCACGTCCCAGCAGGTGTTCTCACCTGTGTCCCAGTGACCTCTCTGTCCCAGCCCCCATGACAACTTGGTTAATTACAGTACTCCATCATACACTGTAGAACGTGTCATGAAAATAAACTTTGGTTTCTCTTCTGAGTAAAAATACAGCCGTTTGTGCATGAAAGGCCTGTTTCATCTTCTTCTAGCTGTGTGAGGCTGCATGGCCACCCCTTGTTCCTCAGCTCACAGAAAGGATGGCAGAGACCAGGAGCTTGCAAACTTTTGTCAAGGGCTAGATGGTAAACGGCTTCCACTGAGGACACACTGTTAGCTGCAGCTCTTGAGTTGGCATTGCAGTATGAAAGCAGCTACAATGTGGAAACAAGTGGGCCTGGCCCAATGCAACTTTATTTATGAACACTAAAATCTGCATTTCATATAATTTTCATGTGTTGCAAAGTATTATTTCATTGGGTTTCCCCCCAAACATTTAAAAATGTAAAACTATGCTTGGCTGGCAGGTTGCGTGAGAACAGGAGGCAGGCCAGCTCTGGTCTGAAGCTGTGGTTTGCCAACTCCAGGTGCAGACCCATGAGGCTTTCTTACAGCAGCTGTGCCCGTTCTGGCTGACGGGACCTTCTACCACAGGGGCTCTGAGTCCAGCTGCCAGGAAGCTCATCTCAGCAAGGAGCCCCTGCTCACCTGCCTGGTGTCACTGGGGCTGAGAGGGAAACCTGCAGGCAGGTCCTGATGAATACATGTAAGTGTAGACATGTTTGGGATGAGGAAAATGGGGGGTCCACACCAATGACCCCCCAAACTCCCTTCTGTCCCGGGAGGAGGTTCCTGGTGCTGGAAGACAGGAAGGCAGAGGCTGGGAATACCCAGAGCCTGGTGAAGGCCACCCATCTGCAGAGGAAGGGTCTGGGGCAGGTCCCTCAGAGGCTGCCCTTCCCTGTGCCTTCCGCCACGTACTGCTGCCGGGGGCCCTCCCAAAGGGCAAAAGCCTTCTAGGTCATAGACCCTGCTGACCTGCCCAGAAACTCCCACCTCAGCCTCTTCTCTCCCACCCTCCCTGCACCCCAGTCACCCGAATTCCACCAAAGCCTTGGCCTCCGGGCCCCTAGCTTCCATTCCACCTCTGGGTGCCTGGTTTCCCTCTGATCCATGTTTTGTTTCAGAAAGTCAAAGTTGTTTTCTGCTGCTTGCAACCCAGAAGGCTGAACCGCTGTAGGAAGCTCTCAGAAGTGGAACGCTATTTGCCTTGGACATTGTGCTCTTGACATTGGGCCTTAGGTGTCATCTGGTTGTGATAAAGTCTGTTTTTTTTTTTTTGGAGATGCAACCTCCTCTTCCCAGGTTCAAGCGATTCTCCTGCCTTAGCCTTCCAAGTAGCTGGGACTACATGAGTGCACCTCCACGCCCAGCTAATTTTTGTATTTTTAGTAGAGATGGGGTTTTGCTATGTTGGCCAGGCTGGTCTCAAACTCCTGAGCTCGGGTGATCTGCCTGCCTGGGCCTCCCAAAGTGTTGGGATTACAGGCGTGAGCCACCGCACCAGGCAAGTAATAAAGATTTGGGGAGGTGACACACTTCCCCAAATTCAGGGCCCTCTGGCTGCTGAGCTCTCCGGATACTTCTACCCCTAATGTGACATTTAGGGCCAGGGCCAGGGTTTGGGAGACAGAGCTGAGCCCTAGCCTCCCTCTGTGATGAGGGATAAGCATTCCAGGGAGGCCCGAGGAAGAGTGCCCAGGCAGGGAAACGCAGCAGCTGTTGGCCCCTTCAAGGGTGGTCCTTGGGAGGATGGGGGTGACGAGGCAGCCTCGCTGCCAGTGCAGTGTCTCCCACCTTCTGTAAAATCTTTTTTTTTTTTGAGATGGAATTTCGCTCGTTACCCAGGCTGGAGTGTAATGGCGCCACCTCAGCTCACCGCAACCTCCGCCTCCTGGGTTCAGGCAATTCTCCTACCTCAGCCTCCCGAGTAGCTGGGATTACAGGCATGCACCACCATGCCCAGCTAATTTTTTGTATTTTTAGTAGAGACAGGGTTCACCATGTTGACCAGGATGGTCTCGATCTCTTGACCTCGTGATCCACCCGCCTCGGGCTCACAAAGTGCTGGGATTACAGGTGTAAGCCACTGCGCCCGGCCCTCTTTTTTTTTTTTGAGACAGAGTCTCCCGCTGTCACCTGGGCTGGGCCTTGAGGGCTCACACGATTCTCCTGCCTCAGCCTCCCGAGTAGCTGGGATTAGAGGTATACACCACCACACCCAGCTATTTTTTTGTATTTTTAGTAGAAACAGGTTTTACTATGTTGGCCAGACTGGTCTCGAACTCCTGACCTCATAACCCACCTGCCTCGGCCTCCTAAAGTGTTGGGATTACAGGTGGGAGCCACCGCACCCAGCCTTCTGTAAATCTTAATTCAGCGCCCACCTCCCACTCTCAGATGTGCTCCTCGCCCTCTCACCGTAGGCAGGATGATCCTTGGCGGGTCTAGGGTCAGCGGAGGTGGGGAGGCAGCATGTAGGACGCCTGTGGGGGTCAGCTCTGGGGACAGGGCTGACCCGAGGGCTCCTCTGCGTGCCGCACTCCAGGCCTGGGCCCGAGAAAGCTCGTCCAGGAGGTGCTGCTCCTACAAGGCCAATGCAGAGCTGCTGCACATGGGGGAAGGGGAGCCCAAACACCACAGAGGCACCCCAGCCTCAGGCTCAGGCCAGCCTGGGCCAGGTACAGCCCCTCTCTGGGCAGGATGGCGGTAGCTGGAAGACCCTTCAAGGGGTATGCGCATGAGGGTGGCACTCCTAAAATTTACCAAATCATGTCAGCTTGTCTTGTTGTTTCCTTTTCCCAGCCAACAGGGTCTGCTTTCTTTTTCAAGTCAGTTTCAGGCCAACTAGCTGCAAAGATCTTCCCGCTAGTAAAGAGGCCCCACCTCCTGGGCATCTCTGCCACTCAGAGGCATCTTTGGTGAGTGCCATGGGAGCAAACCTCCTGGCATCCTACCATTCCAGGTCCTCCTACTCAACATTTCCAGCCCTGATGGAAACTTGCACTCAGGAGGGTCTCTAAGCTAACAGTGGCCTTGCTAGGGCCCGGCCCTGAGAGTCCAGAAAGGTCTTCCCCTCACCCTCGACCTGAGCAGCCGTCTCCGCCACAGTGAGCCCTGCCGGCTTTGCTCAGCGGTGTAGGGCTCACCTGGAGTCTCTGCAGAAGCTCCCTCCTTCTCTTCAGAGCAGTCTGCAGGGCATCATCCAGCTGGTCCTCATTTCCTGGAGGGAAACACCTGCTTGCTCACGGAAGAACACACACAGGCTGTTGCTGCAAGCACTCGGACAGCACTGCACCCGTGTGGAATGCGCCGCCTCACCCACTCTCCTGGGATAGGGGCGGGCTGGGAGGCTCCTGGGCTCAGGTTATCCCAGAGAAAGAGGGACGCGTGCTGGGTAAGAGGGCAAGGGCAGCATCAGGGCAGGGGCAACCCAGGGCACTCAAGTGTCAGAGTCTGGCCTGTGGTCACCTCATTCCTGGAAGGGAGGCTGAAGTCACATGGCCAGATTCCTCCCGAGTACCTTTCGTACAGAGTCCCTGGCCTCCAGGAGGCCAAGGCTTCTACGGGGCTGGCTGCAGCCTGACCTTGGCTACCTGGAGCCACCCTCTGGCCCCAAGCAGTCCAGAGTCTGGTCTGACCCCCAAGTGTCTGCAAGTCCCTCTAGTCTGCCCCTCAGTCTGGGCAAGGTGGCTCCTGCCTGTGATCTCAACACTGGAAGGCTGAGCTGGGAGGACTGACCTCAGGAGGTCGAGGGTGCAGTGAGCTATGAGCATGCCACACCACACTCCAGCCTGGGCAACAGAGCGAGACCAACCCTGTCTCAGCACACTGGCCAGGTGCAGTGACTCACACCTGTAATCTCAGCACTTTGGGAGGCTGAGGTGAGCGGATCACTTCAGATCAGGAGTTTGAGTCCAGCCTGGCCAACATGGCAAAACCTCGTCTCTACTAAAAATACAAAAGTGAGCCGGGCAGGAGAATTGTTTGAACCTGAGAGACAGAGGTTGCAGTGAGTCGAGATCACACCACTGCACTCCAGCCTGGGTGACAGAGCATGTCACCTTCTCAAAAAAACAAAAAAGTCAGCCGGGCACGGTGGCTCACACCTATAATCCCAGCACTTTGGGCATGGTGGCGCGCACCTGTAGTCCCAGCTAATCGGGACGCTGAGGCAGGAGAATTGCTCGAACCCAGGAGGTGGAGGTTGCGGTGAGACGAGATCACACTACTGCACTCTAGCCTGGGTGACAGAGCGCGTCTCCTTCTCAAAAACACAAAAAAGTCAGCCGGGCGCGGTGGCTCAAGCCTGTAATCCCAGCACTTTGGGAGGCCGAGGCGGGTGGATCATGAGGTCAAGAGATCGAGACCATCCTGGTCAACATGGTGAAACCCCGTCTCTACTAAAAATACAAAAATTAGCTGGGCATGATGGTGCGCGTCTGTAATCCCAGCTACTCAGGAGGCTGAGGCAGGAGAATTGCTTGAACCCAGGAGGCGGAGGTTGCGGTGAGCTGAGATGGCGCCATTGCACTCCAGCCTGGGTAACAAGAGAGAAACTCCGTCTCAAAAAAACAAAAAAGTCTATACGCCTTGGGGGACGGTCTGCACTCAAGAGAAGGCTCCAGAAGGTGAGGGGCAGGGTCCTGCCCCTCACCCAGCATCACACTGGAGCGGGGCTCCTGGAAACCCCAGTCAGTCTTTGGGGCTCCCCAAACCCTCTGCCCCAGGCACTGGTTGCCATTCTGTCACCTCTCACTGGCTGTGCAGACCTGGTTTGGGACTTTCTCTCTATTTGAGACTCTGAGCTCTGCCCTTGGCAGCTGCCCCCACAGGTCACAGGCTGCCCCATGTTCAAAGAACAGGAAATGTTCCTTTGGCCTCCTCACCTCCTCCCCAGAGGTCTCCAGGCAGCAGTGAGGACAGCAGCCCCACCCCAACCAACGGGCAAGCTCAGCCTCTGGAACCAGAGCATCTGGGTCTGACCCGGTGTGACCACTTACAGGCTGAGCACAGGCTGAGCGACCCCAGACAGCTCAGCCAACCTCTCTCTGCCTCCATTTTCTCATCTGCAAAGTGGGGCCCCTTTTGGGGTCTGCAGACTAAAGGTGATAAGGCATGGGGATGTCCTCAAGTCTGAATGTAAAGGAAATGAATTAAGGACAGTCTCACTATACCAGGAGTGGGGTGATTCCCGGAGCTGCTGTGCCCACCTCCCTGGAGAAGGTATACTTGCGCCCGCCTGTGCTGGTTCCAAGCAGCCCAGCGCTCTTACCTGGCTCGAGGTGGAGGCCCTGAGGCCCCCCTTCCATATTCTCCCGTTCTTGCTCCAGCTTCTGTGAGGAAAAGAGACCGTGACAGGGACACTGGCTCCAGGCAAAGGCCCTGTGTGCTCCAGGAATGACTAAGAGGCTTTCTGAGTGAATAGAACTGTACGTCAGGAGTAACCCAGCCCCTCCAGGGCCAAAGGTGGGAGGTGAGCCCCTCCGAGGATCTCCTCTGTGAGCTGCCTCTGTAAGCCTGACCTCCAGCAAATGCCCCATCTGCAGGTCTAAGGATAGATGCTCTGAGTGGCCCCTTCAGGCAGATTTCTGAAGAGCAACCCCGGGAGAGACCTGGTGAGGCCTCCAGGCTTCCCAGCCAGGGCATGCCTGGATCACCCCCACCTGGACCCTGAGCTGAGCAGCTAGCTGCTGGATGTGTCCTAGGGTGAGTCCCTCCCACGGAGGCAGTGGGCCAGGATGCCGGGTGTGGAGCGCAGGGCTGGCAAAAGGCAGACAGCAGGTCCCTCAGGCAGCAGGAGGGGGAACAATGCAGGCAGGGGGTGCAGAGGAGCCCCCAGCACCAAGGCTCCCCTGGACCCTGTGCTCAGTGGGCCAGGAGGACAGGCAGGCTGTTCATGTGCCACCCAGTCTGAGGATGGGTCCCCTGCAGGGCTGTCTCAGAGTCCCTCCAATGCTGCAGCCTGGAGTTGTTAAAAACAGGAGCATCCCAGGCTCTGCTTTACCTGTCTCAAGAGCTTCAGCGTCAGCCGCGTCACTTGCTCTGCTGCTGTTGAGTCCAGCATGGTGGGAGCTACAGGATGACAGTACCAGGCAGGGAAGGCCGCAGCCCGCCTCCCTCCCTGGTTCTGCTACTCGCAGGAGATAACTGCTCAGCAGGAGCCCAAGCACCAGTGTCACCTGCAGGGCTGGCCCAACCTCCTGGAAACCAGCCCCAGGGGAGAGAAGAGCTGCAGCCTCCCTGGACTGCAGTGCCCCACAAGCCAGCGCTGGGCACCACATGGCAGTTGCCAGGCTGCCGGACGCAGGGAGGCCCCAGGTTGCTAGGTTTCCACTTCGCGTCCTTAGGCTGCTACCTGCAAACACTCATCTCCAGGTGTGGCTGGCTGGGCTTCGTGGGAAGGCAAAAAAGTTGGCAGCAGCTGAGGCAGAGGGGCAGAGCTCTCAGACCTAGGGGAAGGGGACAGCCTTGACCCCCATGCACCAGCAGCCTCAAGACGCAGCCCAGAAGAGCCTGTGTGTCAGGGGAGGGCACCCCACCTCTGTGCACTGCCTCTAGGACATGGCGGCTCCTCCCCTCCTAGGGACCCTCCAAGCTAGGAGGGAGGGCAGTTCCTCAACTGGGAGGACAGGGTGGGGAGACTGCCTACCAAGTTGTTCAAGAAATTCCAGCAGCAAAAGGGGCGGGACAGAGAAGTGGTTGTGACCTGCAGAGGGGCTGGGCTTCAGCAGGACCAGGCAAGGAGCCAGGTGTGCAGGAAGCTTCGCAAAGGGCAGACACAAGTCAGGAGTGTGGTCTGCACTTGGCTGGGCATTAAACTCCACATTGACGAGTTAGTCAATCCCACTAAGCAAGCAGACTGACATCTGGGGGATGTCAGCAGCAGGGGGCCAGACCTGTGGACCAGAGGGTTGGAGGTTAGCACCCTCCTCAGTGCAGCTGACCCAGAAACTTGCCTCAGTGGCCAAAATTGCCCGCAGTTTTGTAAATGGCCATGCCCATCAGTATCTATGCTTGTGTGCCTGTCCTGTCTCCCAACCCACATCCATGTGGGGCGCCTGGAGCTGGACCAGTGAGTGATAGGGTGAAGGCCGGCCAGCCCATAGGAGGTCATGCTCACAGAGGAAGTTCATGGAAGAGATCCTTAGAGGGGCTCACCTCCCACCTGTTGGCCCTGGAGAGGCTAGGTTACCCTGTTATAGAGTTCAATTCACCTTATCCTGGAGGCCATCTAACCAGAAATGAAGGCAGCATGAAACCAGGCCTCACCCTCCCTCCAGTCCTGTGGAGGTTGTGGGCTGGGATCACATGCCCTGCTGGTGCCCACACATTTCCAGATGGCAGTCAGGGGTCCTCAAGGGTGCTGCTGCATGTGAGCAGACTCTGGCCCCACATTTAAGATCATGACTGTAATACCAGTGCTTTGGGAGGACAAGGCAGAAGGATCACTTAAGCCCACATGTTTGAGACCAGCCTGCACAACATAGTGAGACCCCCATCTCTACAAAAAATAATACAAAAAAGAACCCAGCTTTTGTCCATGGTCATTAACGGTGACAGTCTGGGGAGACATTTAAACAGCTCTGAGTGTGCACAGAACAAAAACCAGGTTAATTTAGTTAAGTAACTGTATAGAGCAGCCTTGATATAAGTGACCCCATCTGAGGAAAAGACTCCATCTTACTTTTTTTTTTGAGATGGAGTTTCGCTTTTGGTGCCCAGGCTGGTGTGCAGTGGTGGTGCGATCCCAGCTCACTGCAACCTCTGCCTCCTGGGTTCAAGCGATTTTCCAGCCTCAGTCTCCCAAGTAGCTGGGACTACAGGCTTGCAGGACCATGCCCAGCTAATTTTTGTATTTTGGGTAGAGACAGGGTTTCACCATGTTGCCCAGGCTGGCCTTGAACTCCTGACCTCAAGTGATCCACCACTGCAGCCTCCCAAAGTGCTGAAATTACAGGCGTGAACCATTGCACGTGGCCCAATACCTTTTAAAATATAAGATAGGCCAGGAGTGGTGGCTCATGCCTGTAACCCCGGCACTTTGGGAGGCTGAGGCAGGTGGATCACTTGAGGTCAGGCATTCGAGACCAACTGGGCAATGTGGCAAAATCGCAGTCTCCACAAAATATGCAAAAATTAGCCAGATGTGGTGGTGGGCGCCTGTAGTCCCAGCTACTTGGGAGGCTGAGGCAAGAGAATTGCTTGAACCCGAAAGGTGGAGGCTGCAGCTGAGTCAAGACTGCACCACTGCATTGCAGCCTGGGCCACAGAGTGAGACTCCTCTCAGAAAAAAAAAAGCATCAGGCCAACAGGGACCAAATGTTTGCCTAATCGGTAGAGATTGCACCACCCAGATAAGGACATAAACAAGCACACTCTTACTATCAGTCCTCACCAGAGAACTCTACGGCCATGCAGAGCGGAACTCCACCAGGTCACAGCAGCTGTACAGACTCGGTCTTGCTGTCGCTGCTGCTGCTGCTGCTGCTGCTGCTGAAGGCTCCGCCCACAGGAAAGACAACAGATTCTCCTTTTCCTTGGACTGGTTAACTTTTCTTCCTTCCCTTCTCTTGTGAAATATCACCTTGTTAGATGTGGAATGCCTATGACATTTATGTATTGATCAAGTATACCATTACATATGGTTTGAAATACTGACTTAAGGAGTGACTTGTGCCTGCGTGCCCCCCGCTCTGATTACGAAGTGACTGGGAGGCACTAAGAACTGCCTCCTTGGCATCTCTAGTAATATACATAACACGCTCCACAGGGCACAGATTTGTCAGGTTTTTCTTTAAACAGGTCTTTTAAGAAGAGTTTTAGATTTACAGAGACTTGAGAAGATAGTACATGGAGAGGGATCCCACATATTACATGTGCCTTCCCTTCTTATTTCTTTTCGAGACGGAGTTTTGCTCTTGTTGCCCAGGCTGGAGTACAGTGGTGTGATCTTGGCTCACTGCAACTTCTGCCTCCTGGGTTCAAGCGATTCTCCTGCCTTAGCCTCCGTAGTAGCTGGGATTACAGGCACAGGCCACCACACCCAGCTCATTTTTAGTACAGACGGGGTTTCACCATGTTTCTCAGGCAGGTCTCGAATTCCTGACCTCATGATTTGCCCACCTCGGTCTCCCAGTGTTGGGATTACAGGTGTGAGCCACTGGCTTCCTCTTATTAAAATCTTACCTTACTATGCTATATTTGTTATAAATTTTTTTAATTATTTATTAAGATGGAGTCTTGCTGCAGTGCCCAGGCTAGAATGCAGTTGTGCAATCTCAGCTCACTGCAACCTTCACTTCCAGGGTTCAAGCGATTCTCCTGCCTCAGCTTCCCAAGTAGCTGGAACTACAGGCTAATTTTTGGGTGTGACATACTATGCCTGGTCCATTTGTTATGATTACTGAACCAATATTAAGACGCAGTTAACTGAAGTCCACACTTTGATAATTTCCTCGGGTTTGCCTCATGTCCCTAAGGCGGTACCCGGTACCCATAAGAACACTTCATTACGTTTAGTTCTCTCTTCAGGCTCCTTCTCAGACTCTTCACTTTTGATGACCTTCACAGGTTTGAAGGGTACTGGGCAGGTGTTTTGAAGAATGTCCCTCAATTGAAATTTGTCTGTTTTCTCCTGGTTAGGCTGGGACTGCAGGGTACAGAAAGGAAGCCTCTAGGGGTGAAGGGCCACTGTCATTCCATCACATCAGACAGTCACCTCAAGTGTAACTCTGAGGCTGACCTGAGTCACCTGGCAGTTTCTCCACAACAAAGTGACTGTTTACTGCACTCTTTGGGAGGAAGGGGCTATGCATAGTTTACACTTAAAGAGCAGGTAGTTACAGTCCCTTCCTTGAGGGTACCTACAAAATTTATTTGGGCAGCTTTTGTTTTTTCTTGAGTCAGGGTCTCAGTCTGTCACCCAGGCTGGAGTGCAGTGGCTGCCTGCCCTTGACAGCTTTTTAATAGTTTAAAATGAATTGAGGCTGGGCAAGGTTGCTCAGGCCTGTAACTCCTGAACTTTGGGAGGCCAAGGAGGGAGGATCACTTGAGCCCAGGAGTTCAAGGCCAGCCTGGGCAACAGAGCGAGACCCTGTGTCTACTAAAACTATAAAAATTATCCGAGCATGGTAGGGTGTGTCTGTAATCCAGCTGTCAGGAGGCTGACATGGAGAATCACCTGAGACCAGGGAGGTTGAGGCTGCAATGAGCCGTGGTCTCACCACTGCTCTTCAGCCTGTATGACAAACTGAGACGCTGTCTATAAAAACAAGGAAATAAAACCTAAGTCCAGCATTCGCAGAACTTCTCTAGAATGTCCACAGAAACCACTCTGCGGTTCTGAGGAAAAGTCCAGGCGAACTGGGCACATGCCCTCCGCCCCACAGTTCTAAATGTATTTTAACACATTTAGATAACACAACACAGTTGTGAGATCCAGGCTGGATCCGGGTCTGTTTCTGGAAAGCGCGACCCTGCAGGCACAGCCCCTGCCCTCTCGGCTGCGCTGCCTGCCTGGCTCCCGCTCTCGTGCCCAGCTGGCTCAAGCCATCCAGGTCCGAGTCAGGGAACCGCGACCCTGCAGGCACAGCCCCTGCCCTCTCGGCTGCGCTGCCTGCCTGGCTCCCGCTTCCGTGCCCAGCTGGCTCAAGCCATCCAGTTCCGAGTGTGGGAACCGCGACCCTGCAGGCACAGCCCCTGCCCTCTCGGCTGCGCTGCCTGCCTGGCTCCGGCTTCCGTGCCCAGCTGGCTCAAGCCATCCAGTTCCGAGTGTGGGAACCGCGACCCTGCAGGCACAGCCCCTGCCCTCTCGGCTGCGCTGCCTGCCTGGCTCCGGCTTCCGTGCCCAGCTGGCTCAAGCCATCCAGTTCCGAGTGTGGGAACCGCGACCCTGCAGGCACAGCCCCTGCCCTCTCGGCTGCGCTGCCTGCCTGGCTCCGGCTTCCGTGCCCAGCTGGCTCAAGCCATCCAGGTCCGAGTCAGGGAACCGCGACCCTGCAGGCACAGCCCCTGCCCTCTCGGCTGCGCTGCCTGCCTGGCTCCCGCTTCCGTGCCCAGCTGGCTCAAGCCATCCAGTTCCGAGTGTGGGAACCGGGAGGCTGCTGGACGCCTTGCTCACCACGCAGAAGGCGGTGGCCCGAGGCAGGAGGGGGGAGTTTCCAGGGCTTCCCGAAGGGCATTTAAGTCGCAGTTGCTGAGAATCACCAGTCGCTGCGGAGGCTGCACGCTGCGCTCGGGTCCAGCACGCTCGGGGAAGGGCCGTGGCCGCCCGCAGCGCGAGCACGCGGACCCCACCGCCTAGGGTTTGCAAGGGAGGCGCGACTAGAGAGAAACCCAGAAACCAGCCTTGGACACAGGGAAGAAGGCGATTCGCTTTAGAACACGCCACAGGAAACCACAGGGCCCGGCGAGGTCACCCACCCCGTCATGGTTCTCCGCCACTCCGCTCCAGTTAGTTTCCCCGAGTCCCGTCCACGCGCGCGGGCTGCTGAGAAAACGCCCACCCCGGCGTCTCCGCCGCAGGTCACAGGCCGTGCGGACCCTGGACTGTGTCCGGGCTTCGGTCACCTCAGCAGTCTCCTCCGGAGTCGGCTCGACTCCCGCGGCGGCCCACAGCCAACAACGAACTCCTTAGCTGAGGAAAATGGCCTGGCCCTATCCCAGTGGCTGCTGCCCGCGGTCCGGCCCGCGGGCCACCGAGTGTCCCCGTCCACGCGAGACCAGCAACGCAAATAGCGGCTCGGCCGGCTTTTAAAATCGGCCAATCACAGCGGGCACCAGGCCTCTGCGCTCCGCTTACTGGCCCTGCCGAAGGAGGCGGGTCCTGAGCGCACCAATCTGTGGCCGACGAGCGAGTAGGGCGGAGCTCCGCCCAGGCAGCACTGCCCTGAGGGCGCGTGCGCGAGACTCGGAACGCGGCCCCCTGATTGGCGGCGCGCGGCGGGGGCGGGGCCACGGCTGCGTGACACTTGTCGCGGGGGAGGGCGCGCCCCGGTGCGGGGGAGGGAGTGTAAATAGAGCGAAGGCGGCTCGGTGTCAGCCCCGCCACCACCAGGCGGCCCGCGTGGAGTCTGAGGGAGATGGAAGCTCAGCAAGAGCAGCGGCGCAGAAAGGTGGAGGCCGGGAGGGCGAAGGTAAACATCAGGGGCTTCTTCTCTTGCTGCTCCGGCGTGAAGTCCTAAGGGCGGCTCCGATGTCCACCACCGCCCCTTGTCACGAGCGGACGCGGCCCGGCGGAATCTGCCGTCGAGGTCTCGCTTTTCCCGCCGGCTCCGCTGGAAGCCGCCTCCTGGCCGCCGCCATCTTGAATCCGCCGCTCTCCGCTAGGGCCCGCCCCCTCCGCGGCCACAGCCAATCAGCGGCTGGAACGCGCGGCGCCTCTCGGGCAGGCCGGGGCGGGGCTGAGCCTGCGTCGGCGACAGGCCGGGCGCGGAGTACGCCGGGAGGGGCGGGGGTGTGTGGCTACCAGGAGGAGGTGTGGCGGGTGCTGGGCCGCAGGCTGGATCCTCTAGTGACCCCTGCGCCCTTCGGTCCCGGATGGCTTGGGGTGGGCGGCCGGTATTCTGGGGGCTGTGCTGTCTCGGGCCAGTTTCCTCCGCGGCCGGGGACGCGGCGCGGGTAGTCTCAGCGCCTCCTTACGGCGCGCTTCCGCTCCGTCCGTCGGAGACGCTTTCCCATGCGCGTTTCCCGCGGCGTCGCAGTTCCTCCTGTGTGAAAGGTCCCCGCGGCGCTCCTGGCGCCGTTGGGCGCGCGTCCTGCCCGTCCGGGTGCTGCCGGGAAGCCAGCGGTGCTGGCGCCGGGCTTCTCCGAGGGACGCGTTCCCGTCTTTATCCCGCCTCGGGTTTCACCCTGTTAAAGCGCTCGGTTTAATGGCCACCGTCCTGGGTTTCTTGTGGGGAATAAAGCGCGCAGAGCCCTTGATTCGGGGGCACTGGAACTGGGGTCCCGAGAGCGCGAGGCGGAACCTCGGGAGCTGCCGGGACGAGGCTGGCCTCCCTGCGAGGTGCGCCCGGCTTCCCCGGATGCTCGGGCCAGGGTGCTGCGGAGGAGCAGGGCTCCCGGCGTTTGAGGCGGGCAAGAGGGAAAGGGGAGCCCGGAGCCTCCTGGGGAGCGTTGAGGGTGGGGAGGGAGGGAAAAAACGCCGCCTGTAGGGCGACCCCGGCTGCAGACCAGGTCTGTGCTATCCCCTCATGGTTAGGTGTGGTGGAGGAGGGCATGAAAATAAACGAGATGGGATTGGGTTGGAATAAAGTATTTCCTTGAGAGACCATTTTTTGTCCAAATTGCCTTGTGTAATCTTCCTGGGTCCAGGAGCTTGTGTACTTGTGTTACTTACACAAACGTTTGTTCCGTTTATTACACAAACGTGGCCACAGTTATCATTTGAGGGAACAGATGCCTCTCCGTGAAAGGCTGACGTGGGACCCCCTCCCTCTTGAGTAAGACGTTAGTGGGAGATGAGGCGCGCACATAGTCTTAAACCCTCGGCTTTGAGGACTGAGCAGAGCTAGACTGTGCCTTCTGATGGGCGATGCTCTGGAGGTCCCTGGTGCTTTGGTGAGCTGTGCCATGAAAAATAGAACATCTGATTCCGTAAAGGAAGATGTGAGATTGACCTGGCTTAATTAATTTTTTGCTATTTCTGTACCTTGTCTCAGAATCTATGGCTAGGAAGTTTTGGCTGGGCTATATATTTCTTCAGTTGGGGGGAAATTGGGGCAAGAAGGGAGAGATTTAGGTTTTATTATTTTAAAACTTAAATATGCCTCGATTAAGCTATCAGTTTTTTATGTAGACGTATTTTTTTAAAGTTCAATTTTTCTGTAAACTGTCAAGGGCTAGGAAAGCTGTTCGGCAATTAGCCGTATAGTTTTCTTTCCTCTGTCAGGCGTAATTAGCAGTCCTCTTGGATATAGATCTTGCCGAAGGCAGTGTTTGTGGAGAGCGATCTGTTGGCCAGCTGTGGCACAGTAGACTGGGTCAGCCCTCGGGCTCATGGTCCCCACCAGTCTGTTGACTTTGTGGTTCTGTTATTTTTTTCTCATTTACCTCTGCCTTTACTATTTATCTACCTTTTTGCGCAGCTTGCTCACTTCCGACAGAGAAAAACCAAAGGCGACGGTGCGCATTCGGAGAAAAAGACGGCGAAGAGGAAGGGCTCGGCTGTCGCTGCGCCTGTCCAGGAGGAGAGTCCGGTAGCCAAGGACCACAGCGAAGCCCGTGGAGGAGGGGACATTTACAAAAGCCCATCATGTGACCATACCCCTGATGGGGCAGGAGGGGCCTTTGCAGCTCAGGTAGATTTGCGCAGTGTTGTCTTTAAACATTTTGCTTAGTGATTTCTAGTGTGGTTTACTAAAGGTGGTCTTTGGTCTATTTTTCCCTTTCAAATGTGAGGAAAGAGTGTGTTGTTTTAGTTATAAAAAGTGAGGGCTGGGTGTGGTGGCTCACGGGCGGATCACCTGAGGTCAGGCGTTGGAGACCAGCCTGGCCACGTGGAGAAACCCCGTCTCTACTCAAAATACAAAAATTAGCTGTACGTGATGGTGCACGCCTGTAATCCCAGCTACTCGGGAGGCTGAGGCAGGAGAATTGCTTGAACTCAGAAGGGGGAGGTTGCAGTGAGCCGAGATCATGCCAGTGCATTCCAGCCTGGGTGACAGAGTGAAACTCTGTCTCAAAATAAATAAATAAATAATTTTTTATATTTTTACTCTTTTTGAGACAGTCTTACTCTGTCACCAGGCGCCAGGCTTGAGTACAGTGGCGTGATCTCAGCTCACTGCAACCTCCACTTACTGGGTTCAAGCAATTCTACTGCCTCAGCCTCCTGAATAGCTGGGACTACAGGCACAAGCCACCACGCCCAGATAATTTTTGTATTTTTTAGTAGAAGAGGGGGTTTCACCATGTTGGCCAGGATGCTTTCAATCTCTTGACCTTGTGATCTGCCCACCTCGGCCTCCCAAAGTGCTGGGATTACAGGCGTGAGCCACTGCGCCCGGCCAACTCTTTTATTAATAAATTTGTTTTTTCTTTTTTTCTTTTGGTTTGCTTGTTCCACATAGGGCCTTGTTCTCTTGCCCAGGGTGAAGTTCAGTCGTGTGATCACAGCTCACTGCAGCCTCAAACCCCTGGGTTCAAATGGTGCTCCCTCCTCAGCCTTCTAAAATACTGGAATTATAGGCACAGGCCACTGCACCTAGCTCTGTTTTATAAATTATGTTATTTTGAGAAATTTGGATTAACTACCTGAAGGCAAGTGTCAGTCATTTGCTTTGTAATGGAAAACTGGGAGTTCTTCCTGTGTGGTTGTGTGTATCAGCCAGCCCCTTTGATGGGTGTTTTTTGGGACACTTAAAACATCTTATTCCTTCACATACTTGTAAATGCACCAGCTTGTCACCTTTGTCTTTTACCTTTTTAATAAAGCGAGATGAGGAGGGAAGGGGTGAAGTTGTTGCAGAAATGGTGCGTTGCTGGAGGAGACTGGGTCTGCTGTTGAGGCCTTGTGAGCTGTGGGGGCACCCCGTGGGTGGGTGTGGGTGGCACACTGAGTCCTGAAGGGGCTGGCCTTCCAGGCTTCTTGGGGCTGCAAGCCTGCCTGTAGGTGTACTTGGGCCTCTTGTGTGAATTACGAATGAGGGCCTTGGGTGTTGAGTGTCCCTGCTGCTGCAGCAGGGTGGGTGCAGGTTTAGGTGTCTGTTAGGATTAGCTGGAAATCTGGTGGCCAAGGGCAGAATCTGGCTCAAGGTCATACACAAAGTGTCTATCCTACTTTACTTAAAAAATTGAATTGGTGCCAACAGTCAAAATTTGTGTTATTGTACCTACAAATCCTGGATTTTGTTTTTTCTCTCCTGAGTTTTTTTGGTTTTTGGGTTGGTGTCTATTTTTTTCCCCCCGTTTTCTTTTTGAGACAGAGTCTCTGTTGCCCAGGCTGGAGTGCAGTGGTGTGAAGCACACTGCAACCTCTGCCTGCCAGGCTGAAGTGATCTTCCTGCCTCAGCCTCCCCAAGTGCCAGGTTTACAGGCATAGCCACCACACTGGCCAGAAAGTTACTTTTGATATATTCTGGTTGCATATGCTTTTTTTTTTTTTTGAGACAGAGTCTCACTCTGTCACCCAGATTGGAGTGCAATGGCAGCATCCTATTTCACTGTAACCTCTGCCTCCAGGGTTCAAGTGATTCTCCTGCCTCAGCCTCCCAAGTAGCTGAGATTGCAGGTGTTCACCACCATTTTTGTACTTTTAGTAGAGACAGGGTTTCAAACCATGTTGGTTAGGCTGGTCTTGAGCTCCTCCTGAACTCAAGCAGTCCATCCACCTCGGCCTCCCAAAGTGCTGGGATTACAGGCATGAGCCACTGCGCCCAGCCCTCTGATGGCATATATATTTTAAAAGTAGTAAGCTGACACAGATGGAGAAATACATGTGGGATCTCAGGATCCTATCAGAAAACCATTATAAACCTAATGCATTGTACATTGTATTTGTAGACTGTTGGGGGTGTTAGCATGAGAAGGCATGGTATGGACTCCTGATTAAACATTCATACTTCGCTGTTTCATCAGCTATAGACTCTCTTAGTTTCTAACTCTGCTGTTTGATGCATGCCTTCATTCAGGAAGATGATCTTATGAAAACCATTTTGATTTTTGTTTTCAAAATATTCAAAAAATATTAGCAATGGTAGTCAGAAAGGAATAGAGTTATTGGTTTTTTTCTTGTTATTGTTTTTGGTATTTCCTTCCTTCTTTCCTTCTTTCCTTCCTTCCATCCTTCCTTTCTCCCTTTCCCCTACCCTTCCCCTCCCTCCCTCCTTTCCTTCCTTCCTTCTCCTTCCTTCCTTTCTTCTCCTCCTCTCCTTACCCTCCCTCCCTCCCTCCCTCCCTCCCTCCTTCCCTCCTTCCCTCCTTCCCTCCTTCCCTCCTTCCTTCCTTCCTTCCTTCCTTCCTTCCTTCCTTCCTTCCAAGTCTCACTCTTGTTGCCCAGCCTAGAGTGCAGTGGTGGTATCTCAGCTCACTTTAACCTCTGCCTCCCGGGTTTAAGCGATTCTCCTGCCTCAGCTTCCTGAGTAGCTGGAATTACAGGTGCATGCCACTGTGCTTGGCTAAGTTTTATATTTTTAGTAGAGATGGATTTTCACCATGTTGGTCAGGCTGGTTTTGAACCTGACCTCGTGATCCCCTGCCTTGGCCTCTGAAAGTGCTGGGATTATAGGCATAAGCCACCACACTCAGCCTATTTTTGGTATTTTCTACAATAAACATATTACTTTATTATACAAAGCATTTATATAACAATTATTATTTTATTATATAATAATTTTTTCTGTTTTAGAATTTAACTGTACCACTAATAAAATATGTATTTTGGACATCCTAAAGCACTGTATAAATAGCAAGCCCATTACTGGTCCCTGTGATGTAGCGAATCATACACATACTGACTCCACTTCCTGCATTTGGTGTCACCCCCTCCTGACCACAGTGGACAGAACCCTTCACCCTCAAGCATGGAGTGGGAGATGTGAGGAGGGGTCTGCTTTCACAAAACTTGGTAAAACAATGGGAAGATGGCCAAGGTAAAGCATTTTGTTTCTTATAAAATAACTGTTACTGTGAATAGTAACATATTTAAAGCAATATTTTCCAAACCAGAAGCTGGTAAAATGTAAGGATATTTTCTCTAGAAAAATGTACGTGCTCCTGCAGCCAGAATTCTGCATGGAATGAAGGCCTAGCAGGGCTTGGCCTATTTTCATCTCACATCATCCTGAATTCCTCTGCAGTTGCAGCTTGAAATCAGCAGAGAAACACCTCGTCTTCCTGTCCACTGGCTCTGAAATGGTAGGCAAAGGTCAGGTACTAGCCAGCGTGTTTCCCCACAGAATTCCTGTTATTTTAATAAGCTAAATATGCAGTCATCAGGCACTAACTCCTACTGGATCTTGGACATGAGCTTTTTTTTTCTTTTTTTTTTTTAAATAGGGTCTTGCTCTGTTGCTCAGGCTGGAGTACAGTGGCACAATCATGGCTCATTCCAGCCTTGACTTCCTGGCCTCAGTGATCCTGCTGCCTCAGCCTCTCTAGAACCTGGGACTACAGGCATGTGTCAGCATGCCTGGCTAACTTTAAAAATAGTTTTGTAGAGACAGGGTTTCACTAGGTTGCCAGGGCTGGTCTCAAACTCCAGTGCTCAAGCACTTCTCCCACCTTGGCCTCCCAGAGTGCTGGAATTACAGGTGTGAGCCATCTCACCTGGCTAAAATGTATATTGTTTACACATCTACAGGTAAAACAAGTGGTATGTGTAAAGTAGAGCCATAATCTTTCTGCTGAATACTAAGTTATGAATCAGATTTCTTAATGAGGCCTCTTTGTTATAATTATGTATATAAAACCATTGGTGTTGTAAGAAGCAGATATTTCATTAACTTTTTCTCTGATTATATCATTGTACATCATCAGTTCAGTCTAAAAAGGAGTTTTTTCATATGTGTTATAAAATAATTCATGATAATTGAGTTTAATATGCCTTTAATCCAGTTTTAGGTGTTAAAATAGGAGGGATTTTGTGTTCAGAATAATGATCTTCTGAAAAGTGAAATTCGAGAAAGAGTCCACCGTTAGAAAGCTAGCAGTAGGTGGCTGTGTGGCCAAGCAGCGTCCCAGGCCAGGGCACTCCCCTCTAGATAGAGCAGGAATCCTTGAGGAGCCTTTATGTGGTATGTTGTGCCAGCGCTTTGAACACAATTAAAGGTGCGTTTCTTTTATTTTACCCGTGTACAAATTGTGAGAGGTTTGACTGTGGGGGGTCTAATGAGCTTATTGAACATCATAAGATGTTAAGTGTGCATGTATGCGTGTGTGTGTGTAAAGGAGAAATAATTGTGTTTTCCAGCGTATAATAAATTGCTTACTTTGATTTCCGCGGTGTACTTTTTTTTTTTTGAGGCTGAGTCTTGCTCTGTTGCCCAGGTTGAAGTGCTCTGGTATGATCTTGGCTCACTGCAACCTCCGCCACTGGAGTTCAAGCAATTCTCCTGCCTCAGCCTCACAAGTAGGTGGGATTACAGGCACCTACCGCACCCGGCTAATTTTTTTGTATTTTTAGTAGAGATGGGGTTTCACCATGTTGGCCAGACCTGTCTTGAACTCCTGACCTCAGGTGATACACTTGCCTCGGCCTCCCCAGCTGCTGGGAACAGGTGTCAGCCACCATGGCCAGCCTGTAATATATTCTTACAGAATATGTTATTAAATTCTAAGATGATATAAGGCTTTTTTTGTTTTGTTTTGAGACGAAATTTCACTTGTTGCCCAGACTGGGGGGCAGTGGCGTGATCTCAGCTCACCACAACTTCGGCCTCCCGGTTCAAGTGATTCTCCTGCTTCAGCCTCCTGAGAAGCTGGGATTATAGGCATGCACCACCACACCTGGCTAATTTTGTATTTTTAGTAGAAATGGGGTTTCACCATGTTGGTCAGGCTGGTCTCAAACTCACAGCCCCAGGTGATCTGCCTACCTGGGCCTTCCAAAGTGCTGGGATTATAGGCGTGAGCCACCATACCTGGCCAGAAGGCTTATTTTAACCAGTTATAAGATTTTAGTTTTTTTTTCAGGATGGTTGCAAGTGAAGATAGAATTGCAGAAAGACTTTATGGTAAAGATTCAGGATTCAGCTATCTTCCTTACAGTTTATTAAATGAAGTGCCTGATGAAAAAATACTTCAGCCAGTGCAACAGTTGCCTCAGTTCTGGAAGTTAACTCAGAAATGAAAGAAAGCAAGGTCAGGCTTGGTGTCTCATGCCTGTAATCTCAGCACTTTGGAAGGCCAAGGTGGCAGGATCACTGGAGTCCAGGAATTTAAGGCCACCCTGGGCAACATAGTATAACTGTCTCTGTAAAAAATATAAAAATTAGCGGGGCATGACGGTGTACACCTGCAGTTTCAGTTACTCAGGAGAATGAGTTGGAAGGATCACCCGAGCCCAGGATTTTGAGGCTACAGTGAGCTATGGTGGTACCACTGCACTCCAGCCTGGATGGAAGAGTGAGGCCTTGTCTCAAAAAAATCATAAAAATAAAGCAGTGGTAGAAAGCAGAATTTGACCTTTCAGTTATAGATGAGGAACAAAATAAAGAGAGGCTTTTTTTTTTCTGAGACGAAGTTTTGCTCTGTCGCCTAGGCTGGAGTGCAGTGGTGCAATCTCAGCTCGCTGCAACCTTTGTCTCCCAGGTTCAAGTGATTCTCCTGCCTCAGCCTCCTGAGTAGCTGGGATTACAGGCACCTTCCACTATGCCTGGGTAGTTTTTGTATTGTTTAGTGGAGATGATTTTGCAACATTGGCCAGGCTGGTCTTGAACTCCTGAACTCAGGTGATCCACCTGCCTTGGCCTCCCAAAGTTCTGGGATTACAGGCATGAGCCACTGCACCAGGCCAGGAGAGGCCATTTTTTTGTAAAAGAACCCTCCAAAAATTGCTGAGAGGTCAAGAATTTCAGAAGAAAATACAAAAACTTTGGCTGAAGAAGATTCACTAGTGCTGTAGAAGGTTTCAGAAGTGTGGTTCCAGCACTTTTCCAACTCATATTTGTATCAGATACCAGGACATCCAGATTCCTGGACCCTCTTTACTATTTTGTCATTTTAAGTTGTTTTGCAAGTAATTTACAGAAGTAAGAATAAAGCAATAATTTAAAACCACTTTATTGGAAATTTGATCCAACCACTTTGTAGCAACTAAATTTTGGCACACAAACATTAGAAGTGGAAGAATATTGATAGGTGTTCTCTTAAGGAAGTAGATGGTGGAGGTTCCTTTGAGGTGGGATCCTTCATGTGAGCAGGCAGCTGATGGAGACTCCCATGTCCCCTTTTGTCCTTGGACACCCATTGCTCACTGCCTCTTGCTTCTGAGAAGATTGATGCTAGGGTATTGTTAAATGAAGACTTGCCTGAGATTTTATTTTCAGGTCAGTTTTGCTATCATCACTGGACATGAGTGCGCGCGCGCTCTCTGTCTGTCTCTCTCTCTCTCTCTCTCTCTGCATTCATCTTGTGACTTACCTAATAATCCTGAAAAGCCTACACTGTCATTTTTCCTCTTTGTTATTTTGGGAGGAAATTGAAATGTTCTTAATGAATTGTCTTGTTGTAAGCAGATTAGTCTGGGTACTGTGACTCATGCCTGTAATCCCAGCATTTTGGGAGGCTGAGGCGGGAGGATTACTTGAGCCCAGGATTTTGAGGCCAGCCTGGGAACAGTATGAACATAGAGACTCTGTCTAAACAAAAAATAAAAAAATTAGTTGGGTGCAGTGGCGCATGCCTGTAGTTCTAGCTACTCAGGGGTCTGAGACAGGAGGATCACTTGGGCCCAGGAGGTCAAGGTTGCAGTGAGCTGTGATTGCATCACTACATGCCAGCTTGGGTGACAGAGCGAGACCCTGTCTCAAAAATTAATTAACATTTTTTTAAAAGTAGAATTCATTAAGAAGAGGGGCAGGAACATCATTAGGGAAATGATTTGCATTAAACAATGTTTAGGGCTTGAGAACTGTTTAGGTGGAAGGTGCACATTCTGAACAGGTGGAAGTGAGCTCTCCTTGTGAAGTGGAGTCAGCGTAGATCTGCAGGTAGAGGACCTGGGAAGAGCCTGAGGCTGCAGCCCCGGACCTTGCTTTAAAAGCTTCATTCTGGCCCTCCTCTTCTTAGCTGGAGGACTGTGATGGAGAAAAGAGAGAGGACTTGGAACAGCTGCACCACCATTCTGGATGGTGGAACATTGACCACCATCCGGAGCAGCGTGGAGTCATCACCATCAGTGACCACCATCCAGGACAGTGTGGGACCATCACCATCAGTGACCACCATCCTGAACAGCGTGGGGTCATCACCATCAGTGACCACCATCCGGAGCAGCGTGGGGTCATCACTGTCAGTGACCACCATCCGGAGCAGCGTGGGACCATCACCATCAGTGACCACCATCCGGAGCAGTGTGGGACCATCACCATCAGTGACCACCATCCGGAGCAGCGTGGGGTCATCACCGTCAGTGACCACCATCCAGGACAGTGTGGGACCATCACCATCAGTGACCACCATCCAGAACAGCGTGGGACCATCACAAAGGTATTCAAGTTCTCCGTCAAGGTGTATTCTGTGTCAAAGGATTTCTTTATGTTGTAGAAATCCAAACCAGTGCGAAGACGTTCCATCTCTGCAGGGCCTCTCTTTGAAAGTGGAACCTGGGAGCATAGAGAGCTGGAGGCAGAGGCTCGCCCTGTAGGCCCCACTTGCTGCTGCCTGCACATTCTAGTGTTGCCCGTGGATAGAAGCCTCTCTTGAGACCCTCGGCCTGAGCTCAGATCTGCCTTCCTTGTGAGCTTTCTTTTTGTTTTTTCCCATGGGACATTGAAGAGAAGCAGTCCTTCATAAATGTGAGGAGTGTCATGAATTCCCTTTTTCTGGTTGCCCTTGTCGATGGACTCACCTGGCTGTTCAGTGTTTCTGAGGCCTGGCATCTCATTTCTCACAAACCTGTGCCAGCTGAGAGCCCGACAGGGCAGGGAGGGCTGTGGTCAGTTTTCATGTCCCTGATATCTGCCAGATGCCTGGTGGGATTAATTCTATATGTGTTGAGCTGATTATTTTATTGATATGGGTTTTGTTTGCACTTGGAAGAAAGCATTAAATTTGGAATTGACTAATTTTAGAGTGTTGTGTTAAAAGCCTGTATTTTAGCTATTTGATTCTGGCTAGACTCAGTTCACACTGCTTTAGGCAAGTTTCGTTGTTTCCTTTTTTTTTTTATTGCATTTTAGGTTTTGGGGTCCATGTGAAGAACATGCAAGATTGTTGCATAGGTACACACATGACAGTGTGATTTGCTGCCTTCCTCCCCATCACCCATATCTGGCATTTGCTCTGTCGCCCAGGCTAGAGTGCAGTGTTGTGATCCTGGCTCATTGCAATCTCCGCGTCCTGGGTTCAAGTGATTTATTTTCCTGCCTGAGTCTACCAAGTAGCTGGGACTACAGGCACCCACCAACATGCCTGGCTAATTTTTGTGTTTTCAGTAGAGACGGGGTTTCCCCATGTTGGTCGGCTGGTCCTAACCTCAAGTGATCTGCTCATCTTGGCCTCCCGAAGTGTTGGGATTACAGGTGTGAGCCACCACACCTGGCCGGCAAGTTTGGTTTTTAATCTGCATTATTGCAGGAAAGATCTAACTCATAGGTGGGGACTGGAAGAATAGTCTTTGGATGGGTTCTATAAAACCCACTCTTCACTTATTTATTTACTTTTGGGACAGGGTCTCATTCTGTCACCCAGGCTGGAGTGCCATCACAGCTTACTGTAGCCTCAGCATTATTTTGATGCTTAAATTATTGCAGCTCTGTCCACGGGGAGCCCTTTCAGGTGGCCCGTGTTGTGTGTGTTTTAAGCACACCCTGGCTTTGTGGCAATGCAGGGTGCCCCAGGCTCATCAGGTAGTTCCTGTCTCCGCCTGAGTCAGCTGTTTCTCCAAGGAGTCTTGGTGTCTTTTACTGGTTTGTGGTATTGAGACCAAGAATGGGCATTAGGTGTGCTTACTGCCGCTGGATGTTGCTGCTGTTTCTGGCCCGTCTCTGTGGACAGATGAGGAAGGTTGTGTCTGGGAGCTAGTCTGTGTATATACTCATAGCTGCATTTATGTTTGTACATATCTGTAGACATATATATTAAAATAAGTGGGAATGTATGCTGGTACCTCAGAGCCTAACCCAGCACCACAGGGCTCATTGTGCCCTTCCCCTGGTTTATCTGCAGTTTTCTTCTCAGACAGTGAGAAGCCTGGCTCTCATTTCTGCCTTTTATTTACTTAAAAAAAATAAATTGGATGGTTTTTTTTTTTTTGGTAGGGGGAGACAGCGTCTCGCTTTGTTTCCCAGGCTTGAGGGCAGTAGTGGGATCTCAGCTTGCTGCAGCCTCTGCCTCCTGGGCTCAAGTGACTGCCTCTGCCTCCTGAGTGGCTGCTATTAAAGTGCTGCTACCATGTCTGGCTAATTTTTGTATTTTTTAGTACAGACAGGGTTTCACCATGTTAGCCACGTTGGTCTTGAACTCCCGACCTCAAGTGATCCACCTGCCTTGATCTCCCAGAGTGCTGGGATTACAGGTGTGGGCCACTACTCTCAGCTCCATTTATTTACCCATTTGTTCAACTCTCTTGTAAATGTAGTTTCCGAATTAGCAACCCACATCTCATAAGAAACAAATTTACCAACTGGATTTCAGTGTTTGTTTATAGGTCCTTTTGTCTTCATTTTCAGTTTCCAACCAAAACCGTGTCTGTAATCCCACTACTCAGGACAGAGTAGTGACCAAGGCTACTTAGGTCACTCCTCTCTTCCCAGCCCCTCACTATGGTTGTGTCTTAACTGCTGATTATTGTAGTCAGGTGCATCCACCACTGGCTACTTCCTATCCTGGGATCCCACAACTCCTGGTCAGTTGTTTTTTTTTTTTTTTTTTTTTTTTTTAAGTTGGAGTCTTGCTCTTTCGCCCAGGATGGAGTACATGGCACAATTTCAACTCACTGCAACCTCCGCCTCTGAGTTCAAGCAGTTCTGCCTCTGCCTCCTGAGTAGCTGGGATTACAGGTGCATGCCACCATGTCTTGCTCATTTTTTATTTTTTTTATTTTTATTTATTTATTTTTTGAGACAGAGTTTCGCTCGTTACCCAGGCTGGAGTGCAATGGTGTGATCTCGTCTCACTGCAACCTCTGCCTCCTGGGTTCAGGCAATTCTCCTGCCTCAGCCTCCCGAGTAGCTGGGATTACAGGCATGCACCGCCATGCCCAGCTAATTTTTTTTATTTTTTATTTTTAGTAGAGACGGGGTTTCACCATGTTGACCAGGATGGTCTCGATCTCTTGACCTCGTGATCCACCCACCTCGGCCTCCTAAAGGGCTGGGATTACAGGCATGAGCCACTGCTCCTGGCCTCATTTTTGTATTTTTTAGTACAGACAGGGTTTCACCATGCTGATCAGGCTGGTCTCAAACTCCTGACCTCGTGATCTGCCTGCCTTGGCCTCCCAAAGTGCTGGGATTACAAGTGTGAGCCACTGTGTCTGGCCAAGTTTTTTAAAATTGCATACTGGTTTTCTTTGAGACAGCGTCTTGCTCCATTGCCCCGGCTGGAGTACAGCGGTGCAATCTCGGCTCACTACGGCCTTGAGCTCCTGGGCTCAATCAATCCTCCCACCTCAGCCTCCCAAGTAGCTGGCAGTACAGGCGCATGCCAACACGCCTGGGTAATTTTTGTTATTTTTATTTTTTTGTAGACACAGGGTCTTATGTTGACAGGACTGGTCTTGAACTCTTGACCTCAAATGATCCTCCTTCCTCGGCCTCCCAAAGTATTGGGATTACTGGTGTGAGCCACCTCACCCACCCTAAAAATTACAGGCTTTTCAGTTCATTCTTTGTAATGTACAATAGCTTAAAGTCATATCTACTACCCAGTTACCCTCCAGAACGACCCGGGTCCCCAAGAGTGCTTTGTGTTCTCTTTCTGATCAGCCATGCCCTCTTTCCTCAGGCTCTGGCAACCACTGGTCTGTTTCCTGTTCCATAGTTTTGCCTTTTCCAGAATGTTCTCCAGATGGAATTAAGTAATATGTAGCCTTCTGGGTCCAACTTTTTAAATCACTGAACAAAATTAGTTTAAGATTTATCCAAGTGTGGCCGGGCACAGTGGCTCATGCCTGTAATCCCTGCACTTTGGGAGGCTGAGGTGGGTGGATCACCTGAGGTCAGAAGTTTAAGGGCCAACATGGTGAAACCCCATCTCTACCAAAAATACAAAAAATTAGCTGGTCATGGTGACAGGCACCTGTAATCCCAGCTACTTGAGAGGCTGAGTCAGGAGAATCTCTTTAACCTGGGAGGCGGAGGTTGCAATGAGCCAAGATCATGCCATTGCACTTCAGTCTGGGCAACAGAGCGAAACTCTGCCTCAAAAAAAAAAAAAAAAAAAAAAAAAAACACCCAAAAAATTAGCCAGGGGTGGGGGTGGGCACCTGTAATCCCAGGTACTCAGGAGGCTGAGGCAGGAGAATTGCTTGAACCTGGGAGGCAGAGGATGCAGTCAGCGGAGATTGCACCACTGCACTCCAGCCTGGGAGATAGAGCGGGACTCTGTCTCATGGAGGTTGCAGGGGAAGATTCATTCAAGTTTCAGATTGATTAGTAGCTCATTCCTTTTTTTTTTTCTTTTTTTAAAGACGGGGTTTCACCATGTTGGTCAGGCTGGTCTGGAACTCCCGACCTTAGGTGATCCACCCGCCTTGGCTTCCAAAGTGCTTCAATTATAGGTGTGAGTCACCGTGCCCGGCCTAGCTCATTCCTTTTTGATGCTGGTTAGTACTTCATTGTGTGGCTGGTACACAGTTTATCTACTCACTTGGTGAAGGACATCTTTGTTTCTTTGTTGCTTCTAGCTTTTTTTGACTGTAAATAACAAATTTGGCCATTTTTTTTATTTTTGGAGACAGAGTTTTGCTCTTGTAGCCCAAGCTGGAGTGCAGTGGTAGCCTGTTGCCCAGGCTGGAGTGTGCTGGTGTGAATTCAGCTCATTGCAGCCTCTGCCACCAGGGTTCAAGTGATTCTCATGCCTTGGCCTCTTGAGTAGCTGGGATTACAGACATGCAACACCATGCCTAATTTTTTTATTTTTAGTGGGGACAGGATTTTGCCATGTTGGCCGGGCTGGAGTGCAGTGGCATGTTCTCGGCTTATTGCAACCTCTGCCTCCCAGGCTCAAGCCATTCTCCTGCCTCAGCCTCCCGAGTAGCTGGGATTATAGGTGTGCACCATTATGTTGGGCTAATTTTTGTATTTTTAGTATAGACAGAGTTTCACCATATTGACCAGGCTGGTCTTGAATGCCTGATCTCAGGTGATCTGCCCACCTGCATTGGTCTAATCTAGGAGGGATGTGTATTTCCAGGAATTTATCCATCGTTTCTAGGTTTTCTGGTTTGTGCACACAAAATGATCTTTTGTATTTCTGTGGTGTTAGCTGTAATATCTCCCATTTAGTTTCTCATTGAGCTTATTTGGATCTTTTCTCTTCCTTTCCTGGTTAATCTTCACTTATGATCTATCGGTTTGGTTTATCTTTTCAAAGATCCAGCTTTTTGTTTCATTTATCTTTTGTATCAATTTCATTTCATTCTGTTCTGATCTTGGTTATTTCTTTTCTTCTGCTGGGCTTGGGTTTGGTTTGCTGTTTCTCTACTTCCTTGAGGTGTGAGCTTAGATTGTCTGTCTGTGCTCTTTCAGACTTTTTGACGTAGGCATTTAATGCTATAAACTTTCTTCTTACCGCCGCTTTCGCTGTACCCCAGAGGTTTCGATAGGTTGTGTCGCTATTATTGCATTCAAAGAATTTTTAAATTTTCATTTTGATTTCATTTGATCATTCAGGAGCAGATTATTTAATTTCTATGTGTTTGTATAGTTTTTGAAGATTCCTTTTGGAGTTAATTTCCAGCTTTACTCCAGTGAGATCTGTGAGAGTATTTGATATATTTCATTTTTCTTAAATTTATCGGGATTTGTTTTGTGGCCAATCGTATGGCTTATCTTGGATAATGTTCCATGTGCTAATGAACAGAATGTATATTCTGCAGTTGTTGGATAGAATATTCTGTAAATATCTCTTAAGTCCATTTGTTGTAATGTATAGTTTAAGTCCATTGTTTTTTGCTGTCTCTCTGTTTCGATGACCTATCTAGTGCCGTCAGTGAGTGTTGAAGTCGCCACTGTTATTGTGTTGCCCTCTATCTCACTTCTTTCTTTTTTCTTTTTCTTTTTTTTTTTTGAGACAGAGTTTGGCTCTTGTTGCCCAGGCTGAAATGCAGTGGCATGATCTTGGCTCACTGCAACCTATGCCAGGTTCAAGCAATTCTCCTGCCTTAGCCTCCTGAGTAGCTGTGATTACAGGCGATTGCCACCATGCCCGGCTGCTTTTTGTATTTTTAGTAGAGACAAGGTTTCTTCATGTTGGCCAGGCTGGTCTGGAATTCCCAATCTCATGATCTGCTTGCCTTGGCCACCCAAAGTGCTGGGATAACAGGTGTGAGCCACCGCGCCCAGCCCATGCTGTATCTTTTAAGTGGAACATTTAGGCCATTTACACTCAACCTTAGTATAGGTCCTGTGAGATTTATGCTTTTTTTTTTTTTTTTTTTTTGAGATAAAGTTGCGCTCTTGTTGCCCAGGCTGGAGTGCAATGGTGTGATCTTGGCTCACTGCAACCTCCACCTCCTGGGTGCCTCAGCCTCCCAAGTAGCTGGAATTATAAGCGCCCACCACCATGTCTGGCTAAGTTTTTGTATTTTTAGTAGAGACAGGGTTTCTCCATGTCGGTCAGGCTGGTCTCAAACTCCTTACCTCAGGTAGTCCACCCCAAAGTGCAGGGATTATTAGAGGTGTGAGCTACTATGCCGTGCCAGCTTCTTGTATATGGGTGTCTAGATCTCTAGCAAGACTAGGGAATTGGTCAGTTAGCTGCAGTTGCCCTCTGAGGACAGCTGACAACCCCCTAGCCTGACTCTTACACTGTTTCTGTGTGTGGGGGTGTATTTGTTCATCCATCAGGGTCTGCAGAACAGACCTCCAGGTGTGGTGATCAACATCTCAACCCCTCTCCACATGCCTGCACCTTTGGCTGTGGCTTCCGGTCTTGTATCCATACTTCCTGTTTTCCCCTCCCCTTCCGGATTCTACTCAGAAAAATTCATGCTCAGTCAAAATTATGACGGAGTTCAGCTGGGAGCTTCCTTTACCCTGCAGCCTCTCCCCAGTTCTGCTGGCTGCTTTCCCTTCCTCAGGGACCCCTGTGAAATGAGCACTGGGGACCGGGAGTACCTACAGGGTTCTTCTCACTGCTGCTTCTACTTTTGCGTTTCACTTGGCTCTCTTCAATCCTTTTCAGCTCTAGGAAAGGTTAAATCCTTCCCCAGTGAGGATGTGTGTTTGGAGGCAGGCTTTCCCCCCCTCACACTTTGGAAACTCAGTTTTTCAGCTGTCTTGCAGTGTTTGCTGAAAGGTACTTCTTTCAGAGGGTCTGAGGATTCTTTCGGTTTTCCTGGTATGTTCCCATAGTGGTTCTTGCGGCAAAAGTTCATGATGTGATTCTCCACACTCCATTCCATCTGTCCGTCCAAGTGGGAGCTGCACGTTAGTCCTGTCTCGTGTCTGCCATTTTCCTCCTTGTCAAACCTTTAAAGAGGTTTATTCTGAGACGAACGTGTGTGACCAAGGCCCAATGCATTCTCAAGAAGTCATGAGAGCTTGTGCCCCCATGGTTGCTTCTAATCACCCCCCTCAGATTTGGGGGCATGGCCAGACTCCAACACCTGTGCTTCTCTGGTTCCTCCTGGCTCCCCAAATGGCCTGAGTTTTCAGGACCCTCTATCTGGGGGAGTTCCCTCTCTTAAGAGCATTTCAAGTCATTTTTGTTAGATTTTATCCAGCAGTTCTAGAGGTTTTAAGCGCATGCCTTTGAGTTTAAAACTGGACATTCAAAACCGGATGTTCCTATGTTTCCTTTTCCAATTAAAAGGGAAAATATAGCTGGGTGCAGTGGCTCACGCCTGTAATCCCAGCACTTTGGGAGGCCAAGGCGGGTGGATAACCTGAGGTCAGGAGTTTGAGACTAGCCAGGTCAGCATGGTGAAACCCCATCTCTACTAAAAATATAAAAAATTAGCTGGGCATGGTGATGCACGCCTGTAATCCCAGCTACTTGGGAGGCTGAGGCAGGAGAATCGCTTGAACCCATGAGGCGGAGGTTGCAGTGAGCCGAGATTGCACCATTGCACTCCAGCCTGGGCAACAGAGCGACACTCCGTCTCAAAAATCATAAAATAAAAAGACAACACTTGATTTGAGGTTGGCCATGGAGTGGCTGTGAGGGGAGACAGGACAGGACTGTGGGGGTTGGGTGGGTTTCCATTTACAGAGGCAGAGAACAGCGTGTTGGAGGAGCCCCTGATATATATGTTTTTAAGTTGAGATGGATTCTCACTTTCTTGTCCAGGCTGGAGTGCAGTGGCGTGATCTTGGCTCACTGTGGCCTCCACCTCCTGGGTTTAAGCCATTTTCCTGCCTCAGCCTCCTGAGTAGCTGGGATTACAGGTGCAAGCCACCACACCCGGCTAATTTTTGTATATTTTGTAGAGATAGGGTTTCACCATGTTGCCCAGGCTGGTCTCGAACTCCTGACCTCGTGATCTGCCTGCCTTGGCCCCCCAAAGTGCTGGGATAACAGGCGCAAGCCACTACGCCCAGCTAATTTTTGTATATTTTGTAGAGATAGGGTTTCACCATGTTGCCCAGGCTGGTCTCGAACTCCTGACCTCGTGATCTGCCTGCCTTGGCCCCCCAAAGTGCTGGGATAACAGGCGCAAGCCACTACGCCCAGCTAATTTTTGTATATTTTGTAGAGATAGGGTTTCACCATGTTGCCCAGGCTGGTCTCTAACTCCTGACCTCGTGATCTGCCCGCCTTGGCCCTCCCAAAGTGCTGGGAATACAGGCGTGAGCCACCGTGCCCAGCCTGAGCCCCTGACATTGAAGGGAGATGTTGTTGCATTGGTGCAGCATCTGCCCTGAGGATAAGTCATGCACAGCAGCCCCTGCGGAGCTCCCACACCACCCTCTCTGTCTAGTTCCTCTGGGGGCCTTTCTAGCCTTCACAACTGTATCAAGCCTCTATCTCTCCACCCCTACCCAGTCCTCCAGTTTGGGCAGAAAAATTTAGTTTGGGTCATTTTTTAGTCTGAAATACTCCGCAAGCAAGTGGGTCACCTGGGGCCCAGAGAGGTGCCTGGCTATGCAGGGGAAGCCAGAGAACAGTCGCTTCCACAGGCAGGGGAGACCTCCTAGGCGCCAGTCAGGGGGCAGGAGCCTGCAGGGAGGGCCAGGGTGGTGGTGGGGTCAGGATCCGTGCTGAGGGCCCCCTGTAGCTCTCCTCTTCCCTTTGGGTTATTGCTACTGAAAACGTTTCCAGAGGTGGGAATGTTGAGACAGGGAAAGGCTTTCTGTAACTCAACCTACGTCACCAAAAAACGTCTGCCGAGAAAAATGTTGAAGCAGTGGATTCTGACGTTGATAGTGCTTGGGTGGGTTTGTTTCCTCTGGCTACAATGGCACTGAGGGTTCGTGATATTCTTGCCAACGTTTGATGATTTCATGGCCACACAGAGATCTTTCAAGTTTGTGTTTCCGGATTGGGTTACCTTCATTGGTACCCACTTTATCCAAGCATTTTATGCCCATTTTTCCCTCTATAGGTGTCTCTTTCTCCTTTTCCTGAGAGCAGGTTATGCGTTCCCCCCACGGCAACACTGCTGTGGCGTGGGGGAGAGATCACAGCTTATGTTCCTAGGACTTTATTTACCAATTTTTTTTTTTTTTTTGAGACGAAGTCTTACTCTGTCACCCAGGCTGGAGTACAGTGGCCTCCAGGATACTCCATCGCTATGGATTTATGGATGCTGAACATATGTAAATGGAATCTCACCACGTGCGGCCTTCTGTGTCTGCTCTTCCACTCAGCTCATGTCTTTAGGGCTATCCTGTGTTGTAGGCTGAGTCAGGGCTTCATTCCTTCTTGTGGCTGAATGGCAGCCCACGTTTTATTCAACTGTTCATCCATCAGTGGGCTTTTGGGTTGACTGCTGCTGTGGACAAGTGTGTATGGGATTTTGTGAGGACGTGAATTTTCAGCTCTTGGGCACATCACGATGGCTTCTTAGTGACTGTTTTCTCATGTGAATTCTGGATCACATCCTTTGCCTTTTTTCCCCAGGAGTGTGAACAAGAATGTGAACTTGCCGTTGCTGACATGGAGAGCCGGTGTGAAGATGAGGCTGGCCCGCAGCAGAGTCAGGTGACCTGGCGGGGCCCACACAGGCTCGTAGCATGGGCTTCGTTACCCTACAGGGCACAGCGGGCTCCTGGTGGATGGGGCAGGTGCTGCCATCTCCTCTCTCTGCCTTGTTTGTTTCCACATTCTGTGTGTGGGGCCACAGAAGGGCCAGTGGAGGGAACAGGCGTGGATGCCGGAGGTCAGGGGGCCTGGTCAGGTGCCCTGAGTGACACACTGACCTCAGGGCTGGCCACTCTCCCTATCAGCTTTGAAGCCCCCTCCAGGTACAGTGCTCTTGTCCAGTGAGGGAATTTGGGGTGCTGGTGCTCAGGGCGGTGATGGGCTATGGGGTCACTGGTGGAGTTGCTGGTTGGCATCTTGGTGTCGTCTGGGTCTCTGTGTCCTGCTCTTGCCCCCAGGAGGTGTCTGCTGTTTTCCTTTCTGTGTCTTCCTTACCCTTACTCATTCCCATTCATGCTTCTCTGTCTCCTGACGTGCCCTGGTTCTGAGCATGGGCCCTCATCAGAGGCCTTCTCTGCACTGCAGGCAGTGCACGGCCTTGAACTGGAGGCGCTGCGCCTCAGCCTGAGCAACATGCACACGGCGCAGCTGGAGCTGACGCAGGCCAACCTCCAGAAGGAGAAGGAGACGGCGCTGACGGAGCTGCGGGAGATGCTCAACAGCCGGCGTGCCCAGGAGCTGGCCCTGCTGCAGAGCCGGCAGCAGCACGAGCTGGATCTCCTCCGGGAGCAACACGCACGGGAGAAGGAGGAGGTGGCGCTCAGGTGTGGACAGGAAGCAGGTACTGCACGGGCCAGGCAGGCGCAGGTGGCGTGTGGGCTCGGCGTGGGCATTGTACTTCTTCCCTCTTGGGGTTGGGAGCTGGGGCACCCTAGCACTGTCTCCCCATCTCTGTTCTCAGCACCTCACCTGGCATCTGGCTCTGTGAGAGCCTAAACAAAGGGGTCCCTCGGGTTTTTGTGGCCAGGAGATTAGAGCGGGTTTTTAGATGAGACCCAGGGCTGACCTTCACCTCCTCTCTTAGATTGTCCTGTGTGGCTGGAAGTCACGATGTCCTCAGTTTGTTATTTAAGCCAGGCTCCATCACAGACACGTTCTGCTAGCCCATGAGTGCTGCCACACATCCAGTGGATACCAGAGCCTGGTTGTTTCCTGGGTGATTGGGTCACTGAAAAGGTTGAGATTGAGTGACCTGAGCTACTTTTTGTTTTTCTTGCAGCTGAGCTGAAGGAGAAATTACAATCAGAAATGGAGAAAAACGCCCAGATAATAGAGGTACCGGTGATGGATTGTAAGATGCAGGTTTCTGTGTGTTGTTTTTCCTTTCTTGCCAGGTCCCATGAGAACGCTCCTTGCCGGGATTCAGACAGAAGCCAGTCGAGGCTTTGTTAGAGTGTGCCGGGTGGAAGTGTATTGCACTCTTTGTTTATGTAGTCTGTATTTGTCAGAAAGCGTGTTTTGTGTTTTACTTTGATTTGTATGACATAAAGGCGCTCATCTGCCCCTCCATGCTGGCTTCCGAGTGCCCCCCGTGGCCTGCCCCTGAGTGTTTTCTGGGACACAGCCTCTGCCCATGTGGACATGGCAGTTAACTGCAGTGCATGGGGTGTGGGTGCTGGGCGCTGGGGAGAATACCAAACAGGGAGGAGGTTTCTGGTGGGGTGGGTTGCACCTGCTACGGGTGGCCTCACTAGGGGACCACAGGTAGTGCCATGTCATTGCCAGGCCCTTTGCTAGGGGGTGAGCCATCTGCAGTGCTGAGTGTGGAGGCCCTTCCTGAGCCAGGCGTCTGGGCAGCTCTCAGGCCATTGGCAGGCAATGGATGTCAGTCCAAGCTTGGGGTTGTGTTCTGGTCACCTGCTCTTCCGATCCAGGCAGTGGGATTCATTTCTCAGAGCACTTGGGACAGAGACTAGCCCTTGGGTGAAGGTGGGCAAAGTTGCCATTGGTTCCTGGGTCTTGTAGGGAGATGCATTTCTAATGCTTTGAGGGTGACTGTGTAGATTATGCCTTGTGTGCAGAGGCCGGTTTATTTTGGGGTAGGTGGTCCTTGCTTGCTTTGTGCAGAGGCTGGTCTGTTTTGGGGTAGGTGGTCCTTGCTCCCTGCGTGCAGAGGCTGGTCTGTTTTGGGGTGGATGGTCCTTTCTCGCTGTGTGCAGAGGCTGGTCTGTTTTGGGGTGGATGGTCCTTTCTCGCTGTGTGCAGAGGCTGGTCTGTTTTGGGGTAGGTGGTCCTTGCTCCCTGCGTGCAGAGGCTGGTCTGTTTTGGGGTGGATGGTCCTTTCTCGCTGTGTGCAGAGGCTGGTCTGTTTTGGGGTGGATGGTCTTGACTTTTCTCAGCTGCTTGCCTCCTGTATGCCTCTGCTTCTCTGTCCTGCCAGCACTCAGGGGAGAGATTGGGTGTCAGGCCTGTCAGGACAGTTGAGTTGAGGGGGAATGACTCCCCGTTCTTGTTTTTTGTTTTGTTTTGAGACAGGGTCTTGTTCTGCCTCCCAGGCTGGAGTGCAGTGGCATAATCATAGCTCACTGCAGCCTTGACCTCCTGGGCTCATTTGATCCTCCTGTCTCAGCCTCCCCAGTAGCTGGGACTACAGGCGCGTGCTACCACACCCAGCTAATTTCTGCATTTCTTTGTAGAGATGGGGTCTCACTATGTTGCCCAGGCTGGTCTCAAATTCCTGGGCTCGGGTGATCTGCCCACCCAGCCTCTCAAAAGTGCTGGGATTACAGACGTGAGCCACTTTGCCTGGTTTCCTCATGAGTTTTGACCGTGTGATTTAAATTTCTTTAGCACAGATAATCAACTATTGACTTTAATTTTTTTTTTTTAATTAGACCCTGAAGGAAGACTGGGAATCTGAGAAAGATTTATGTTTAGAAAATCTACGCAAAGAATTGTCTGCAAAGCATCAGTCAGAAATGAAGGATTTACAAAATCAGTTTCAGAAAGAATTGGCAGAACAGAAAGTTGAGTTGGAGAAGATTTTTCAAGACAAAAATAAGGCTGAATGTGAGTAATGAAAATGAGCAAGTGTGGAGAGGTACTGAGTTCTCCTGCGTGTTACTGGAACGAATGCCGTACGTGTCACTATGCGTGAGGGAGCACACGTTTCCTGCCTTTGCTTTTTTTTTTTCTTTTTTTTTCCTCTAACACAGATCATAGGAAACAACCTGCCTTTGCTTCTAAATGCTGGATGGCTCCATGCACGTGTGACAGGCTGGTGGCCGTCATGGGTCACAGGACTCTCAGGATCCTTAAACTTTCCTGATCTTTGTTTCAGAGATTTTCTTGGCATGCTCAGTTGCTAAATTATTACCAAAGCTGCTGCGTTGTGCTGGTTCACTTTTGAAACTCATGTGTGTTCCAGCATGACCCTCATGGTGGGATGGCATGGGTAGGTGATGTCCGTGCCTCACTGTGGTGCACCTCAGGTGTGTGAGACTCACATGAGGGGTCCGGGGGATGCGGGATGCCCAGGGCAGGGCCTTGGGTGGCAGTGCTCTGCATGCACCGTTATCATTACTGGGGTTCCTGTCTTGTAACCAAGTGAGTTTGCTTTATCATTCTAGGGGCCCTTAGGAACCTGGAGAATCAGCATCAAGCAGCCATTGAAAAGTTACGTGAAGACCTGCAGTCCGAGCACTGCCGGTATTTAGAAGACTTGGAGTTAAAGTTCAAAGAAAATGAAAAAGAAAAACAGCTGGAGGTGGGCAGCAGCTTAAGTTACTTTAATTACTTGGTATCTTAAGGAAGTTTTAAAAGATTTTGGAATCGGGCTGTTTCACATTATGTTATTTGCTAAAACTTAAGTACCAAATTTAAAGAGATTGGCTGGGTGTGGTGGATCACGCCTGTAATTCCAGCACTTTGTGGGAGGCCAAGGTACGTGGATCACATGAGGTCAGGAGTTTGAAACCAGCCTGGCCAACATAGCGAAACCCCATCTCTACTAAAAATACAAAAGTTAACTGGGTGTGGTGGCGGGCACCTGTAATCCCAGCTACTCAGGAGGCTGAGGCACAAGAATTGCTTGAACCCAGGAGGTGGAGGTTGCAGTAAGCTGAGATCGTGCCACTGCACTCCAGCCTGGGTGACAAGAGCGAAACTCCGTCTCAAAAAAAAAAAAAAACAAATAAAATAAAACAAAATAAATAAATTTAGAAAGACCATCAGTGGTGAATAAAAGTGTAAGGATATAGTCTGTGAGACTGATTTAATAATTATGTTCAGTCTTACACTTAGAAATGCATATTCTTTACACGTGTTCCTGAGACAGTTACACAAATTTCAAACACTAGGTAGGTGTAAGGCCACATCCTCTGACCATAATCCAGTAAACCCGAGATTCCTGGGAAAAGTTAACCAAAACTTTTTCTGCTGTTGTATATTCAAGTTGCTTTTCTAATGAAACACTCTGTATCAAAATGTAGATGTGGCCAGGTCCTTGCAGGGGGCCTGACAAACCCAGGCCTCAGACTGAGTATCCCAAGCATCATTTCAGGAAATTAAAACATAAATCACAGATGGGGTTAGTTGTGGTGTGTGAGAGATTTACACACCTAAGAATACAGATGTAGCTGGGGTCTGGGGTGTCAGGGAGGCCTGTCCTGGGCCCCTTATGTCTCCCAGTGGGGCTCCGGGGCCCACACACTCCTCTCCTGCAGAGTACTCAGGCCCGGTCTCTCCCTGGGCCCTTCCAGGCTTTTCCTCATGGATGGGAAAGAGGGGGCTGCTAGCACCTGCTGGCCCTGATGCCCACAATGGGGAAGGTAGGAGGGGCCGCTTTCACGAAGAGGACAGGCCAGCCCCAGGTGCAGCGTCGCCCAGGACATCCCGCCTTGCTGGGCTGGGCTCTTGCTGATTGTACAGAAAAGTTCAGTGTCAAAGTGTAAGGGTATCTGCTTCCTTCATTTTAAAGTATTGAAAGTAGAAGCTCCCTGTTTGGTAGTCGTGGGTACTATGGGCTAGTAAGACTTCCTAAATATCATTCAGCGGTCTGTATGTGTGACCCCCAAACCGAAGCAGGGAGGTGCACACAGATGAAACCACACAGCTGCGACTGTCATGTAACCTGGCCGGGCCCACTTCTCAGCTGAGACATGCAGACCTGGAAGGCCCTGTGATTCTGAAAGTGCGTGGCCTTGTGGAGTTAGCACTGTGATCCCGCTTGCCACGGACAGAGCTCTCTTGGTCTCTGCTGTGGCTGGCTTTCTCTCAGCTGCAGGTTTGGGATGTGGACTTTTACCCTGAGGATTGCAGTGGCAGGGATAAAACCACAACTGTCTCTGCTGGGATGGGGGCCTTGAGCTCATTAGGTTCTCACCTCGACACGTTGCTTTTTTCCAGTTAGAGAATCTTCAAGCATCATACGAAGACCTGAAGGTGCAGTCACAAGAAGAGATCAGGCATCTGTGGTCCCAGCTTGATTCTACAAGGACCAGTAGACAGGAACTGAGTGGTGAGGAATTCTTTTGGAAAATTCAGATACCTAAAAACTGGAGCTCTGTGTTTTTATTGTTGTAACCCCAAGCTAGAATTTAACAATTCTAGCAAGCACAGAAGAGTGGATTTACCTGGTTGGTATTCTGAAGGTTGATGTGTACAGTTTGAAGGTGGAGGTTTATTTCTGAGAGATAGCCCTGGTTTTATGCTAAGCCCAGTGCAGTAGTGACGTGCACCTGTGTGTCCCTAAAGGCGAGACTGACACTGGCAGGGGGTGGTGCCTTCATGTCTCCAGAAAGCTTTCCAGTGGTGCTGAGTGTTCACCTTGGCAAGACCGTTGAGTGCTGTCCAGGTGCGTGCAGGCTCACCCGGTGTCTGGGGTCACAGGGTGGTGCCTCACATCCTGTTGCCAGGCTCCTGTGGCCCCAGCTCTCCGGTCTCCATGCCCCAGCAGCTGCAGCCACTTGCTGAGGGCAGCTCTGCTCCAGCTGCCCCCCTACAGCTGAGTACCTTTGGAGACCCCAACCCTAGGGCCCCGTTTCCATGTCACAGAGGTCCCTGTGCAGCTGGTGAGGATGGTGCCTGAGGGTAAGGGCTGGCTAAGCCCAATTCAGGCCCCGGCACCCAGGGCCACAGGACAGGAGGGTGAGCCACTGTGCACCTCCTGGAGCTCAGGTGCAGGCAGAGCCTCCGGCCCAACTCGTCCTTGTGGGTGGTGGGATTTGGAGCAAAGAGAACTTAGGAGAAAGAACCGGAGACTCCACCGCTGTTACCAGGGCACTAGGCCTGGCTCCCAGCCCTGTGCCTTGTTGGGACCAGGTAGAGCCGGGTGTGTGTCAATTTGACTTTCCCTTGGGGTATGTCTGTCGCTGGAGGCTGCAGAAGACAGAAGCTGAGGGGGTCCGCAGGCATGACTGCTTTGCGCTGGCTCCGGCTCTGGCTTAGTACTCAGCTTGTCTCTGTCCTGCCGGTCAGGACCCATGCAGAGAATCCTGCTTTGCCACCTCTGTGGTAGTGAGCAGCTTCAGTGCCCGTTGCTGGCTGTCAACCTCTGTAGAGCAGCCGGTTATAGTCTCCTGAACACAGTAGCGATGGGGACAAGTTCTCTTTGGGTCCATGTTGCTTTTCCGTTGCTGTGTAACAAATTATTGTGAACTTGGTGGCCTAAAGCAACACGCATTCGTTAGCTTACGGAAAGTCCAAGGTGGTTCAGCTGGGTTTTCTGTCCAGGGTCCTCCCCCGTAGTCCACATCCAGGTGTCGGCCAGCATGTACTGACCTGAGCCTGCTTCTGGGCTTGTTCAGGTTGGTCCGAATCCAATTTCCTGGGGCTGCAGGACCATCGTCGGTCTTTTGCTGGCTGTGGCCACCGCACCCCTGCCACTTGGATGGCTGCTCTTGCTCGCAGCCCTGTGGCTCTTGCCACTGCTTAGAGATAGCTGTCCACTCTCAGGGGCATGTGAGAATCTAAGCCGCAGAGGTCCCTTGTCACTCTCAGCTTCAGGATGGGCCCTTTCCTGAGTTCTGCCCCCACCACAGGTAACCAGGCTCTTGGCCTGTTGCCTGCCTTGGGGGTGTCCCATGTTAAGATGATTGCGTGACTCCGTCATGTTGCAGAGTTGCATGAGCAGCTCCTGGCACGCGCCTCTCACGTGGAAGATTTGGAACAGCTGAAGCAAGGCTTTGAACAGCAGCAACAGGAAGCAAAAATCCAGCATGAGTCTGAACTGGAGCATCTGAGGATCTATTTTGAAAAGAAGTTAAGGGACGCTGAAAAAACTTACCAGGAAGACCTAACCCTATTACAGCAGAGGCTGCAGGGGGCGAGGGAAGATGCTCTTCTGGATTCTGTGGAAGTCGGGTAAATAAACCAGTTTCCAGCTTCAGTATGTTCCTGCAATACAGGTGCCATGCTCCGAGTTCAGGTGTAGTTTTGGTGATTTCAGGTCAGTGGACACCAGTGGCTTTTTGTACAAACACATTTTATGGTCGAGACTGAAATACAGGCACAAGCACCTGAGTGTGGCCTGCCCGTGTGTGTGTGTGCATGAGCCAGTGGTAGGCACACTCTCATCCAGGTCTGTGTGTAGGTGTTGGTGGTGGGCACACTCTCATCCAGGCCAGCATGCATGTCTGTATGCTCAAGTCAGTGGGCGCGCTCTCATCCAGACCTGTGTGTGTGTGTGTGTGTGTGTGTGTGTTGGTGGATGTGTTCTCATCCAGGCGTGTGTGTGTGTGTGTCAGTGGTAGGTGTGCTCTTGTCCAGGCGTGTGTGTGTGTCGGTGGGTGTGCTCTTGTCCAGGCGTGTGTGTGTGTGTGTGTGTGTGTGTGTGTCAGTGGTGGGTGTGCTCTCGTCCAAGCCTGTGCATGTATGTGTGAGTTGTTGGCAGGCATGCTCTCGGCCAGGCCTGGGTGTCCCTGTGCTGTGTCCCTGGCTTTGCGGCTTCCATGGCTCCCTGCTCATGGGGGAAGTCCTTGAGTGGAAACACGAGGAGGCATCTGTAAACAGGCAGTCCTGGGGAGAGAATAGAGTGCACGTGGAAAAGGGGCATGTGTGGTTTTTACAAACCGTTTTCCCTTCAGTTCATCCTGCATGGGTTTCGAAGAGACACCTGAGAAAGAAAGAAAAGATCACCTTGATAAACTCGAGGCTGAGCAACATAAGGTAATTGGCTGAGTGCTGAGAAGAGGGTGAGTCCCCTGCTCGTTACCTTCCAGCCGGGCATATTCCTTGTGACAGAGCCGATTCTGTTCCTCCCGGGGCTTGTCCATGGAAGGAAGGCTGCTTGTGTGTCTTGCGGATGCTGCCCCTGACTTCACTGCTGCTCCGGGGCAGGCCTCACCGTGCACTATTTGATCAGGAAAGGTGGTGGCCGTGGAGCTGGAGCCCCTCTGTCAGCCCCGGGATGCCTTAGCCGTGGGCAAGGCCACCTCCTCCCTGAGGTGGGCTGCATTCTTCAGACTTGACTTTGGCAGTTGGAACGGTGTGAAATTGTGTCTTTGCTTTGAGTACGCACAGAACGCCTGCTGGCTTTTCTATTTCTTCCTTGAATTGCTTCCATGCTGCTACTTCTGTCAGCTTTAACTCTGTGGGGCACTGCTGTCCAAACAGAACTTCTGGAATGATGGAATGTTCTGGTTCTGTGCTTCCAGCGTGGGGCCCACCAGGACACATGGTGCTGTGGAGCACTTGCTGTGTGGCATTGAGCAAGCCCAGCGTCAGGCTCTGGGGGACATGCAGGGAGGAGATGCAGGGGCAGCACCACGTGGCTTGTTGTGTGGTGGAACCAGTGGAGGGGAACCTGGGGCCTCTGGGCCCAGTAGTCAGCAGCCTTCACACTGGAGTAGGTTTCCTGGACCTGCTGGAGGCTGCAGGGTGGTCAAGCAGGGTGGCAGTTGGCCATACGCCAGTTTGAGTTTCCTGCAAAACAAATCCCAAGACAGGATTTGCCACACAAGAGGCTATGGGGGAAATGCCAGAGAAGGGCAAGGCCCAGCTGGAACAGGTGGCCAGGGCTGTCCCACAAGTAGGCCTCGTCCCAGAGGGAGAGCCTGGGAAGGGGTGCAGTGTGCAGCCCCACCAGGCATCCCTGTATCGCATGAGAGCCAACCCCTGCCTCCAGGTGTGAGTGTGATGAGGATACAGCTGTTAGTGGCCAGTGGCCACAGGAGGCTGGCCTTGAGAAGAGAGCTCAGGCCTGAGATGTGAGGCCACAGGGAGAAACACAAGGGGCATGTGCCCCACTGACCCTGCTGCTCAGAGCATTGAGGTGAGGTCTGCGCAGTCCAGGGCCCTGTCCTCCGGAGAGCACCAGCTCCTCTCTGTGCCACCAGTTCCTTTGTCATCTGGCGGCCTGGCTGAGAGATGGTTGTGGGCAGGAGAGCATATGTGTGCCCCCTTGGGCTGGCAGGGTTCTCCAGAGCATGGCGTGTGGTCTCATGAACCTGGTGAGGTTTGGGTTTTCTTTGTGCATGGCGGGAAACACCTTTGGGGTTATAGTTGTGAGGGAGGCAGCTCAGCTCACTAGCCTGCTTGTCCTGCGTGGTTTCTCTGCAGGAGGGCCTGCCATGCTTCCAAGTTCAGCTGGGAGAGAGCCATAGGCACCAGTTGGAAGCGCTGGAGTCAGCTCTCTGTATCCAGCACGAGGGGCATGTCTCAGACAGACTCCACGTGGAGGCTGCAGCATTGGGACAGGCGTGGCATCAGGAGCCCTCTGAAGGGCACAGCCGAGGTGAGCCCCTCCTGCCCCACTGTGGTGTCGGCAGGTGCTGACTCTGGGGGACAGTCTTGGGGAGCCCAGATGCCTCGGTTGATCCCAGTCTTCCGTGAAGCACCAGGGTGCTCCAACCTCTAATGCTGAGGCTGGTGCCTTGACAGTGTGTCCTGATGAGGGTTTGGCGTTGAAGGCGGGGTCGCTGGCTGGGTGGGAGCCTGTGTCCTGGCCCGGTGCCTCAGCAGTGCAGGTCTGACCTGGGCGGGTACCCTGGGGGTTATGGGGATTGCTGGAAGGACATGGTGCCCACTCGCCTCTGGAGGGAGAATGAATGTCAGCGGGGCCCAGAGGAAGCTTTTCCAGGATCCTGCTCTGCCCCGGCTGGCCCAGTGCCCCCAGCTCACGTAGTCAGACCAGGGTTGTGGGATGTCCAGGCAGGGCACAGGACACAGAGCTGTGAGATCAGAAGGGGACGGAGAGGAAGCTGCAGTCATCCCAGAGGCGTGGTCCATGGCGCTGGACTGGTGCTGACAGGGTCTTCAGAAGAGGCAGGGAGCCCTGGCCACTGGCATGGACGTGGTGATGGTGGGCTACCATCATGGTGAGGATGAGGGGTCCAGGCCTTGAGTCCTGCTGGGAGGCATGTGGTCCAACCCCACTCTGGGCTATGGCCAAGTGGAGAATAGCCTGACCCTCCTTCAAGCTGGGGCGGTACGACGGCGCCTGCACCTGGTCCTCACTTCTGTCTGTCCCCTACCACAGCTGTCCCCACAGGTGGCAGTGGGCTGGACGCCCACTGGCGTACGTTGAGGAACATGGCTGTTGGGTGCCACTGGTGCCTGGCCACCACCTGATGCCTTCTCCCTGTTTTGCTCTTCTGCAGAGGAAGAAATGGGCTGGTGGAGGTGGTGTGCCCAGGCACAGAGCAGCAGGGGGAGGGGCTGGGATGGGACCCCTCTCAGGCCCCTGAGCTCAGGCCTTGTCCTTCTGGCTGCCTCAGAGACCCTGAGTAATGCACATGTGCCCACATCTGGTCCCAGGCATGAGGCTCACTCAGGAACTCATGGAGGGTTACTTGTCACATCTGACCTGAAGGAGTAGCCTGGGCTGGCTGGGCAGCTGCTGTGTGGGCCCAGGACATCCCGTGACTCAGGATGGCCCTATGCTGGGGCAGCATGGAGGTGTCCCAAAAGGGAGGGGACACTTGAGAGAGTAGTGCCCACTTCCATGATTGAGCACAGAACTTGAAAATCTACAGTGTCTGTGATCAGAAGCATTTATAGGTCACTGTGCAGCCTGTGGGCTCCCTCGAGGGCTGGTACCGGTGTGACTGTCTTCCCTGCTCCTTTTCCATGCAGAGCTCCCCTGGGTACATCTTCAGGATGGGGCCGTGGAGGCTGACACAGAGGTGGCAGCCAGAGTCTTGGGTCTGGAAACGGAGCACAAGGTTAAACTTTCACTTCTTCATACTGAGCTCAAGGAAGAAATTGAACTCCTAAAAATAGGAAATAGGAATTTGTCCGAGAAGTTGCAGCATGAAATCCGTCTGAAGGAGGACTTGGAGAAGGTGAGTAGTGACTCCACAGCCCTGCGTCTCCTGCCTGAGTCCCCGCTCTCTTGCACTTGGAAGGGTGACAGTCCCATAAATTCTTGAAACTATTCCTGGCCGTGCCAGTAGTGGGTGGTGGTTGGATAGAATCTCGTCAGGGTCAGCACAGGGGCAAAAGCGAAGTTCTGAGTGAAGATTTCTTTTGTTTGTCTTGTTTTGAGACGGAGTCTCATTCTGTTGCCCAGGATGGAGTGTGGTGGCATGATCTCGGCTCACTGTAACCTGCTTGCCCATTTCGAGTGATCTCCTCAGTGGCTGGGATTACAAATGTGTGCCACCATGCCCAGCTAGTTTTTGTAGTTTTTATAGAGTTGGATTTGCCTTGTCGGACAGGTTGGTCTCAAATGCCTGACCTCACGTGATCTGCCCACCTTGGCCTCCTAGCCCACTGCACCCAGCCCTGTGAGTCAGAATTTCTTAGGGAAACTGTCCAGGTGTCCTCAGAGGGCTCCGGGAGGAGGCATGAGCCTGAGCTTATGCAGCTGGCTTCTGATGCTCACCCCAAGTCTTAAACTGCATCCCTATTCCCCAGGCTCTTCCTGTGTTGTCTTGTGCCCGTGGAAGAGGTGCCCTCTGATGCCCTTGCTCACCCTTTGTGAGTGTCAAGTCAATGTCGTGCCGTCATAAGGGTTGACAAAGTGATGGACTTGGTTATAGCAAGGGCAGCTCAGGGTCCATCCCCGGCTGGAGCAGTGGTGTTAAAGTGAACTGAGATTGTCGTGTCTCGTCACGTGTGTTCTGACTCCACCTCATGCTTGCCACCATGTTATCGTTTCCATTCGTGTCCTGCTCCTCCCATCCCTCTGCTCCTCCCTGTGAATGTCTTTGGATTTTCATTCTCCATCGAGAGACAGCTTCATCGGAAGCTGTTATGACCTGCAAGTCATAACATGCTGTTAAACTCAGATGTTGGTAAGGACTTCAAGCAAAATAGAGATGAGGGTGGAGCCCTGTGGGGAGCCCAGAGGTGGTGCATGGGCCGGTAGTTGTATGCTGGCTTTGCCTGCAGCCACCAGCACGTGGCATTCTCTGGCACTGTTGGCTCAAGACAGATTTGCCCAAGTAACTTTTTTGTTTGTTCTTTTTAGACAGAGTCTTGCTCGGTCACCCAGGCTGGAGCGCAGTGGTGCAATCTTTGCTCACTGCAACCTCCGCCCCCTGGGTTCCAATGATTCTCCTGCCTCAGCCTTCTGAGTAGCTGGTATTACAGGTGCACAGCACAATGCCCAGCTAATTTTTGTATTTTTAGTAGAGATGGGGTTTCACCACGTTGGCCAGGCTGGTCTCAAACTCCTGACCTTATGATCTGCCCACCTCAGCCTCCCAAAGTCCTGGGATTACGGGTGTGAGCCACGGCCTCATCTTTTATCAATACAGTCATTCCAACCTCCATGTGCATTTTGTCTGATGTATCTTTTTTTATGCGTTTTACTTTATTTTTGAGACAGGCTGTCACCCTGGCTGGAGTGCAGTGATGCAGTCTTGGCTCACTGCAACCTCTGCCTCCCAGGCTCGAGGGATTATCCCACCTCAGCCTCCCAAGTAGCTGGGAGTACAGATGTGCACCACCATGCTGAGCTAATTTTTGTGTTTTTTGTAGAGAAGAGATTATGTCAGGCTCGTGGGCTCAAGTGATCCACCCGCCTTGGCCTCCCGAAGTGCTGGGATTGCAGATGTGAGCCACTGCACTCGGCCTACTTTTAATCTATTCAAAGTAAAGTGCATTTTATGTGGACAGCATATAGTTAGTGTTTTTAAATCCATTCTGATCATCTCGGCCTTTTAGTTACAGCGCTGAGTCTATTAGTGTTTGTTGTAATTACTGATGTGGTTGACTTAGGTCTTCCATTTTACTCTTTGTTTTCTATGAGATTCATCTGGTGGTCATGGTTCTTTTCCTTTTTTCTTGTGTTTTTGGATTATTTGAATATTTTCTAGAATTGATTTTAATGTGTCTTTTGACTATATCAAGTTATTCCTCTTTGTATTATGTTTTTTTTTTGAGATGGAGTTTTGCTTTTGTTACAGGCTGGAGTGTAATGGCGCCATCTCGGCTCACCGCAACCTCTGCCTTCTGGGTTCAGGCAATTCTCCTGCCTCAGCCTCCTGAGTAGCTGGGATTACAGGCACATGCCACCACACCCAGCTAATTTTTTGTATCTTTAGTAGAGACGGGGTTTCACCATTTTGACCAGGATGGTCTCGATCTCTTGACCTCGTGATCCACCCGCCTTGGCCTCCCAAAGTGCTGGGATTACAGGCTTGAGCCACCACGCCCAGCCGTATTATGTTTTTAATGGTTGCTCCAGGGATTAGAATACACATTCTTGGCCCAGCACGGTGACTCAGGCCCGTAATCCCATCATCTGAGTCAGGAATTTGAGACCAGCCTGGCTAACATGGGGAACTCTGTCTTTACTAAAAAAAAAAAAAAAAAAAAAAAAAAATTAGGCAGGTATGGTGGTGCATGCCTGTAATCCCAGCTACTAGGGCACCTGAGGCAGGAGAATCGCTTGAAACCAGGAGGCAGAGGTTGCAGTGAGCTGAGATTGCACCACTGTGCACTCCAGAGCAAGACTCCATCTCAGAAAAGAGAAAAAAAAGAATATGCGTTCTTAACTTTGTCTTTTATCAGCACAGTCTACCTAGGTCACCATGATGCTGCTTTCCCTAAACCATGACTTCTAACTGCACAGGTGCTTCCGTTACCTCCCCTTCGTCTTCTGTGTTAGTTTTCGCGGACATCACATCCATCTCCTCCATGTAACCTCCATGCAGTGTTAGGAGATTTGCTTTGGAAAACATGTATCTGAAAGAAATTAGGAGGAAAAATGGCCTTCGACTTGTCATTTCTGGTGCTCCTCCTTTCTTCCTAAAGATGTGAGTGTGTGTTTGGTGTCTTCAGCCGGAAGGACCTCCTTCAGCATCGCTTGTTGTGTTGCACACATCTTCTCTGGTTTTTGAAATATCTTCATTTTACCTTGATTCTGTTTTCTTTCTTTTTTTTTGAGACAGAGTTTCTCTCTTGTTACCCAGGCCTGGAGTGCAATGGTGGGATCTTGGCTCACTGTAACCTCCACCTCCCATGTTCAAGTGATTCTCCTGCCTCAGCCTCTTGAGTAGCTGGGATTATGGCATGCACCATCATGCGCAGCTAATTTTGTATTTTTAGTAGAGGAGGGGTTTCTCCACGTTGGCCAGACTGGTCTCAAACTCCCGACGTTAGGTGACCTGCCCGCCTTGGCCTCCCAAAGTGCTGGGATTACAGGCGTGAGCCCCATGCCCAGCTTTACCGTGTTTTAAGGAATATTTTTGCTGCATAAGAAAGTCTGAGGTGACAGGTTATTTCGTTCAGGATTTCAAGATGTTTAAAACCCTTCTTTGCAATTTCTGTGGTCTGTTTTTGTCTTGGTGTTGGTCTCCATTGATTGCGTTTTGTCTTCAGCAGGGTTCACGTTTTCCTGCTTATTTATGTGTTAGCCAGGTTCGGGTTGCATCCTGGACACCATGAGTGATGGATTTGGAGACGCTGGGTTCTGTCTTGCTCCTCCGAAGAGTCGTGGTTTTCTGTTGCAGCAGGCAGTTAACTGGGCTGACTTCGAACTCCATGCCCCCTGCTATGCTGGGCTGCGGCGTGCTGTTAATTCAGCTTTTGGAGTCTGCCGTGTGAACATACGGTCAGGGTCAGCCTGAGATTTGAGCGGCGTTCACTCAGGCATTGCCGCTCTTTCCTCCCTCCCTTGAGTTCTTCTGGTCACACAAGAGGGATATGGGATTTCTGAGTGGAGCATGGACAGATCCTACTCTTACTGAAAAGCTCGAAAAAGAGAAATGGCCCAGTGCCGTTTCTTTCTTCTGAGTATGCAGCCCTCTCCATAGTCTGTTTGCCTGTGGCTCTCTCCACGGCCTTCAGGGATTTTTACATTTTATTCAGTTCATAGTCGCTGTCTGTGGTGGGCTGGTCTGACAAGGTGCACAGGCATCACCAGATGTAGGACCCTAAACTTTAATAACTTATTTTTAAATAAGGAGTTGAGGTCAATCTTACATGCCTTTTTGAGGTTTTTTTTGTTTCTGATTGATGAGTTCAGTCGTTTATTGACCTACTTTCTTCCTCTTTGAAAGTCAGGAAGTCAGACATGGTGTCTCACACCTGTAACAATCCCAGCACTTTGGGAGGCTGAGGCAGGTGGCTTGCTTGAGCCCAGGAGTTTGAGATCAGCTTGGGCAACATGCAAAACCTGTCTCTATAAATGAACGCTTGAGCCCAGGATTTCGAGGCTGCAATGAGCTGTGATGGTGCCCCTGCACTCCAGCCTGGGTGACAGAGCCAGACCCTGTCTCAAAAAACAGAAAGGAAAAGAAAAGATGAGAATATTTACCTTCTGCATTCTTCTTCATTCCCCTCTGCATAGGATCCTTTACAGTGAGCCTTGTGGTTCATCCACCCCTTGCTCCAGGCCTTTCTGTGTCCTGGCGGTGACCTTGTGCAGATGGGCAGCATCACACCGTCTGCTGCTCTTGCCTCCTCGTGTCTGGTCCTGCTTTCCTCAGGCGGTCCACACTTTCTGTGGGGTTGGCATGCCCCTGTGGGAGGCCTGTGGCCAATTCTGAGTCCTGCAGCTGGTCTTGGTCAAAACAAAGAAGGCTTCTAGCTGCTGCCTTTGCTCAGCTGATGTGCATGCCTTCAGCTTAGGTCACTGTCAAGACCATGGGCTCCAGAAATAAAGAACAGTGGGTTGGCGGTGCCAGGATGTAGGAGGCATTTTATTTAGTTTTAGAATTTGTTCATTAGGTTTCTTCCATCCTCATCAACATGAGAATCATTCCCATTGCTGTGTGCAGTGTAACGGGTGTGTGTGCGGTGGAAGTTCCCGTCTTCAGAGGTGGGTTTGGGTTGTCTCTTCCAGTCATCTTTTCCATTAGCTTCTTTCCTCTTAGATAAAATTGTTGTCTGTAGGTAAAGCACAGTTTAGTTGAAGACCACCAGGAAGAACTAAATAATGCTATGCAAAAGATTCAGCTGATCAAACAGGAATTCAAAAAAAAAGAAGTGGACTGGAAAGTTGCAAGGGAGGAGCTGCAGCGGGAAGCTGAGGAGAAATTAACATTGATGCTTCTTGAACTAAGACAGAAGGCCGACTCTGAGAAACAGTCCATTGTAAACAAGTTTGAGCTTCGAGAAGCTGAAATGAGGCAGCTTCAGGACCAGCAGGCAGCCCAGATCCTGGATCTGGAGAGGTCCTTGACGGAGCAGCAGGGCCGCCTGCAGCAGCTGGAGCAGGAGCTCGTGACAGACGAAGCCCTGCGCTGTAGCCATTGTGGGCGGGAGCCACCCACAGCCCAGGATGGGGAGCTTGCTGCACTTCGAGTGAAGGAGGACTGTGCCCTGCAGCTGATGCTGGCCAGGAGCAGGTGGGTTTGCTGTGGCGCCATCTGCAGTCCCTGTGAGGCCACACACTGTAGAGGGTAAAGGGCAGCTCCTAGGAGGAGGAGCTGTGGGCACCACTGGGTGAAAAGGTCAGGAGGAGCTGGAATAAGTCGCCACGTGTGGTCCCCCCAAGGCTTCATTCCCTGGGTGGTGTCGGGGTGAGGCGGGCATCAGTCATCATCTCTGTTCTTTGTGTTTTTTGAGATTTGAACAGCAGAAGCTAAATCTCATTTATAAGGTGTCATAAGGACATGCAGTTTATCCACTAAGTGTTTTTTGTGTGTTTTTTTTTAACTTAAACAGGTGATTTTTTAAAACACGCATTTTTTTCTGAAGCATGTACACTTGTCCCTAAAGTTTTTGAGGTTTAGAAAGCAACTGCAAGAGGCTTTCAGCTCAGAGGTGCCCCTGCCTCTTGCCATCTGTTCTGTGTCACCAGCACCCTTTGGACGCCTTGGCACTTTGCAGGACCCTCTGGCACCCAGAAGCCTGTTTGGCCTTCTGATGGGAGCTGGTCATTCTGTTAGGACTCTCACTGCCTCTGTCTTTGGCCCTGAGTGCTGCCTGCACCTCCTTAATTCACCTCCCATGGGGTTCTCAGGTCTCGCCCCTCCCCGTGGGCCCCCATGGGCAGTGCCCCTTCCCTGTTGAGGAGCAGAGATCGCCTTGAGATTCTTGGTTGGGAGCTGACTCAGATGCCCTGGCATGAGTAGGGGGTTGGTTGTGCCTGCCACGTGTGGCTCTGGTGGGGATGTGTGTGCGCCGGCTCTTGCCAAAGGCACTGAGTCCTGCATGTGGTCTGTGGCCTGGTGACTCCCATGGCTCCGGCCTTTGGCCTTTGGGCTCCTCTGGTTTCATGGGGCCTCTTCACTCTCCCACTTAGTATTTCTGGTGGTAGAGGGAGAAGGTGTAAGAGCAGTTAAAATCCAGAACAGTTGAAGTGGTGTTCCTTGTAAGAAACTGACTTGGCTTTTGCAAGGTCAATGCTTCCTGGGTGCATATTTACTTGTCCTGTGTTCACTTTGTTGCCATAGGTTTTTAGAGGAACGTAAAGAGATCACTGAGAAATTCAATGCGGAGCAAGATGCTTTCCTGCGGGAGGCCCAGGAGCAGCACGCCCAGGAGCTGCAGCTCCTCCAGGAGAAACACCAGCAGCGGCTTCTGTCCGTGACAGCAGAGCTCGAGGCCAGACACCAGGCCGCGATGGGCGAGCTGACAGCCTCCTTAGAGAACAGGCAGGGGGCTCTGCTGGCCGCACGTGTGGCTGAACTTCAGACAAAACATGCTGCTGACCTCAGCGCTCTGGAGACCAGACATCTGTCAAGCCTGGATTCTTTGGAATCCTGTTACCTGGCTGAAATTCAGACCATCCGTGAGGAGCACAGGCGGGCCCTAGAGCTCTTACGAGCAGACTTTGAGGAGCAACTGCGGAAAAAGGACTCTCTTCACCGAACAATTTTGACTCAAGAGTTGGAGAAACTGAAGCAGAAACATGACGGGGAGCTGCAGTCTGTGCGGGACGGCCTGCGAGCCAAAACGAGCCCAGAGCTCGCTAGGACTGTGGCTCACCAGCTGCAGGAAGCGCATCAGGTAAGGTGCCGGGGCCTGGCCCCAGTCCAGGGCAGCCTTTCCCCGCCGCCCTTATGTTTCCACCGCGTTCACATATGTGTGCGTGAGTGTCTGCGCCTGTGCGGGTGTCTGTGTCACATGTATGTGTACCTGAGCGCCTGTGTGCACCTGTGTGGGTGTCTATCACATGTATGCACGTGTATCTGCATCTGTGTGCGTGTCACATGTACACACACGTGAGCGTCTGTATGCCTGTGCAGGTGTCTGTCACATGTATGCACACGTGAGCACCCATGTGCACCTGTGTGGGTGTCTGTCACATGTATGCGTGCGTGAGTGCCTGTGTGGGTGTCTGTGTTACATGTATGCGCGCGTGAGTATGTGTGCCTGTGTGGGTGTTTGTGTCACACGTATGCGTGTGTGGGCGCCTGTGTCTGGAACTGATGATGCAGATCAGTGCCTTTCAGAGATTTCTTCATATTCCAAATGATAAACTAGGGAATTGCAAACTTGGATAAACATAATGTGCCAGGTGGACATGTTCCTTTCCCAATACAAGCGTGCCCAGGGAGGGCTTCCTCCTACCTGACTCTGGGTAACAGCATTGAGGTTCCAAAGCATGGGTTTATTGTTTGCTTTCACTCAGCTCTGTGTAAGAACAGAAGGCGAAAGGTGTCACCTTCTTTAACTGCTGTGAGGGTTTCATATTATGTTTCAGGCTTTTTCTTTTTTGAGGCAGTTTTGCTTTTGCTGCCCAGGCTGGAGTGCAATGGCACAATCTCGGCTCACCACAACCTCTGCCTCCCGGGTTCAAGTGATTCTCCTGCCTCAGCCTCCCAAGTAGCTGGGATTACAGACATGTGCCACCACACCCAGCTAATTTTTTGTATTTTTAGTAGAGACAGGGTGTCTCCACGTTGGTCAGGCTAGTCTTGAACTCCTGACCTCAGATGATCTGCCCACCTCAGCCTCCCAAAGTGCTGGGATTACAGGCGTGAGCCTCTGCACCTGGCCCAGGCTGTTTTGTCTGGTCTGAGCATGGGATTTCAGGGGAATTCCTGGAAAGCGGAGCACGTTCAGGCTCCCCCGTCATGAGTGAGGTGCAGCCTGTTGCCTGTCTGGGGCTCCTGTGTACTGTCTCGTCCCCACTGTCGTGAGTGAGGCGCAGCCTGTTGTCTGTCTGGGGCTCCTGTGTACTGTCTCGTCCCCACTGTCGTGAGTGACGTGCAGCCAGTTGTCTGTCTGGGGCTCCTGTGTACTGTCTCGTCCCCACTGTCGTGAGTGAGGCGCAGCCTGTTGTCTGTCTGGGGCCTCTGTGTACTGTCTCGTCCCCACTGTCGTGAGTGACGTGCAGCCTGTTGTCTGTCTGGGGCTCCTGTGTACTGTCTCGTCCCCACTGTCGTGAGTGAGGTGCAACCTGTTGCCTGTCTGGGGCTCCTGTGTACTGTCTCGTCCCCACTGTCGTGAGTGAGGCGCAGCCTGTTGCCTGTCTGGGGCTCCTGTGTACTGTCTCGTCCCCACTGTCGTGAGTGAGGCGCAGCCTGTTGCCTGTCTGGGGCTCCTGTGTACTGTCTCGTCCCCACTGTCGTGAGTGAGGCGCAGCCTGTTGTCTGTCTGGGGCTCCTGTGTACTGTCTCGTCCCCACTGTCGTGAGTGACGTGCAGCCAGTTGTCTGTCTGGGGCTCCTGTGTACTGTCTCGTCCCCACTGTCTTGAGTGAGGTGCAGCCTGTTGCCTGTCTGGGGCCTCTGTGTACTGTCTCGTCCCCACTGTCGTGAGTGAGGTGCAGCCTGTTGCCTGTCTGGGGCTCCTGTGTACTGTCCTTTTCCCCACTGTCGTGAGTGAGGTGCAGCCTGTTGTCTGTCTGGGGCCTCTGTGTACTGTCTCGTCCCCACTGTCGTGAGTGAGGTGCAGCCTGTTGCCTGTCTGGGGCCTCTGTGTACTGTCTCGTCCCCACTGTCGTGAGTGAGGCGCAGCCTGTTGTCTGTCTGGGGCTCCTGTGTACTGTCTCGTCCCCACTGTCGTGAGTGAGGTGCAGCCTGTTGCCTGTCTGGGGCTCCTGTGTACTGTCTCGTCCCCACTGTCGTGAGTGAGGTGCAGCCTGTTGCCTGTCTGGGGCTCCTGTGTACTGTCTCGTCCCCACTGTCGTGAGTGAGGTGCAGCCTGTTGCCTGTCTGGGGCTCCTGTGTACTGTCTCGTCCCCACTGTCGTGAGTGAGGCGCAGCCTGTTGTCTGTCTGGGGCTCCTGTGTACTGTCTCGTCCCCACTGTCGTGAGTGACGTGCAGCCAGTTGTCTGTCTGGGGCTCCTGTGTACTGTCTCGTCCCCACTGTCGTGAGTGAGGCGCAGCCTGTTGTCTGTCTGGGGCCTCTGTGTACTGTCTCGTCCCCACTGTCGTGAGTGACGTGCAGCCTGTTGTCTGTCTGGGGCTCCTGTGTACTGTCTCGTCCCCACTGTCGTGAGTGAGGTGCAACCTGTTGCCTGTCTGGGGCTCCTGTGTACTGTCTCGTCCCCACTGTCGTGAGTGAGGCGCAGCCTGTTGCCTGTCTGGGGCTCCTGTGTACTGTCTCGTCCCCACTGTCGTGAGTGAGGCGCAGCCTGTTGCCTGTCTGGGGCTCCTGTGTACTGTCTCGTCCCCACTGTCGTGAGTGAGGCGCAGCCTGTTGCCTGTCTGGGGCTCCTGTGTACTGTCTCGTCCCCACTGTCGTGAGTGAGGCGCAGCCTGTTGTCTGTCTGGGGCTCCTGTGTACTGTCTCGTCCCCACTGTCGTGAGTGACGTGCAGCCAGTTGTCTGTCTGGGGCTCCTGTGTACTGTCTCGTCCCCACTGTCTTGAGTGAGGTGCAGCCTGTTGCCTGTCTGGGGCCTCTGTGTACTGTCTCGTCCCCACTGTCGTGAGTGAGGTGCAGCCTGTTGCCTGTCTGGGGCTCCTGTGTACTGTCCTTGTCCCCACTGTCGTGAGTGAGGTGCAGCCTGTTGTCTGTCTGGGGCCTCTGTGTACTGTCTCGTCCCCACTGTCGTGAGTGAGGTGCAGCCTGTTGCCTGTCTGGGGCCTCTGTGTACTGTCTCGTCCCCACTGTCGTGAGTGAGGCGCAGCCTGTTGTCTGTCTGGGGCTCCTGTGTACTGTCTTGTCCCCACTGTCGTGAGTGAGGTGCAGCCTGTTGCCTGTCTGGGGCTCCTGTGTACTGTCTCGTCCCCACTGTCGTGAGTGAGGTGCAGCCTGTTGCCTGTCTGGGGCCTCCTGTGTACTGTCCTTGTCTTCACCCGGTGTCAGGGGAGTCCTGGGAATGTGTTCTGTTGGTTTGATTCTTGTCTGTTTTTTAAGAGACAGAGTCTCCCTATGTTTCCCAGGCTAGTCTTGAACTCCTGGGCCTAAGAGATCCTCTTGCCTTCGCCTCCCAGGTAGTTGGGATTACAGGCATGAGCCACTGCTTCCACCTTGGAATGTGCCTCTTGAGAGAGGCTAGAGCCATGTTGTCTTTCTGGACAAAATTTGGACAGGGGTTTGATGCTGCTGGGAGCTACCCCCCCAGGTGTACCACAGTCCTCAGATGCCAGCATCAGTTTCCTTCCAGTCCCAAGGCTCTGATAGGCTCTTGCTGTGTTTCCCAGGCTGGTCTCGAATTCATGGCTCTCTAGTGCTATGCTTTGGAGAAAGCACTTGTGCCCAAGCTGTGGATTTCAAATGAAGTTCTGAAAGAATATTCAGAAAGGTTATTCAGATGTATCTCACACGTGAAGTGTGTATTTCAAACCGTGGCCTGATTTAGTCCGGGAAGCGTGTGGAACATGTGTACCTTCCTGTAGGGTCCAGCCCTACAGGGTCCCGTGAATCCGTCTCTGCTGGTGTGGAGACGAGAAACTGGAAATAAAGGACACAGACACAGAGACAGAGAAAAGAGAGTTTGGGCCCAGGGTCCACTGCTGCCTGGAGTGTGGAGCCCAGCAGTGGCCTTGAGGGACTGGACACTTGACTTTTACAGAGCACAAAGCAGGGGGCAGGGCAGCTAGGATGAGGTAATGGTGGTCAGTGGTAGGGTCAGGTAAGTCACGTCTCTTGGAGATAGGATGTCCAGGACTTTGAAGAAGCCAAGGCAGAAAACCTAAGGTGTCAGCACTTTTTTCATACTTGTTAAGAAATAACAAAGTCACTAAGATTTATGTTACTGTTATAAATTCTTCTAAGAAAAAGAAGAACCAGGTGCAGAAGCAGAACTCGAAAGTAGCCATGGAACGTGACCGCTGAAGCACCACAGAGACAGTTAAGTCCCCAGATGTCTGTGGGCCTCCCTGACAGCCATCAGGCTACCACAAGATCTTGAAGTGGAGTTTTCTCCTCACTCCCCTGAAGAAGGAGACGTCTCGGCCATCTTGGATGTCTCCTTCCCTAGCTGGCTAAACAGCGGGCGCTTTCCAAGCACTGACACTGTCACACAGCCAAGGCGTCCTCCAGCATCCCTTATGCGGGTGTGACAGAGGACTTAGAGCATCTTAACTTAAGGTCACCTCTTTTCCAATGCCACTTCAGTCTTATATGTCTTGACCTGAGACTTAGTAAGATTATATAATTATATAGATGTGTTTATTTGTGGTTATATATTAATAGCTATGTGATTACATATGATTAGGAATAACTATGTAACTATATCTCTAATTCTGTGTTTATATGAGGACATGCTGAGGCTTCAGTCCCTTGCCTCGGCTCTTGTGGGGATTCCCCCGAACACCTTCTGTGCCCCGCGTGGGGATGTGGCATGTCTAGATGTTTCCTGGACAGGAGGAGCTGGTCACGGCCCTGTGCAATCAGAGATTCCTGCTGGAAAAAGAGAGGACCGGAGCACTGGACAGGGTGGGTGCCGAGGTCCTGCTCCTGGAGTGCCAGCACCAAGTGACCCTGCAGGAGCTCAGAGATGCAGAAGCAGAAAGCAGGGCAGGCAGAGCCGGGGGTGCTGGGGGAGCCGGAGGTTCTGGGGGAGCTGCTGGGTTGGGGGGCTTGGAGGATTGGCGGAGCCTGGCGGTCTTGG